TGGCGGCAATAAAAATGAGTCTATTACCGAAACTGCTATTCTTATTTCAGAATATACCAATAATCAGGGGAACATCAATATTCAAGGGCTGGCAGAAAATACTTTCTAAATTCATCTGGCAAGGAAAAAGGCCGAGAATCAGATTCAAATTACTCACAGACCAAAGAGATAGAGGAGGATTCGCAGTCCCAAATTTAAAGTTATATTATGAAGCCTCATGCCTCTGCTGGGTCAAGGATTGGATTATTATAAAAAATAAAGATCTGCTAGATTTAGAAGGATTTGATTTAAGATTCGGTTGGCACGCTTACCTATGGCGTAATAAGGGAAAGATCCATAAAGGATTTTCTAACCATATCTTCAGAGGGCCATTACTGGAGGTGTGGGAAAGAAATAAGAAATTCTTGGAACAGAATACCCCTTGGTGGCTGTCGCCAATCGATCTCCTGACGATAAGAAAACAAATATCGAAGGAGAAAGATGGACCTACGAAGATTTATTAGTAAAAACAGAGACCGGTTGGAGGATTAGGCCATATGAAGAAATAAAGAACAAATTGACAGGTTGGATCCAATTTCATCAAATCAACTCTATCTGGACCGAGGATAAAAAAATGGGATAAGTGAGAAAAAATCTAGATTCCAGATTGAAATATTAGAAAGTAAAACAAAACTCCTATCGAAAATGTATAGCCTGTTGCTCGAATGGGACACCAAAGATGAAGAAGTAAAGGAGGTAATGGTGAGATGGGCAATGGACTTTGGGTATAACATAGAGTTTGATAAATGGCAGGCACTATGGAATAAAGGTATGAGATTCTCGGCATGCACAACACTCAGGGAAAATATGTACAAAATGATGTACAGGTGGTACGTAACGCCCGTAAAACTGGGAAAAATATATAAAACTGGTCATAAATTATGCTGGAAGTGCAAGATTAAGGAGGGCGATTTTTATCATATGTGGTGGTTGTGCGAGCCTATTAGAAAATTTTGGGAATCTATTTACAATGAACTAAAAAAATCTTTAAATATACCTTTATAAAGAGACCTGAAGCCTTTTTGCTGGGGATAATTGGAGAGGAAATCCAAAAGGAAGATCAAACACTCTTTCAGTACGCGACAGTGGCCGCCAGAACTCTAATAGCGCAGAATTGGAAGACACCAAGAATCCCAACCATAAATGAATGGCAATCGAAACTACTCGACTATCTAGAATTGGCAAAAATGACACAGAAAATAAGAAATCAAAAAGACACAAAGTTTAATAAAGATTGGAATAAATTCATGGCATACATGGAAACAGAGGTAAAAAAAACTAAAAAACACAGTAGGTGTGATATAACACTTGTGATGTAAAGAATTTTTTTTGAGGAAAAGAAACTGCAGATAGAAAATTTTATAACACATTCCGAAACCGAGATGAAGGGAAGTCAGTCAGTGTTGTGTGTTAAGTAGTTAATGTAGTTAATTTGTTGTTGTCTTAGGTCAGGAGTATGTATATGTATGTATATGTTTTTTTTTGGTGTGAATGTGTTGTGTTTGTCTTTTTTGTTTGTATGGTATTATAAAATAAAATTTATATTAAAAATATATATATATATAAAAAAAAAGGAACTTGTGAAACTGCCTTATATAGATTTGTCCACCTAGCTCAGTACTGTCTACACTGACAAGCAGCGGCTCCCCAAGGTTTCCTGCTGGATTCAGACTCCAGTAGCCCTATCTGGAGATGCCATTGTGGGTTGGACCTGGTGCCTGCCTGGAAAGCAGATGCTTTGCCCCTGAGCTGCAGCCCTTTCCGCACTGAATGCTCTCTCCCCAGGGAGGCCTGCCTGGTGCCAGACTTGCCCTTGTTTCAGCACCAGGCAAAGAGCTTTTTGTTTTAGTGCCAAGTGATATTACATTGTTGAATCTATTATTTTATCACGGTTTGTGTGTGTGTATAAAGTTTGTAAATTGCTTTGGGGCTTTTTTAAAAGTGTGAAACAATGTACAAATTGAAAAAACCTAACCTAATATTCCCTTTATTCCCTCATCACATCTTAACACACTACCCAGTGGCCACTTGGGCCAGCAATACTTTGTTGGGGTTTTTTAATGTTTAAAAAAATGCAATGTTTTGAGTTTCCCAAGGTGACTTACAATTTAAAGGCTAACCAGGAAAAAAAACTTATTTATGTATTTGATTCCATTTATGAGTTGCTTCCCATAAAATATCTTGGAGCCTTTCACATTTTAAAAAATCACTATCATCATCAACAACAACTTAAAAACCATTCTATGTAGACAAACAGTTACAAATACAATGCAGACAGACTGGGATAAAGAGCTCCACTTAAAAGCTGGTTGAAAACTTGTAAACAATATTGTAATCAATAACTTGGGAGGAAGAATGAGAGGTGCCTGCTTCGTGGTAAGGAGCTGTCCCCACAAACAATTGGCAGAAAGACACACCAATACAAAAATATACTTGTAATGTACTGCAAAAGCATTTTTAAAAGGATGATGACCAATATTACTATTTACGGAACAACCGATTATAGATCCATTTAAAGGATTAAGTCTTTTTCAACTGATTGGGGCTGAGTCCTCGGGAAAGGTTTGCTAAACTCTCATCCCTGGGGAATGTGCCCAAATAATCCTTCTTGTGCCTCAGCTGAGCAGTTGCTGTTGAGAGGCTCTTCTCCAAGATGCAGGTTAGGATCTTCTTTGCATCACTGGGGTATGTTGCAACTGTAATTTCATATTTGTGGGTCTTCTTGCCGATGGTGTTAGGGACCCTTATTATCCTGTGGGGTCCAAGGAACTGTCTTCATGACCTGCTTCCTCCCTCTCTCTCTCTCTCACCCTAGTTTGGTGCAGGCCAACCCCGAGGTCGCCATGGATTCCATCGTCCACATGACCCAGCACATATCATCGACGCAGCGAGCCGAGATCGTGCGCATTCTCTCCACCATGGACGCGCCTGCTTCAACGTAAGCCGGCAAGGCTGGAGGGAAAAGGTGCCCTGCCATTTTGCTCCTGCCTTCATCCATGTACCTTGACTCCCAGGAGGGGAAATGCTGGGAAAGGACTTCTTAATTATTTTCTTCTTTTTTGTGTCTTTTTTAAAAATCAGACTTGAATTTCATAGTAGTCATGCGAGACTTCAGGAATACAGGCTTCCCCCCACAAATGTAACTTATGGATGTCGTACAGTAGTCCCTATTTATTTAACAAAGTGTAAACTGGATTTGCGTCTCAGCCACTCTTGTGACTTCCAATGAGATCATGAAAGGTACCCTGGTACCATGAGGTCTTAAATCAAAGGTGGGGCTGGGGGGGTGACCACAGGGGCCTTCAGCAGAAACCCCCCACCCCAAGCTTTTCATCTTGTGTACACTTTTTGTCCATTGTGTCGGTTACTTGACTTCTCCCAACCTTCCAAATGCAAAAGATCCAGTGTTTGTCAGTCGTATTTGGCAGCGGAGTGGTAGCGCCACCCCTAAAAGGGAGGCCCACAGCACCTCTTGCTGCTTCTGTTCTAAACTGGTTTAGACTCCCATCGTCTCTCTCTCCCTGCTGGTGGTGAGGTCATCCCCACTTCATGCACAAAGTTTAAATCATCGCCCTTTTTTTAGGTCATATTATTTCTCCCTGTGCACGATTGATTGGCCATCAGATGTTTCATTTCTGCGTTCATGCAATAAACCTAGGAAAGCCAGTCTGCAGGGCAGATAAAAAGCTCTGCAATGCTAAAATAGCCAGAAAACAGTGTTTATAAGAGGCTCCAGCCTTTGAGGGGAGAAACTTCCCTTCGTTCTATTGGACTTCGAGAAATCTGAGGGCATTTCTGTTTCATATGAAAGTTATTTTGCAAGGTGTCTGGGGCATAATCCCATCTGAAATTATTCTGCCTTTTGCAGCAGAACGAACAAGGGTCACCCCAGCTATATATCCCTCATCTATAAAGTGTAGCACAGGCTTCTGACGACATCTCCCATCATCACGTGGCTGTGCTACCTGAATTGAGCGTAACTTTCCTTACAGCCTGGTTCTACCATGAAGCTTTCATGGAGAACAGAATCTTGACATTCAGTAAGGAGCAGTCAACATGGTGCTGTTCAGATGTCCCTGGCCTCCACCTCCACATCAGCCTCAGTTCTTGGGTGTGATGGAAGGTATTGTTCAGTAACATGAAATGTGGGAGGGCACTTTGTTGGCCACCCCTGAAAGTAGGGGGCATGGACTTGGAAGTTGTTCCTGTACAGTAAACCCTACAGGTGCCTATCCTTGCCTTCAATTCCTTACATACTTTGCTGGCAATGTTGTCAATTTGTAAGCTAGAAGTGGCACTTGCTTCTGTAAATCAACACTTGCGGCCTTGGTGGGTGGTGGGCTGGCTGGCTTGCGCCAGAGGACCTAACCTTGAACAGGTGGAGCAGAAAGGTAAAGCTGAGCATCTCCTGCCCCATTGGGTACAGGACACCCTTTTGTGTTGTCTCTGAAGACGGGGGGAGGTAGGAAAAAATGCAGCCTTGCGGGGGTGGGAACTGGCCTGCATCCAAGCACTGCCGGCTGAGCAGCACTTTCACCAAGGCGCCAATTCAGGGAGCTACACTAGTGCAATAGCAGGAATTCACCTGCACACCTGTGGCCTTGCTTTTTTGGAGGGTCAGGTTGCCCATTGGCAGCAGGGGGATGGAGCAGAATACATATGCTACGCTCAGTCAGGCTTGCCTTTCCTACAGCCACCAGCCTCTGCTGGATCAGTCCAGTGGCTCATCTGGGCCAGCATCCTGTTCTTACAGTGGCCAATGAGACGCCCCAATAGGAAGCCCCAAAGCAGGATTTCTGAGGGCTAAAAAAGGGCACATGAGCAGAGAGGTGCTAGCAACTGCAGGGACCAATGACATACACACACCCCCCTCACATCTTGTGTGGGTGAGGAGGAACTAAAATAAAAACACGGAGAGTGAAGGAAACCACTCTCCATTTATCCCCCCCCCACCTACGATCATGAGCATACCTGGCTTTCGGGAAGGCAGTTTGGGGGGCCCTGGCATGGTCCTAGAGCACTCACACCTCCTTCCCAAAGCTGGGCAAGCATTTCTTAGGCTTTGGAAAGGCGGTGGGAGGATTCTGGCACCCTCCAGAGCCCTCACACCTCCTTCCCAAAAACCAGGTAAGCACCCCTCCACTTTATGGGCAGGGGCAGTTCCTGGCCTTCTGCATTTCTGCGTATACAGATGGACCCTTGGAAGCCAATCCTCGTGTAAGACACAAGTGGCCTGCAATGCTACACCAATGTTAGGAGGAGATGCAACTCGCAGGCTGGTTGATCCAGCTGTTGAGCCTTCGATGACACTTCCAGGTGGTTAGTTGGGACAGTAGCCATTATTGCACCAGTTCACCAACTTGGGAAACAGGTGTTCCAGCCAATTGCAAAAGGTGGTAGGGATCAAATTTTGTAAGGTGCGGAAATGCTAGATATGGGTTCTCTTGGAAGCCCTGTGGCATACCTCTTTGGGCAGATGCCTGCATCCGGGGGAAGCCAGCCCCAATCCAAAAAAGCCTGCAATCCCACTTACCTAGGAGTAAGTCTCATTGAATTCAGTATATTTCCCCCCACAAAAATCCTATCATGCCCTTCATCCCAAAAGAGCAGAGGGGGCAATCACCAAAGCATTAAAACAATTTTTTAAAAGCTTTTAAATTAGCAAGTAATCTGAGACTTACTTCAGAGCGAGTCCCACTGAAAGGAAGAGCTGGCTACCACAACCTCAAGTCCCACTGCTTTCAGTTAAAGAAGCTTGCATACCCTGAAATGAAAGGGGGGAGATGGGCATGACCCAGTACCACATAGACACACATCCAAGAGCCAAGGTTCTTGACCGCAGCGCCCTCTGCCAAGCAGACATCCGGAGTGGGTTGCCTTGTAATTAATGCAGAGCAGGGTCCCTAAGGCAGCTACAGGGTTATTGATAAAATACTGCTGTTCAGAAAATAATGGAAAGTGTCTGGAAAGGACAGCTGCTAAGGACTTTTAGCACTGTGCTTTGAACCCAATGGAAGGAGCTGGCTCCTAACATTCCTGAAAAAAGAGACTTTCGACCTGCATTCTCATTACCTGCCTCTTGAGGATTCAATGCAGCTGGCACCAACCTGGCACCATCCAGATGTTTTGGGCTACCATTCCCACTGGGAGTTAATTCAAAACATCTGGGGGCACCAGGCTGGCAAACACTAGTTTAGTGTCTTCCCTTCTTAAACTGCTTCTTGTTTACGTCACTAAAGGAAACCTAAGCCTTGCCCAAATACTTTCCAGGAGAGAGAACGTCAGCTGAGCGTAACTCTAGGATGTTAACTGTAGTAAGCATGTGGCCACTTTTCTCTCTCTCCAAACGACACGTCAGAAAGGCCAAGGACTCGCAAATCCCCACAACTGGTTCTGCACTGCCAGATAAGTCCCGTTCCCCTGCAGCAATCGCCCAAGGTGGAGGAGTCCACCTGTACTGATGAACATGCCACAAAAAAGAGCACCTTTGTGCTGCAGCAACCAGCTTCAATAATCCAGTCTGGTGACGATGCCGTGGCCTTCAAGTCAGCCACCCACCGTGTCTTGGGATCCTTGCCTTGCACTGCCTCCAAAAAGAATTGCGGTGGAAACGGGAAATCTAACCTGATGGAGGATTATCAGCAAATGTTAATAAATGCATCATACCTGCCGCTGGCCACACAATGCTGATTGGGACCAGGGTGGGGACAGATGGGCGAACGTGAGAGTACGTGCTCTGGCCCCCCCTTTCTGGAGAGAAGAGAACATTTAAAACTGGGGTTGCCAACCTGTTGGGGCCAGCAAGCACACTGGGAATTTTGAGAAAGTGCCGTGAGCGCCAGTTACAAAATGGCTGTTGTGGGGGTGTGGCCTAACACAAAATGGATTATTTTCTTTCAGTGGGTAGCATATGAGGTACTGGCAGGCACACTGGTGTCGTGGTGGGGAGCCCTGATTTAAAAGATGCTGTTCTCATTAAGTCTGTAGCAGAAATACAGGCAGTGGAGGGGACAAGTGGAGAGAGAGAGCCCAGTTGAACCATCCGACAGAAGTATTAATTGATGTACGTCTTGGGACAACTTGTGGTGCTGATGTTTATTTCACTTACCTCAAGTTTCTTTTAATAAAAAAAATTCCAACCATCAGATTGCGTTGCGCTGTGAATTCCTTGACGCGGATTCCGTGTTTTCAGAGTGCAGCAGTTTCTGTCACAAAGCAGAAGCAAGAAATCGGGAATGCGTTAACTTCAGACTCTCATGCAACCTTTAACACCTGAGGCTCCCCCTCCAAGAAATCCGTCTCAGCATTTATGCCTCCCTCAAGAAAGATTGCAGCCAGAGGTGGCTCTACAGTGGTACCTTGGTTCTCAAACGCCTCGGTACTCAAACAACTTAGAACCCAAACACTGCAAACCGGGAAGTAAGTGTTCCGGTTTGCAAACATTTTTCGGAAGCTGAACGTGCTCCGTTTTGAGTGTTACGCTTCCAATATGAGTGTTACGCTGAGGTCTGTTTGATTTTGCTATTTATTTTGCATTTTTGCAGCTCTTTTTTGTTTGGTTTTTGTGACTGTGTGGAACCCAGTTCAGCTACTGATTGATTGTGTGACTGCAGTACATTATTTATTGCTTTCATTTTATGGATCAATGGTTTCGTTAGATAGTAAAATTCATGTTAAATTGCTGTTTTAGGGATTGTTTTTAAAAGTCTGGAACAGATTAATCCATTTTGCATTACTTTCTATGGGAAACTGCGCTTTAGTTTTGGAACCGACTTCTGGAACCAAGGTACCACTGAACCATGAAACTAATGAAGCTTAACCTTCCGGGCCCCTAATTTCAGAGGAACTCCAGAAGCAACTTAACATTTTTGGGTGTAGATGACCTAATTTGAGTAGCATTGAATTGAGTATGGATATTTCAACAATCCAAAAGTTTGAGAGTCAGTAGCACGAATGTTGTAAAGGTGTGGTGATCGGTCATGGAACAACCCCACTGAAGAAGATAACAGTAGTTACCCAGACCTCGTTACCAGTTGTGAACCCCCACCCCCAAATGTAGGTCTGCCACTGATCGCAACTACTCACAGTCAAGCACTCCATCTTTCCAGGAAGAATGGAAATGTACTCAATGGTGCAATATGACTGCCAATACTGAGGTCTCTGGGAACCCAAACTTTTCATTTACTCCAGGGTAAGTGTTTCCCCTCCAGATGTTGTCAAGACTCCAACGCCCGACAGCCCCAGCCATCAGATCCGATGGGGAGTTGGGAGCCCAGCTGCAGATTTACAAAAAAGGAAATGGCAAGTTCTTAGTCCATGCTGTCACAGATAAAACACTTAGGGGAAACTATTGGTAAGAACAGACACAGATTTTGGATCCCAGGCAGTAAGGACCTCTTGCAAGAAGAGCCCGACTGGATCACAGAGGCTAATCTAATCTGGCATTCTGTTCACAGACCGGCCAGCTAGATGCCTCTGGGGTGCCCATAAACAGCCCCCTCTCATTCACAAGTGACCCCACCAAACAACTGGTATTCAGAGGTGCACTGCCACCAGATACGGTGGTTATCATGGACTAGTATCCACAGGCAGCCTTATCCTCTGTGAATTTGTCTAATACCTTTTAAAAGCCATCCAGGAGAGCAGCGATAGTTGAACAGGTTCCCGTAAGGAAATCAAGCCACTGCCCTTTAGAAATCTAGTCAGTCCGGGGTTATGCCAGAGCCCGTCACTTTGACATTCTAGTTTGCTATGGTTTCGTTTTTGTTTTTAAGAAAAGCTTATAAAAATGCTTTTCTCTTAGAAATCGCAAAGCAGTTCATAATATACATAAAAGCTATTAAGACCAATAAAACAACTATTAAAACGTGCAGAGAGTGACATCTTGTTTTTAACAACCCTGTTTTGCGGCTTCTTGCAGACTAAAGTCATTGTGTGTGAGACGCTCACGTGTAGCTTTATTTATTTGTTTTACCTGCCCAACCTACACAAAATATGAGGTTCTGTATGTACTAACTTTCGGCTTTCTTTTTTTAAATTTAGCTTTGTGCTCAAAGGACTGGGGGCATTAAATGCAGAATGTACGTAAAAGTCGCAATATCCTGTACTGTGTACTCCCCACGGTCACAGATGTGTTGGATCAAACAAAACTCACCTCTTAACATTCAGGGAAAGGGGGTGACGGTGGCACAATTTCATCCATTAAAACGGTTTTACAAATGCCCCCTCCTCCTCTCTCTCTCACACACACACACAGACATTTCTCCCCCACTGTTACTCAACTGAATTTAATTGCAGGTATAGCTAATGGAGCAGCTTCTCCCCTACTAGGCATACAAAAAGGGGTCCGTTTACTCCAAAACAGGCCCCTGTGAGATGTGTATTTTGAAACCCTACACATAATTTTAGATGAAATGGTGTTAAATCCTATCAAATTAGCACAACAGATTCAATTCTGTGTGTTTGCTCTCACAGAACCAATATAAGATTTGGGGAGGAAGAATACGTACGTACATAACAGATATAGAGATATATGCATCTGTGTGTATCGTGTGTGCTTAAATACATTAATCGATTTAACAAACTTAATAAAAGGGTGGAGAGAGAGAGTACCCCTACTGAACCCTGGAAATGCATATTTAAACACTTTAGCCTTAAAAAAAAAATCTACATATTAAAAATGCCCGGAAGGGTTACCTCCAAAGCGGCAAAAGCTTTCAAAAGCTGGCAGATCAAAGTGCTATCATCTTTTAATTTAAACCTTTTGTTGCTTCAACGGTCTTAAGAGGGATGAAGAGAGAAAAGATCAAAATAAAAACTGAAACAAAAAAACGACGGCTTTGTAGCCACATTTCCCCCCCCCCATTCCGTTCTCCTCCCATATTTCTCCCCCCTCCCTGCCCGCCCCCACAAACCTCCTTGTTCGAGTCCCTTCTCTCAATTTAGGCCGCAAAACAGGTCAGCTCCATTACCGAACAGCCTTCCCACAAATATTTAAAACAAATTGAATTGCACACCCAATACCCTTCACAATTACGGCAGCCACAATAACTAAATTAGCAATTCAACAAAATAATTGGAAATGCGATTCTCGCTATTCCGCCGCTTCCCCCCGGGCTTTTGCTGATCTGGGGGAGGGAGGGGGGGACTCCGCTTTACTAATTCAGAAGCTAATTAGAGCCACACTTGTAAATGAAGTTGTTTGTCTGAAAGTTGAAATTCTGTGTGGTTTTATTTTCGGGAGGGGGGAGGGACAGCGAGGGCGTATCATTTCTGCTACACTCACCTCCTGTTTTTTGTTTGTGTTTTTTTTTAAAAAAAAAATCAGTGCCGGGTTATCTGTTGTTGTCCTCTTTTTTTTTTAAAGCTAATTAACAGAGGTATCACATATGGCTAAAGAATTTATATTCTGTTGGGAAATTTGGGATAGCTGTTAATTGATGGCATTAAGGAGAAACATTTGCAGGAAAGCCTGTTCTGTGGTTGCCCTTTTCTCGCAAATGCAGTTTAGCCTCCCGCTCTGCATTCAGCCAAGACCTCCGGCACCAAGAAAAAGTGTGTCCTTGGAGTTTCAGTCACTGGGATTTGGAGAGCGATTCTCCTACAGGCAGGCAAAGTGGACAGATCTTCTCGGAATGATGAATCACTCTTTGGGAAGGGCCACAGCTCAGTGGCAGAGAATCTGCCTTGCCCACAAAAGGTCCCAAATTCAATCCCTGGCATCTCCAGCTAGGACTGGGATTTTTTTTCTTTTCTGAAATCCTGGACAGCCGCTGTCACTCAGTGTGGGCTCTAGGGAGCTGGGTGGAATTGGACTCCCTCAGCCCCAGCCAGCAGGGCCAATGGCCAAGCACAATAGGGAGCTGCTGAGAGCCTATCGACACCCATAGGACACAAGATTCTCCATCGCCATTTTAATAGCAAGCATATGCTGCAGGAAAGGAGGGACAGATTCGTGTGTTTCGTGTTAAAAACAACACCCTTTGCTTAAGGTGACATTTAATAATAATAATAATAATAATAATAATAATTTTATTTGTATCCTGCCCATCTGGCTGGGTTTTCCCAGCCACTCTGCGCGGCTTCCGACAAAGATTAAAAATACATAAAAATGTCACACATTAAAAACTTCCCTAAACAGGGCTGCGTTCAGATGTCTTCTAAATGTCAGGTAGTTGTTTATCTCTTTGACATCTGAAGGGAGGGCGTTCCACAGGGCGGGTGCCACTACCGAGAAGGCCGTCTGCCTGGTTCCCTGTAACTTGGCTTCTCGCAGTGAGGGAACCGCCAGAAGGCCCTCGGCGCTGGACCTCAGTGTCCGGGCAGAACGATGGGGGTGGAGACGTTCCTTCAGGTATACTGGGCCGAGGCCGTTTAGGGCATTAAAGGTCAGCACCAACACTTTGAATTGTGCTCGGAAAAGAAAGCCACTTTTTGAAACTGTGAAGCATTTATTAAGTACACACAAATCTTGTGCCCACATTGGACTACTTATTTTTCTCTCTCTCCTGCACACAAGATGGAGAGAAACTAAGGTAAAAAAGGAAAGTAAAGGACCCCTGGACGGTTAAGTCCAGTCCAAGGCAACTATGGGGTGCAGCACTCATCTCGCTTCCAGGCTGAGGGAGCTGGCGCTTGTCCAGTTTTCCCAGTCATGTGGCCAGCATGACTAAACCCCTTCTGGTACAACGGAATACCATGGAAACGTCGTTTACCTTCCTGCCGCAGCGGTACCTATTTATCTACTTGCACTGGCGTGCTTTCCAACTACTAGGTTGGCAGGAGCAGGGACCGAGAAATGGGAGCTCACCCCGTCGCAGGGATTCGAACCGCTGACCTTCTGATCGGCAAAGCCCAAGAGGCTCAGTGGTTTGGACCACAGCGCCAGAAATTAGTCACAGACAGCAAGACCTGCCACTGGTTAACTTCTGCGGCCGCCAAACCAGACACTTTGGAGAGGGGGCTGGCGACAGGATCCAGGGCTGGGAGTTACTGCTATCTGTCCAGGAAACAGACCATTCCTGCCCCGCTACCAGTGGAGAGGACAAGAGAACCAACCTCAGTGGATGAAACCAGGTCGAGTCCCAGCTGAAGCCTCCTTGCCTGCGCTCCCAGGGTATCACACACCCAGGTATGGGGAGAAAGATTGAAAGCCTGCCAGGACGCTGATAAGTAAAGATTCTCCCCACCACCCTACCTTCCGCTTATCTCTTCGAACAATATGAAACAAGCATTTTCAGCATTTTAAGAGCTTCCATGCTTGCCTTTTAATATGCCTGCAAAGAAACTCAGAAGCATCAGGAGGTAACTTTAAGACACTTGTGTCAAACAGAGAAGCAGGCATCACACACACACACACACACACACACACAACCTCATCGAACCACAGCAAGGAAAACCCTATGCCAAGAACAGGTGCCAAACTAGCAAAATCCCTATTCTCAGCCACAATAATAGCAAGGATTTATAAATAATACCTTTACTTGGGAGCGAGGGCTCCAAGCACAAAACAAGGATTCTTTCTGTAATCCTCTCAAGAACGCCCATGCTGCAGGCTGAGGGACTGAGGCTGGCAGGCGGCTGCTTGCCTAAAGTCTAGGAAACAAACATGGAAGAATGTCAACGGACCAGTAAAATGTGTTTCCCTTCCCCAACTTCTGTTATTTGCCTACGGGTGCCTAATGAGTTCAGGGCCAGATATAATCTGGACTGAAAATCCCTTGGCCCAAATTGGGAGGATCTGTTCTATAGTAGGACTGGTTCCCCACCAGCTTCCGTTTCCATCTTAAAGCTGCAAAGATGGACTTCAAGCGCTGTCAGGGCAGGGCGGGGGGGGGGGATTTCCACAGGGCTAGATCCCACATCGCTCAGGACCCATCAGCTGGATGGAATCGGGAGCTTCAAAGGTGCCTTCTGTTCCATGCTGACATTGTGTCCATTGTTCACTGATGGGCGATGTTAACAACAAAGGTCCATATAGTTAAAACTATGGTTTTCTCAGTAGTGATGTATGGAAGTGAGAGCTGGACCATAAAGAAGGCTGATCGCCAAAGAATTGATGCTTTTGAATTATGGTGCTGGAGGAGACTCTTGAGAGTCCCATGGACTGCAAGAAGATCAAACCTCTCCATTCTGAAGGAAATCAGCCTTGAGTGCTCACTGGAAGGACAGATCCTGAAGCTGAGGCTCCAATACTTTGGCCACCTCATGAGAAGAGAAGACTCCCTGGAAAAGACCCTGATGTTGGGAAAGATGGAGGGCACAGGGAGAAGGGGACGACAGAGGACGAGATGGTTGGAGAGTGTTCTTGAAGCTACCAGCATGAGTTTGACCAAACTGCGGGAGGCAGTGGAAGACAGGAGTGCCTGGCGTGCTCTGGTCCAGGGGGGCACGAAGAGTCGGACACGACTAAACGACTAAACAACAACAACAACAACAACAACTGTAGAGCTCAAAGGGACCACGAGGGTCATCTGGTCCAACCCCCCTGCAATGCAGGAAACTTCTTCCCAATGTGGGGCTCAATTGTAGCTCAATACTGTCCTCACTGACTGGCAGCAGCTCTCCAGGGTTTTCAGAAAGCCCTGCTTGGAGATGTCAGGGATTGAACTCGGAATCACTGAGCTATGGCCTTTGCTTATTCTGTTAAAAGCTAGGAATCTTCCCCCTGCCCCCACATTTTTGAAGTTCCCCACTTCTAAGCTATTTTGTGTTTTTTTGTGCTGTGAATCACCCTGAGATCTATGAGCCTAGGGCGGTATACAGTGGTACCTCGGGTTAAGAACTTAATTCGTTCTGGAGGTCCGTTCTTAATCTGAAACTGTTCTTAACCTGAAGCACCACTTTAGCTAATGGGGCCTCCTGCTGCTGTCGTGCGATTTCTGTTCTCATCCTGAAGCGAAGTTCTTAACCCAAGGTCCTATTTCTGGGTTAGCGGAGTCTGTAACTTGAAGTGTCTGTAACCTGAAGTGTCTGTAATCCGAGGTACCACTGTACACATTTAATTAATTAATTAATTAATTAATTAATATTCTCATCTGATAAGTTTCACACCTGCAGAGAGGCCCACTCTCATCTCAACACCTTTTATCATTCAATGGCTCACAGCTGAACAGGGGAAAAACAAAAACCTTTGTGCTTCAGAGATGCCTGATGATAGCAGGCCTTGCCTTGAGCCTTTATTGTTTTATTCTTTTGTAAACCACTTTGAAGCTTTTTTTTACAATCAGGTGGCCTGTGGTTTCTATAAACAAACAAACAAACAAACAAACAAACAAACAAACAAACAAACCACATAGTTTCCTTAAGAGAAAAAGCTAAAAGAGGGGACCGAGGAACAAAATGAAAGCAACAACTTAAAAACAAAGATTATTCTTTTTTTAAAAAAACAAATGGTAAATCACTGCAGCCATTTCCAAAGGATGAAAAAACACCCATATACGGCAGACTGGAGATCTGAGGCCGTGAGGCGGCTGTTTGGTTAAGGCTAAGGAAACAAACATACAAGAGGGCTCACATGGCACCATATTGACATCAAGGCCGGGGCCAGGCAAGTCTTCCTGGGAAGCGGCATTCCACAGTTGGGGTGTCACCACCAAGCAGGCCCTGCCTGGGGTTACCACCCTCTCGCTGCACCTCAAACGGCACCCTTTTCACGGGGGGTGGGAGTGGGGTGCTGGAGACCGACCCTAAGCCCTTCTGGGTGCAAAAGCACCTCCTCTATCGCTGAGCCCTCCAGTTTTAACGCAGAGTGGTGGCCTTGCTTATTAAACGGGTTGTTATCTCATCTGTCCTTCAATATCTACAAAAGGCACCTAAGCAAAGATGGTGATAATATGCAAATGTCTTTAAATTTAAATTGATTCATTAAAATCAATGCACTGGTTAAAAAGAAGGGCAATTAATCAGCTAAAATTCTTTAATTGGTTGACAGCTCTACTTCATTATCCACTGTGTATAACCAGTGATTATAGATATAGATTGTGTGTCTGTGTGTGATATTGCTGAAAACACACACACACACACACACAACCCTGCCAAAACACAGAAAAATCCCCTGTGTGTGTGTGTGTATATATGTAAACACACACACACACACACACACAAATTCTAAACCAATACAGTACTATTTGTGTGTTTTAATATCCATTTCAAACACCAGATGAACACATATTTCTCACTGCCATATACATATACATATAAAAAAGGTAAAGGTACCCCTGCCCGTACGGGCCAGTCTTGCCAGACTCTAGGGTTGTGCGCTCATCTCACTCTAAAGGCCGGGAGCCAGCGCTGTCCGCAGACACTTCCGGGTCACGTGGCCAGCGTGACAAGCTGCATCTGGCGAGCCAGCGCAGCACACGGAACGCCGTTTACCTTCCCGCTGGTAAGCGGTCCCTATTTATCTACTTGCACCCGAGGGTGCTTTCGAACTGCTAGGTTGGCAGGCGCTGGGACCAAACGACGGGAGCGCACCCCGCCGCGGGGATTCGAACCGCCGACCTTTCGATCGGCAAGTCCTAGGTGCTGAGGCTTTAACCCACAGCGCCACCCGTGTCCCTTGCATATACATATACATATTGTCAGGGCTGCCTCAAGTCTCAGCTCACAAAAGACCAACGCCCATGTCTTCTTATATACAAAAGTGTTTATTGCAGTTCATTGTTTGCTTGACATCCTAGGCGCGCAGCCCTACGTCTGCTACGCTTAGACCGCTGAAGTCCCCTCTGAATCCGTCCCTCCCCTGCACCAATTTAAGAGGCTTGCGCTGCTCCACCTCTTTCTCTCTTTCCTTTTCCGCAGGGTCCTTCTGCCCGCTGGGGTTTCGCCCCTCCTGGATTCCTCTGACGCGGAATCAGACTGCTCTTGCCCCCTCCTGCGGGCTTTGGGACCTGGCCCCTCCTCTGGGCTCCCTGTACTTCCGCGCGCCTCTACATTTGAACGTGGCGCGCGCGCCCAGCCTCGAACCTTCCTTTCAACAGCTACACTACGCCCTTCACTGCTCCCCTCCCCTGCCGGGAGGATGGCGTGCGCCGACCTCCCTCCGGTCTCTCCTGCCGGAGCCGCTTCCCTGACACACTGAAACCTCCACCCCTTCGCTGCACTCTGGCGGGGAGGCTGGCCCTGACACCCAGCTGCCACTTTGGGATGCCCAGCTGGCCCCCTGCTCCTGACACGTCCCCCCTGGGGCTCCCCTGGGCTTGACCACCGGCGCCCCCTCTGGGAATCCTCTGATTCGCTGGAAAGACTCATGGAATCTCTTGAGTCATTGTCATCCTCTTCCTCGCTGTCCTGGGATTCATCCCCATCGCTCTCCATCTCCTGCCTACCCTGTGCCTCTGTCCCAGAACCCCTGACACATATACATATACATATACATATACATATACATATACATATACATATACATATATAGAGAGAGAGAGACATGATGATGATGCATTAGAGACAATTTAATCTAGGGGAGGAAGGGATCCCAGCGGCCATCTAGTCTGACCCCGGGCTCCATGCTGGGTTCACAATGCAAGATGCAACTAACACGTCCCATGCCCCCCTCTCTCTGCCAATCTATATGCAGTGATGTAACCCTGAGAGAGGGATTCAGCAGAAGACCCGTTGCTTAACCAATTAGCAAACACAGGCTCATAGGAGACTGCCTGAAACTAAGTCAAACCCACTGGCCCATCTAGCTCAGTACTGTCAACACTGACTGGCAACAGCTCTCCCAATGTTTGAGACTGGAGTCTCTCCCAGCCCTAACCTGGTGACGCTGGCAATTGAATCTGGGACCTTCTGCACGCAAAGCAGATGCTATAGGCATGGAGCTACAGTTCTCCACCCCATTGCAGAATCATAGAATTGTACGCGTTTGAAGGGATCCAGAGGGTCATCCAGTCCAACCCCTGCAATGCAGGGGACTCAACTAGAGCATCTGTGATAGATGGTCATCAACCCGCTGCTTGAAAACCTGCAAGGAAGGAGAGACCACCACCTCCCAAGGGAGACAGCTCCATTGTTGAACAGCTCTTATGGTCAGAAAGTTATTCCTGATGTTTAGCCGGAATCTCCTTTCTTGTAGCTTGAAGCCACTGGTTCGAGTCCTACTCTATGAAGTTTGAGAAAAGAAGTTGGCTCCAACTCCCATGTGACAGCCCTTTATATATGTGAAGACTGGTATCTCAGTCTCTTCTTTTTGAGGCTAAACATACCTGTTATGTCAGAGATGTCTTTGGGCTGGGCTTCCAGAAGTCCCAGTTGGGGGTCAAGGATGATTGGAGTTGTAGCCTGGCAACACTTTGCAGGCCACAGACTTCTCAGCCCTGAGTTTGGTTATTACAAGCGAAAAGAGAGGAATATGGATGTGACACAGTCCACGCTGCAATCAACAGGCTTGGGGGTTATTTTGTTTGTTTGTTTATTTATTCAATTTAAACGCTGCCCTTCACTGTTTGCAAGATGGCGCAGGGAAGAGATTCCAAAAGCCTTCGCTTTGAAACATGGTCCTCCTCCTGAGGTCTGCCTGACTTGGCAGAAGAGAAGATGCGAGGCTGGGAGACAGTATTAAAAGAGGTGGCCTTTAAAACTGGGTGTTTTGTAAACAATAGGAAGAGTTAAGGAGGAAATGTGTCTCAAAGTAAATTTGATAAATAAAACCATTCATTGGCCCCAGCTACTGGAACTTTGGGAAATGAACACCGACATGTCTCCCTGGGTTCTAGGAAGCTGTTGCTATTTCCTAAAACCCAGGGAGACAGGATGATGTTGTTGATATGCATCCCATCAAGTCGGGTTGCCCCAGCCACTATGGGCAGCTTCCAACAAATTAAAAACATTCAGCACAGTAAAAAAATCCAACATTAAAAACTGCCCATATACTTATTCAGAAAGCTGGTCTACCTTTCTCAGGTGCTGTCTACACTGACTGGCAGCAGATTTCAGATGGGGACAATTCCCAGTCTTACCTGGAAATGGAACTTCTGCATACAAACAAAGTGCTCAACGACTGATCTTTGGTGCTTTTCCTGCCATTACTTGACACCATTTTGCATCATGTGCTTCTCTCTTCTCCTCGTCCAACAGTACCCATCTAAAGTCTCACGTCCAACCCCAAAACAGCTGGCTGCAACCTAATTTCACACCCCAGTTCTTAGCTTTACCACTTATAGTTTTAGCAAAAGGATAGACCATGACTCTTCAAAACTTCCCCCAGGGTTGGGGGGCCATGCAACTAAATCCAAGAATAGAAATATGGCAAACTCTGAAGGGGTCCACAGAATTGTTGTTGTTGTTGTTTTAAAAGAAGTTTATGCCAGGCAAATTTTGACTCTTCGGAAAGCTGGAGAAAATGGGAAGCAGTGGAGGGGGGGGGAGCGGGCAAAAATCAATGTCCTTCTCTAAGATCTACAGCTCTGGCTTTGCTGCAAATGCACATAAAGATTTATTCATCCATGCTACATACATTTTCTAAGACAAAAGTCAATACTCACCTTGACACAGATACTTTCTGCACCCTAGAGGGGGCGGGGTGGGAAAAAATCTTCGATTTTCTGGTGGGGATAACTGTCCTCGTTCCGCCACTTGGAGAGCCCACGTTAAGATAGAATTCACACTGTCATTTCATTTCCTGAAAGTAGCTTTTTGAAACAAGCGCACACAATTTTTATTTTTATTTTAAATTTAGGGTTACCATCTGGGGCCGAGGGTATCTCTGTAGGAGAAAAATCCAGCTCTGTCAATATACCACCTTTCTTCACATTAAAAAACAAACAAAAACTAGCAAAGTTTCTAGTCCATATGCCTGTAAAAAAGGAAGAAAAAAGGGGGTGTCCTGTTTTAGCTCAAGTCACAGCTAGGATTACAGAAAATAACTGAGCTTCATTGCATCAGAGTGGCCGCACAGCAGAAATGGAGGGTTGAAGTTCTAATAGTTATTTTTAAAGAACGGTGGCACCGTCATGTGGGGGCAGACACCCAGAGCCCCACACAGCAGAATGAGCAGGAGGGGGCCCTGAATCCAGCAGGGCTGGCTTACTATGGTTTGAAGTGAAGTAAAGTGATTAATATACCTTACCATCTAAAGAACTGGTCTAAGTCTAAAATTGCCTGAGTGCACCACTGTCCCAAAGGCTCAAGGCAGACAGAAACATTTAAAGCTGCAAAACATACAGCAGGACCCACAATTTTAAAATACCAACCTGACCCAGGTTCCGCTCAGCTTCCAAAAACAAACTCGCCACCTCACAAAAACTGCTAAGGAAGCTGCAAAGGCCCCTTTCTAAACAACAAGTGGGAGAGTGGACATCTTCGTACCCTCTTGCCTTTTCTGAATCTTGTCAAAGCATCACTTTCACACAGGCCTGTCCGAAGCTACAAGGCAGGCAATGCAACTTATCAAATGTCTGTTGAAATGAAGGAGATAAGTAATTGTTTCAGTGTTTAGCAGCTAGAAAGAAAATCAAAGGGTCTTTTAACTGGCCAGCAGCTTCATTTTCAAGCTTCCCCCCACCTGCCTAGATAGATAGATGATAGATGATAGATAGATAGATAGATAGATAGATAGATAGATAGATACGACTAGAAACCCTTCCCTCCCTTTTAAACAAGAACCTCCTCCTTTATTCACTGTGGTTCTAACGGAATCCCTCAAGCGTCAGGTTATGTGGAGGAGGATCAGGAAGGCAGAATGGTGATGAGGGTGGAACTAGCTGGTACATGGGTAGGCAACCTAAGGCCCAGGGGCCAGATCTGGCCCAATTGCCTTCTAAATCCGGCCCGCAGACGGTCTGGGAATCAGCGTGTTTTTACATGAGTAGAAGGTGTGCTTTTATTTAAAATGCATCTCTGGGTTATTTGTGGGGCATAGGAATTCATTCATTTTTCCCCCTTCAAAATATAGTCTGGCCCCCCACAAGGTCTGAGGGACAGTGGACCGGCCCCCTGCTGAAAAAGTTTGCTGACCCCTGAGCTGGTAGATATAAGCTCTATCCAATTAGATTTCAACAAGCTCTATCCAATTAGATTTCAGCTACTCCTCAATAAACACAAGGTGATGTCATCACACTGTTTACATTCCCTCTCAAGCTGGGCATTGCTGCCATTGCTGACCAACATTTCATCTTGGTGGTTTCTCCTAAGCTCTGGATCCCCTCACCAAGGGACACTCAAACCAGCTCCATCCTCAGTGACTTTCCACCAGCAGGAAAAGACATTTTGGCCCCAAAGCTGACACATAACTCATCTGGGTTCATGCAGAACACTCAACAATGCTTTGTTTTAAATTGTGGTTTGCGGAATCAACCACGAGTTGTCCCACAGATGGTTGAACAAACTGTGGCTCGGTTTGTTTTCCAGGTGAGCTTAACTCGTGCTTTCGTAAGCTTGTAGACAGACAGATGCCTACAAAAAAAGTCTGAGGCCAACCAACAGAAGTCTGGTGGCCAAACAAAACCATGGGTTATGTACCGGCTTCATAGGCGATACCAAACCATAGTTAAAACCAACCAAGGTTTGTAAGCCAATAAGGCTTCAGAACATGGTTTCCTGAAAGCAAACCAACTCTAGTTAAGCAGATCGGCTGGGTTCACACACAACACTAAATCACAATTTCAGTACACCATGGTTCCAACCAAGCCGCTATTGTTGAAATTGGTGTTCTGGTAGTTGTTAGTGATGTTTTATACCTATCATCATTTTAGGCTTAAAAAACAAAACAAAAATCAAATAAAAAATACAGAAGTACCGTAATACTGTCAGCCGCCATCAACACCGTTTGGTGGGAAGGAGGAGTGTACTGCCTCGAGAACTTTGGCGAAGAAATGGCGGAGAAATGTTTTTAAAATAAAATACATTCAGCAGCTAAAATGAACTGCGAACAGAAATGAGCCCCAGCACATTTCAGGTTGCACTGGACCGCTAAGGCTCTTGTTGAGAGCCCCACCGTGAAGAAAAAGCAGCACTGGTTCCTTCATTGCTGGCGTTTAAGAGGGCCAGAGCAGCTCTGCTGGATCCAAGGCCCATCTAGTCTGGAATCCTCTTCTCAGCGGTCAAACAAGGAGCTTGGAAGCAGGACATGAACTGGCATTCGGAGGCAGAACATAGTCATCGTGGGGGGAAACAGATAGCCTTTATCCTTCATGAAATTGTCCAAGACCTCTAAGCTCATGGCCATGACTACTTCTTGTGGGAGGAAGTTCCACAGGTCTGCCTATGTGCTGTGTTAAGGACTTTCTTGGGTCTGCACTGACTCTTCCAACACTCCGCTCCACTGGACGCCGAGTGCTAATAGTCTACGAGACGGAGAAAAATCCAACCAAATCCCCATTTATTTCGTCTTCCCTTAAACTGTTTTCTTCCCCCCGCCCCCCACTCTTAAATTGTTCAAATAAATGTTGAGTGTTGCTGCCGGACTGCGAAAGGCTTTAAAGGGCTTGTGCTAAAATGACTGCATTACATTAGAACGGGACAACATAGTGTTATTCTTTATTTTTTACTGTCTTTATGGATAAACTTTTAATATTTATTGTATGCCCTTAAAGGTTTCCTTGCAATCTAGCAGCATATACATACCCTTCGTTAAACAAAATAAACAAATAGTTGCTTTGTCTTTTGTATGTGGGGGGATCTCACTCTTAAAAAAAAAAGGCAGCCTAGAAACATTTTGAATAAATAAATGAGGTGGCCAGCTCTGTAAAGCTGTTTTATTCAGTTTTAAAGGGGGGGGGGGCGGTTGCAGAGGAGACACCTCAGGCAATCAATACAGGTAACATACATATGCACATGATACTTATGCAAGATAATCTCCATTGGAGATTGATCACAGCAGGCTAATAAATCCACTTTATAGGGATTTAATTTCCAGCTTTTTTGACCTTCTGAATAAAAACAAGTGAATCATCTTCTCTCTGTAGAGGTTAGTTCTGGTGTAAATCTAACAAAGAGCATCTCTCAACTGGGGGAGGGGCAGAAGAGGCAATCCACAAATCCCCCATCAGCAAAAAATACTTTAGGGGAGTGCTTTAAAGGTAAAGGGACCCCTGGCCATTAGGTCCAGTCGCAGACGACTCTGGGGTTGCGGCACTCATCTCGCTTTACTGGCCGAGGAAGCCGGCATACAGCTTACGGGTCATGTGGCCAGCATGACTAAGCCGCTTCTGGTGAACCAGAGCAGCGCACGGAAATACCGTTTACCTTCCCGCCAGAGCGGTACCTATTTATCTACTTGCACTTTTATGTGCTTTTGAACTGCTAGGTTGGCAGGAGCTGGGACCGAGCAACAGGAGCTCACCCCGTCACGGGGATTCGAACCGCCGACCTTCTGATTGGTAAGCCCTAGGCTCTGTGGTTTAACCCACAGCGCCATCCGCGTCCTTTACTTTAGGGAAGAACAAATCACCCAAAGCATTCTATTAGTTGCTTTCCACTTTTGGTCTCCTTGGAAGCCACCACTCAGATGATGAGCTACACATGCAGTATTTAAGAACAGACCTACCGAGAGTTTAGAACAGCCTAATTCCCAACCTGGTTGCCCTCCAGAAGTTTTGGACTACGATTCCCATCAGCCCCAGCTGCTCTGGCAAGGCAAAGCAGCAAGGTAGTTGTGGGAAGAGAGAGAGGGTCGTTTAGGGCATGACTATAGGCAACTATTCTGGTGTTCTATTTCCTTCATTCCCACTTTAAAATCACGTCTCCTCAGAACGGAGATGATTGGATAGTTACAGCCATCAAGTTTCACTCAAGGGCGTGTCACTAACAAAAACGGTTGTGCTGTACCCTCTGTTAATCTTTTGCCCAGGAACACAAACACGGTTGTGACACACAGACAAACACACACTGTTCTTTAATTCTGATTTCATTCCACAGGGTCTCTGACCACCGTCACAAGATGCTACAAAGGTCCATTATGAAGTGTCCTTCGTACAGAGAACCAGGGTACGATGGTTTGCTTTCATTGACCAGAGATGGCTACCGTGAAACTTTGAAGTTCTTCTCACTCTTCCAGGTTGCTCATAGGCCCGTAAAGTGGCTGGTTTCATGCCCTCGATGTACTTGGGGGAAAAGCACAGTTTGGCAGAGCAGTTGCCCAACACTTCCAAGACGCACTTCAACGTGTGAGCCCATCTTCGCTGAGGTCGTGCGTTGGGTGAGCCTTGAGGTTAGCTTCCAGGAACATTCCGACTCCAAGGAAGTGGAGATACCTCCTGGGGCTTCTCAACTGGATCAAGTTTGGTGGGTGCTCCTTTTTATGCTCAAGAAAAGACATCTCCATCGACAGGGGAGGAAGGGAAGGGAGCAGGAGAAGTCGCAGAGCGATGGATAGTGTCCGAATGTGGTAGACGTTCCCCTCTCCAAGGTTCAGAGCTTGTGGTAGCACAACACCCACCACTAAGCGTGGTCGCCTCCTTCGAGATGTGGCCGTTTGCCAAAGAGGGACCGATAAAGTTCCGTTCTGGGTGGGAGAGGAGGGGGAGAGAGAGAAAGAGAACAGAAAAGCGCAAGCGTTTTATTCAATTTCATTTGTCAGCTTTGAACACGAGTCCACAGCCTTTTCAAGACTGGGGGCACCTTTGAAAATCACAAGCGACCAAGAAAACCCTACTTTTCAAGCAACAACACTTTCGCTTATGTCAGAGCCACCAAGCAACAAAATAGGCTAATGGAAGATTCAAAATTGTCCGCTGGAAGCAGCCAGCAGTTATAAGCACAAACATACAACTCAGTGGACCCAGGCGCTCTCTGAAACATGGCTCCATCCGCCTACACCAGTGGTTCTCAAAGGATGGGGTGCGCCACACTGTTGCGGGAGGAGAGGATGGCAAACGTGGCAGGAAGATCCAAGGACAAAGAAACATTTGAACATTTCCATGTTGTGTATAGTATAGTATAGTATAGTATAGTATAGTATAGTATAGTATAGTATGGAGCTGAATTGTTTTATCCTTCTTGGGTATCCCATGGTCATATAAAGTACAGTGGTACCTTGAAAGTCGAAAACATTCAGAAACCAAAGTGCGGCTTCTGATTGGCTGCATGAAGCTCCTGCAGCCAAACAGAAGCCGCAGAAGCCCCGTCGGACATCCGGCTTCCAAAAATCGTTCGAAAACCGGAATAGTCACTTCCAGGTTTCAATCGTTCAGGAGCCAATTTGTTCAGAAGCCAAGGCATTTGGGATCCAAGGTACGACTGTAGTTGTTTACTATGTTATAAATCAAGGAATTGTAAATTTGGAAGGGACCCAGAGGGTCATCTGCTCCAGGTCCACCCCTCGCCCAGCAATGCAGGAATCTCAGCTAAAGCATCCATGAGAGATGGCTATGTTTCTCTTCGTTTTCCAATGTTATTTCTTATCAATTAAACATTAGGTGTGGCACGAGCAAATTTTTATTCTGAAAGGGTGGCCCAGGGGGGAAAAGTCTAAGAACCAGTGACCTACACAATAGTGGCTGGTGCTCAGTGGGACTGGGAGCCCAACCGTCGCTGGACCTGCAGAGTCAATGACAAGCAGAGCTGGAGGCAAAGAATTCTAGTTTTGTCTTCATCCTCCTCCGCCTCCTCCATATTGAGCTCTGCAAGGGAAACACTGGGGCTAAGGAGGAAGAGGAAGATGGAAGCCAGGGCCACCCCCTAGACTCACTGCAAGTAAGGAGACATGGAGATGACAGCTGGCCACCCTCGAGGCTGGTGGTGTCAGAGCCCCATTCACCCTAATGGGCCAGACCCATTCTCTAAAAACTAGCAAGTTGCAATATTAGCCACCCAGGAAACCAAGTTCTGTAACTTTGGTGACACTGCTGGGAGGACAACACTGGCGGGAACATGGACATCCAACACAAAACAGGTCTTCTGAAGATGACCTGATCCTGCAGGTAAGAGGGACACAGGAAAGGAATGAGTCTGTTCCTGGGGAAGGACACAGAGCACGTGCAGATGCCGAGCCCCCGGTGCAAGGCCACCCCTGTTTGGAGGAGGGTCTCCATGTTCTGCACCAGCTGAACAGCTTTCAAGGGCCGCCCCAGGAGGAGAGTGCTGCAGCGGTCTAGTTCTGAGGTGACGCGAGGGTTAAGGGAAAGGAGGGGCAAGAAAGAGGGGGAAGGCGAAAGCAACTTTTCAAGGTCAATTTAGAAGAAGCAAGCGGCGACCATCATCCACGGCTTCAAATGAAAAGGCTGCGAGATAATTAAAAATGCATTCGGCAATCTTTATTAATAAACACGAGGGCTGGGGAGACCTTGTGTAGTGCCACTCTCGTGCGGCACAGAAATATGTAAATACTGCGCCAGGGCTAGATTCCATCTCTCTGGGGAATGAGGTTTTTCTTCCCCCTATAAGTTTGCCCTTTCCATACAAGGCTTTTCAAGGAAGAGAACAAGATTGAATATTTTAATAGGATGTATGAGACCGCGGTGGTGTAAGGAGGATTCAATCAGGCAGGCTGCGTGGGACTATAATTTAGTTTTCATATATGTTGTTCTTTTTTCCTTGAGGTTGACACAGAACCGGAGGGGGAAGGAAGGGGGAATGAAAACAGCCCAGCAACAAAAGACTCAAATTAATAGGGCCCACTATCAACAGTGGTGTTGATAACGGGAACAGGACGGCTTTTGTCAAACACACACACAGACAAAATTAGGCTATGATTCATTTTTATGATCCATAAATAAATATACTTATAAATATATAAATATACTTATAAATAAATATAAATATAAGTTCATATATCTGAAACCTGCGACAACAGAAAGGTTTGGCTAAGGAACAGCCAAAAGTATCTATATTAGTATATTATGTGTATAGATATGTGTGTGTATGGTATATATATGTATATTCAGAATTAGTGTATTTTAACACGACCACCATCAAGCTCAGAAATCCTGTATCTTTACACACGGTCAAGTTGCTAATCCTCATGGCTGGTTAGACAAGGGTGAGAACACTTGATGTCAACAAACATCACGATCAGATGCTACGAAGTAAATAACACTTCCCAAACAGACTCGGCTGAGAAGTTTTCAAATCTCTGCTGCTCAGCAAATGAGACAACCAAAAAAGATTCCAGGATTTCTGGAGAGTCACAGCCACAGGAACAAGACACCAAATCTCAAACGCTGTGTACCTAAAATGCTTATGGAGTTGTGTATCTAGATCAGTGCTAGCTCTCCAGCTGTTTTTGCACTCCAGTTCCCATCATCCCTGACCACTGGTCCTGATAGTTAGGGATGGTGGGAGTTGTGGCCCCAAAACAGCTGGAGACCCAAGTTTGGAAAGCACTGATCTAGAGTCCTCAACCTCGGCCCTCCAGATGTTTTGAGACTACAATTCCCATTATCCCTGACGACTGGTCCTGCTAGCTAGGGATCATGGAAGTTGTAGGCCAAAAACATCTGGAGGGCCGAGGCTGAGGAAGCCTGGGCTACTGCGTGGGCTTATCAATACTAAGTTGGACAGGTCAATGGTCTCCATCGGTCTAAGCCAGTTTCCTATGTTCCTATTAGCTCAGACGATGAGGACTGGAATTTTTATTTATCGTTTTATTTTTAGCAGAAGAGCTGAAGCTCAGGGGTAGAGCACCTGCTTTGTGTGTAGAAGACCCCATGCTCAACTTCCAGCGTCTCCAGGTAGGGCTGGGAATGGGACAGCCACTGCCAGTCAGTGTCTGCACTCCTGAGCTAGATGGCATCTTCCTGCTCCACTAGCTTTCGATTTAACTGTAGGAGAGCAGCTTTCCGCACAGCCCCGACTCCTTAAGGTCAAGCACATGGCGAAATGCTGCTTGTCTAACGTTCCTTGTCTCCGTACGACTCGAGAGGCCATTTCTATTAATAGTCAGACCAGAAGCCAGAGAGAGGAAGAGCATCAATCTGGGCCGGCTGGACAGTTTGCCCGAAAGGCTCTGCGGAAAACACGGAGGGCGTTCAAATTAGCCGAGCGCCGAGGAGTGGTCCATCTAGCGAGTAATTAATAGCGCTCGCTCCCAAGGTAAGAGCGTGCAGGAGGGTGTGGGGTCGAAACAGGGGTCTCCCCTGAATTAAAGTTTAACTTACCCTTTATTGCAACCTACAAAAATCAAGTAATGAGCAGTAACATTTTTATTTCTGTTAAACTGTCATTTTAGGCTGAGCTGGGGATAATTACCTATTTCTACCGCGGTAAGGTTTTATCACCCTTAGTGAGGCATTTTCTAATTTAATATTTTTACTATATTATCATAAAACCTTGCTTTGGAGCAGGGATGGAGTGTGGAGGGGGGGGGAGTGATCATGGGCCATTTGCCATAAAACACGCAAGTACCTTCGCTTTATTATTTGTGTATTTCGTTAGAAAGGGAGCAGGATTTTTGTGGGGGGGGGATGCAGGGTGCCAGCTAGATGCAGTTAGGGTGCAGCTGGAATTCTGCACCTCTCCCACAGACAGAAACCTGTCCCCTATAAAAGTCAAAGGGAAACTGATAGGAGGTAGAAAAAAGAGATCAAATCTGAGAATGAGGTCGAGGAGACTGTAAATATTATGCGCTGTAATTAGGATATTTGCATAAGAAAGAAACGCCACCCTGATTTAGGAAAAAGAATTGGTGCAGGTGGGTCAGCGCATGCCCATCCCGCTTAAATGGGGGGGGGGTGATTTTCTTGGTGTAGAAGGGAAACAGGTGCCCCCAGTCGTAGCAGCACAGGAAGTTGCCTCATGCAGTCAGCACAGCACTGTCAACACTGACCAGCAGCAGCCCTCCAAGATTTCAGACTGAGGGACTTTTGCAGCCTGACCTAGACATGACGAGGTTTGTTCCTGGGACCTCCTGCGTAAAGGTAAAGGACCCCTGGATGATTAAGCCCAGTCAAAGGCGATTATGGGGTGCTGCGCTCATCTCGCTTTCAGGCCAAGGGAGGCAGCGTTTGTCCACAGACAGATTTCCGGGTCATGTGGCCAGCAGGACTAAACCGCTTCCGGTGCAACGGAACACCGTGACGGAAACCAGAGCACATGGAAATGCTGTTTCCCTTCCCGCCGGAACAGTACCTATTTATCTACTTGCACTGGCGTGCTTTCGAACTGCTAAGTTGGAAGGAGCGTTGTGCAGATTCGAACCGCCGACCTTCCGATCAGCAAGCCCAAGAGGCTCTGTGGTTTAGACCACAGCGCCACCAGAGTCCTTCTGCATGCAAGGGTGTTGTTCTAAACGGATGGTTAGTCCGCAGCATAGATACACAGGAGTTAGCTGTATATGGAGTCAGATTGTTGGTGCAATGGCTCTCCAGGATTTTCAGACAAGGGGATATTCCCTGTCCTACCTGGAGATGCTAAGGATTGAACCTGGGACCTTCTGCTCGCAAAGGATTCTGCATGCAAAGCGCAAACAGCAACAACTCTCCCCACTTGAGATTCCCAGCAGCTGGTGTAAAGTAAATCTGCATGACTTATGTGGGTCACAGAATTCAGGGTACTCTCTTCCCCGCTCCTGATATGGGATTTTGAGGTCATGCAACTCCAAACGCAGGGTGAGCTTGGAGCTTTTTGTGTGCCCACATGCCAATGAGAACAAAACCAAGGGCCGGCAATGGTTTGGTCCCCAAAGGGAACAGGGCAAAGTGCTGCAGAAGTGAACCATTCCATGGTTTAAAAATAACTATCAAAACAAGGCCAAATGCAGCTGCGTTTATTTTAAGCCGCCCACATTCTCAGTATCTCCGATGGCATTATAAAAAAAGGAGAGAGTGAGCACTAGGGGGCAATCTCACCCTCGTTTAACCGACAAAACTTCAGGAAAAGGGCACACACACACACAATATAGAAACCACACCAGCGAATGTGGGCGATAACAATTATACCAGGCCATAAATTAACCAGTAGCTAGCCTGCAGCAGTTTCTCTTTCTCCCTGGGTCAGGATCAGGGGCTCTCCAACAACACCCACTTTTTAGACCTCCACCCCACCCTGCTCTTAGGCTGCATTTACATGGTGGTTTGTTCTATTTAACATCATGGTGGTTTATTCTACTTAATTTCCCAAACGGTCAATTTCCACACTATCTTTCACACAATGAGTGCAAGCTTAGAACTCATTTCCATATTGTTTGCAAACGGGATTTTCCCTGGAAGGAAAGTAACACGGAAACAAGCAGAAAACTTGCATGATATTCCACTACAGTTCAAGGAAGCGGCTTCTATGCGGAACTTAACAGGGGAAAGACGTTAAAATGGAATAAATGCCATGGAATCCCGAAGGGTGACCTCCAACAGGTCTCCTCCCGAGGTAAGATCGAGATTTACAAGGTTTTCAGACAGGCAGCAATGGTGGGAAATGTAGGGGGGGAAGGGATTCTTCATACCCAGCTGTGCAAATGACGGCCATGGACAGCAATGGCTTCTTTCACCCCACTCCCCTGAGTTGTGGGGGTGGGTGGAATGCTCTTAATCCGGCCCCCAGCGTCCCTTTTGGGTGGGTTCACTGTGGCTACAACTACCCTATACATTTAAAGCAGCATTATATCACTTTAAACAGGCTCCCCGTGAAGAATCTTGGGAACTGTAGTTTGCTAAGGGTGTTGAGAGCTGTTAGGAGACCCCTATTCTCCTCACTGAGCTGTAATTCCCTGCCAAGGCTGGTTGTGGGTGGTGGCAAGGGAAGTCTTTTCGCTGTTGTCATTGTTAAAATAATAACTGAGAGTCAGAAACTCTCACTGATCTATGGTCTCTCCTTCTGTGGCCTGTATATACTTCGTCCTTCTCCATGGGGGTGAGGCTTATTGGCCTCCCCCGAAACATGATCAAAAGAGGGCAGGCTCAGCTACGTAAGGGCACTGGTCTTAAGGCAGGCAACCAGACTTGTAAAACACCAGATTCCTTCGTGACTCCATTTCTGCAGAAACCTAGGAGCGCAGCAGCAGCAGCAATGATCAACAAGATTCTGAGAGAAGATTCCACAATTCTGCGCTCAGCGGAATTTAGTAGTGAGTGCAGAAATCAGCTGTCACTCTTCTTTTTTTAAGCAAAGATTTGGCCCACTGTGCAGCTATACCTCTGGTCTATGGAACAAGCACCCCTACTGAGCATTGCGACAGGTGTCTGTCCACAGATAGTTTTTCTGGAAACAACTGAAGACATTTTTGTTTTGACAAGCAATTCCAATGCGATTGGGGGCGGGGGGGGGAATCTGCTTTAAGTGCTTAATCCTATTGCTTTGAGACCTAACTTTATATATTTTAAAAATTGTTTTTAAACCTATTTTCAGGAGATTTAAGGTGTAAACCTCGCCTTGAGGTTTAAGTGAAAGGAGACACCTCAGTTAATATAATAATTATTATATTATATATAATAATGGAGATTATTAATAATGAAGATGAAGATGAAGATAATAATAATAATAATAATAATAATAATAATAATAATAATTCTGTGAAGATACACCCAAAAGGATGTGGCAATTGAATCTTACGGCCCTTCCTGTTAGTTAGTTATTTCATAAAATCCAACACTGCTGAATTGTTTTAAAAAAACCAAAAAACCTCAAAGTGGTTTTCAAAGAAGGTAAAACTATATTGATAAAAAGAATTAACAACAACAATTTAAAACACTCAAAAAATTAAAATCAACAATAAACTAAAAACTGACTAAAACACGAATCAGCATTCTAAGTTTCTACGTAGGCTTGCCTAAAAACAAAAAAGTTTTTAGCAGGCGCCGAAAAGAGTACGGCGAAGGCATCTGCCTGATATCAACAGGCAGGGAGTTCCACTGAGCATTCACCACATTCGGTGTGCAGGAAGGTTAGATGACAGCTACGTCAAAGCAAGTGTGTTCTTTCCTACGCTTTTCAGATTCATTTTCCTGTCACCTTCCTTATCCCAAGAAGCCCCATCTTTTGGGGAAGAGGCCAGTCGCGCCATCAACTGGAATTGCTCAACCTGAATTTGGTGGTGTGCGACTGAATCTCCCTTGGACAATGGCGCCCTTAGAAGCTGAGGGGTGGGTCAAGGAATCCCCCTTGTTGACAGGGCATGGCTTTGGCGCCCGGCTGCTGCATACTCTCCCCTGTGACCTAGAAATCTAGAATGGACCGTGCAAAAGAAGCACATTCAGCCCCACAAGCAGCACAGAGTCAACTATGCAGAGCTGAGGAAGTTACGGCTTCCCCGATGGGTGAATAAAGAGAGAACAAACTCAAATTTGGACACATAAATCACAAAAAAGAGCACATACACACACAAAGTTTTTCAAAAAATAGTATTTTGGCCAAGGAGGAGGTCCTTTTTGTGTACTTTAATATTCCGCAGCCCTAGAATGGTTTCTTCCCTTCCACAGCTTGACTGTTTCGTAACAGATTCTATGCAAGAGATGACAAATTGTCTTGCTGGGGGAAAGCAACAAATCATCCTGCCTCTCTTAACAGGTTAGCTTTATTTATTTTACTTCTTCGCCGTTGTTTTTTAAAAGGACATTTCCATAACCAAAGAGGTCCAGGAAATTTTGCTTTGCAGGGCATTGCCTACATTTACAGCCCTTCCAATTGCAAAGGCTTGAGGGGAGCTGATTTTTGGGGAGGCCTGGCTATGAATGGAGCTATTGCGGGGGGCAAGCTCTGGGCTTAGGAACAGTGGAGAAAGCTGTACATTCCAAGCCTACCTAATATGTGTGTGTGTGTGTGTGTGTGTGTCCCCAATATGTACGTATATAGCAATAAAAAGACTTCCAAATCTATTGGAATTATCAATATATAGATAAAATCTGCAGATTTTAAAAAGTAACGTACATGTAAAATTACATTGCCCAGGTAAAGGTAAAGGGACCCCTGACCATTAGGTCCAGTCGCGGACGACTCTGGGGTTGCGGTGCTCATCTCGCTTTATTGGCCGAGGGAGCCGGTGTACAGCTTCCGGGTCATGTGGCCAGCATGAATAAGCCGCTTCTGGCGAACCAGAGCAGCACACGGAAATGCCGTTTCCCTTCCCGCCGGAGCGGTACCTATTTATCTACTTGCATTTTGACGTGCTTTTGAACTGCTAGGTTGGCAGGAGCAGGGACTGAGCAACGGGATCTGTGGTTTAACCCACAGTGCCACCCGCGTCCCTTTATTGCCCAGGTAGGTTTACCTAAACTGAAAATTTTTGAAGCAGGTGGCGATAACAGTACAGTGAAGGCATCTGCTTAATATCAATACGCAGGGAGTTCCAAAGAATAATAATGCAATTAGTATAATATAATATAATATAATATAATAATATAATATAATATAATATAATATAATATTATATTATAATATAATATAATATAATATAATATAATATAACATAATAACAGTGGTACCTTGGTTCTCAAACACCTTGGTAATCAAACAAATTGGAACCCAAACCCTGCAAACCCGGAAGTAAGTGTTCCTGTTTGCGAACCTTTTTCGGAGGCCGAACGTGCTCTGTTTTGAGTGTTACGCTGAGGTCTGTCTGTTTGTGCTATTTATTTTTCGTTTTTATTTTTGAGGCTTTTTTGTTTTGTTTTTGTGACTGTGTGGAACCCAGGTCAGCTACCGATTGATTGATTGATTGTGTGACTGCAGTACATTGTTTATCGCTTTCGTTTTATGGATCAATGGTCTCGTTTGATAGTAAAATTCATGTTAAATTGCTCTTTTAGGGGTTGTTTTTAAAAGTCTGGAACGGATTAATCCATTTTGCATTACTTTCTGTGGGAAAGGGCGCCTTGGTTTTGGAATGCTTTGGTTTTGGAATGGACTTCTGGAACGGATTAAGTTTGAGAACCAAGGTACCATTGTATATTATAATAATAGGTGCTGCCACACTAATAATACCAATTTCTCACCAATGCAGAACGAACTTTACGTGGAGCTCGTGAAAATGCCAGGAACCGCAGAAAGAAGTGGTCAGGTGGGCACATTTGGGGGTTAAAACGACCCTCCAAGTAAACTTTCAAAAAGATAACTTCTTGTATTGGCAGAGATAGCGGGATTGACAGCTCCAGACCCAAATTCCCCCACTAATCCAACCACTCAGTGTTTTTAATACCAGACGTGCAAAGTACGCAGAGTAAAAAGACTAGGAACTTGTGAAGATTTCCCCCCTGCTAACTCTTATGTCACAGAAACCTATTAATCCTTTAATGCCCGGATTTCCTAGAGGAACCTCCTACAGCTCGCAGCAAGACGGGCAGTGACTGACCCAGAGGAAGAGTCCGCTTTTTAGAAGACGGGAACCTAGTCTGGGGAAATGTGCCACCCCTGACTAAAACACATATAGCCTGCCCACTTTTGGTGGCCAACAAGAGGAGTTATGTTAAGGCATTCCAACATCCTAAGTACAGTGGTACCTCGGGTTACAGACGCTTCAGGTTACAGACTCTGCTAACCCAGAAATAGTACCTTGGGTTAAGAACTTTGCTTCAGGATGAGAACAGAAATCGTGCTTCAGCGGCGTGGCAGCAGCAGGAGGCCCCATTAGCTGAAGTGGTGTTTCAGGTTAAGAACAGTTTCAGGTTAAGAACAGACCTCCAGAACGAATTAAGTACGTAACCAGAGGTACCACTGTATTTCAGCCTTACACCTAACTTTGCTTCGCGAGAGTTTCCGCGGAGAACGCCGAACCATCTGGCTACCGTAGCTCAGTGGTTAGAGTGAGCCTATGGCTATCTTTCAACACAGCCTACCTCAAAGGGTTGTTGTGTGGATGGGGCACGGGGGTGATGAACTATGTATGGCGTGTTCCCTGGAGGAAGGGTGGGATAAAATATTAGGAAGTATGCAAAAAAAGGCGGCAGTCTCTACTACTAAGCCAGAAAGCTCAGGTGACTTTTCTTCTCTGTGCTGGGTTATGTTCAACCACTGATGTGAGTCATGCCTATTAACAATGGGTCTACTTTGAGCAGGACCGGCTTTAGGGGAAACCCCTAAACATCAGGTCCCCAAATGCAGAAAAACAGCCACCGTTTTGCCACTGGATGCTATCGATCAGTGATGATGTGGACCAGAGTCTGGACATTGGAATCAGAAGAATATAGCACAGTGGAGTCAAGTCCTTCAGGAAGAGCAGTGGGTCGATAAGATTTGATGTAATCTGTGCTAGGATTACAAGGCAGAGATGTGTCCTTGGCGCCCCCAAAGCCACAGAGATTGTTTGGGGTAGACTTATTACTCCTGGCATTTGTGGCCCCCCCAAAAATATCAAAGTGGGGGTGAAGGAGGCTGTTAAACAGGCAAAGCTGCTTTCAATAAATTAGATTTTGCCTCTCACCTACAGCAAACCTACCTCACATGGTTGTTGTGAGGATAACAACAACAGAGAACCACATATGCCACCTTGAGCTGCTTGGAGGAAAGGTGTGATAAAATAAAAGTTGTGTTGTTTTTTTAAAAAGTGCTGCGTTCAAGTGTTTTTTTCCCGACAGCAATGCGCCAGGTGTGCCTGAGCGTGTTCGTGCACACATGGTGTGGGTGTCCCTGACAACATCTGTATCAGCGGGCAAATTATAAACCATGTCAATCCAAGTTAATGCAAAGCTGTAATCCTCTTTAACTAGAGATCAAAATCAGCGCCATGAGTTATGTTTGTCCCGCCGTCTGATAAGGAACAGAGGGAGACGCTAATAAAGAAAGGAGCGACGAGAAACCCTTTTAACGATGCCATTAAATGGCGCTGCCAAGTTTAGAAACATTGCTCTAGTTCCGGACCAATTAGAAGGGGGGGGCGGCTGCAGAATCTTTGCCCCGGTCCTCCTTCATGTGCCAGGAGCATCCCACCCACCTCTACCCAGCGCCCTGAGCCCTGTGTTCTCACGGAGGACAACTAGATGCCTATGGGAAGAAGGAGCTCAGCGCAAGGCTACTCTCAGCTCCTGTGGTTTCCAGCAACTGGTTCCCAGAAGCATGGATAGCCATTGTGACTGGTAGCCACTGATGTTGCAACAACTTTGAACTTACGAGAGAAGGTCCATTGCAAAGGGTTATTCTGCATGGAGAGTGGATACCTAGTACAGAATCTGGCATCCTAAAAAAAAGCACAGGTTTAATTTAATTACTGGATACCTCCGGGATGTCCGTATGACACAATTCCACGGAAGTGCAGAACCGATCCTTTTAAACATTAAGTTTATATCCTGCCTTTCCTCCCAAAGCAGCCCAGAATGTGGTGCCAGGTGCGAGAACTAAAACAACCTGTTTATTTAAGAGCAAGTTTCTAGTTCTCAAGAGGTGTTATGCAGGGCTACCAAAGTCTCAAAAGGACAAGGCAGGTGGACGAAGAAGGTTTTCCTTAAAGAGCTGCTTTCTGCGCAATGCCTTCAATCCCAGACCAGTAGCGACCTTGAAATGCCAGACCCCCTCTCCTCCAAGTGAATATCTGACTCTTGCTTTGGCTACCCAGAGCCCTTGTGCCACCATCTGCACCCCAAACTGCTTTTTCACAAAGTCCCAGCTCAGCATTCAAATCTAGAAAGGCGCTTTCCCTCACCCTGCAAGCCATTGTCTGCTGAGTTGGAGAAAACTGTGAGCATCCCAACTCCTTTTGCATCCTTAATCCTTAATGCATCTTCTCTTCCCCCCCTCCAAAAGTCCCACCACCAGGCAATTAATCTATTTTATAGACTGTAAGCATGCTGCTGTTTCCCCCACTACCCCCCCCAGCGCCTGATTTTTCACACTATAAACATGAGGTGTTTTTATTTATTTTGGGGTCAAGCCTCCAAAATGACGGAAGGGGGAGGGGGGGAAGCCCAGTGCGTGATCACACCGCTGTGAAATGCATTATTTGCATTTTCAATCTCGTAATTCACACTTGCAAACAATGAAATTACCTTCGACTGGCACTAAAGAAAGCGCCGTTATCATTACCTTCCCTCTTTCATGCTTATATAGGTTTTGCATTGCAAAAGGAAAAAAAAAATTAAAAAAATAATATATGGAAGGAAGGGGAGGGGGGCAATTCTGGGAGCCGTTTTGAATTGGACGCTGCGAAATTAACTTGGCCTCATAGAAAATGTGGTCCCCAGAAATACAGCCGAGGACAACAGGCTCTATGCAGTCCACCTGTGCATCATTTACAAGCAGAAACTGGTGCACACAGTTCAGCCTCCTGTGAAACTTAGAAACATCCTTTCTTTTTTTTTAAGAAGCTTCCCAAACAGTAGCCATGTTTGCCTCTTGCATCCGCAATAAAGGCCACATTCCCATGCCATGACACATTAAACAAGCATGAGCGCAGACCAAAACATCTGGAGGGCACCAGGTTGGGGATGTCTGGAAGAAACCATGGGTGGTCTGTGCAAAACTAAAGTCTGTGCTAAGCTAAAAATTGCGGTGGAACTTTTTTTTTTTTTGGCAACCCGAGTGCCACAACGCCTCATGGGCAACCTTCTGGGGGCCGCACGCCAGTGGTGAGCAGGGCAGAGGATGCTCATCTTAACACACTATGGTAGAAGAAGAAGAGTTTGGATTTGATATCCCGCTTTATCACTACCCGAAGGAATCTCAAAGCAGCTAACAATCTCCTTTCCCTCCCCCCCCACAACAAACACTCTGTGATGTGAGTGAGGTTGAGAGATTTCAGAGAAGTGTGACTGGCCCAAGGTCACCCAGCAGCTGCATGTGAAGAAGTGGGGAAGCGAACCTGGTTCACCAGATTACGAGTCCACCGCTCTTAACCACTACACCACACTGGCTCACACATAGGTTGCATTCTGGCTTCTCCGAGTGGTTTAATATAAGCTTACCAGATTCCCTGTTTCCTGGGGACAGTCCCTGGATTTACAAATCAGTCCCCTGACAAAATCCTATCATTTCGACTCATTTCAATGAAGTGTCCTTGGATTCATTGAAAAAAACCTGGTAACCTTAGTTTAACAACCAGACCAGGGAACTCTGGGAACTGTAGTCCTGTAACGGGAGCAGGGGTCTCCCCAACCGACCTTAACATACTGCAGCTCCCAGAATTCTCCGGGTGAAGCCAAGACTGCCTAAAGTGGTACGGTACGTCTTTAAATTTATACTGCAGATGGGGCCTCAAATGCGTTCTCCTTTACAGTATGTCATGACTCTTGGTGACATTGAAAACAGTGCAATCTGACTGCATGGAAATTTTCTTTTTTAAAGCACAGACAAAGCAAGATATAGCTGAAGTGTCTGAGCAGCAAATGGCAAGGGCAGAGCCCGGCCTGAACCGCAGAGAAACGCAGTGTGCAATTCTAGCTGCGAAATGCACCCATCTGGCTCGGCCACGACAGAAGGCCCACATTGTGCCGGTGACAAATGGCTAACTGATACAAAGAACCAGGGACAGTGACAGCCTGAAGAACAGGTCAATATCAAGCTGTCACAAAGCCCTCCGAGAAGCGTAATTAACCGCTTACTAACCTGGCATCATCCGTCATCGTGGAATGGTCAATGGGGGCCATGAAGCTGACCAGCTTGCTGTGGACGTGATACCTGGGAAGAGAAACACACACACGGAGGGTGCATTGTAACTATTCAGATAGAGGAAATGAAAGCAGAAAGCAGCCTTCTTCTCAAGTCAAGACCACTGGTCTGCCTAGCTCAGAACTTCCTGCACTGGCTGGCAGCAGCTCTCCAGGGTTTCAGGTGAGGAACGATTCCCAGCTGTACTGGAGGCTGAAGATGGGGCCTTCTGCATGCAGAGCAGATGTTCTGCTACTGAGCTGCTGTCCTCCCACAAAGCTGTTGCGCCTTCACGGAAATCGCTGCAGCTAAGCGATGGAGCACACTCTGCGCTCGCGTGAGGTTTCGATTCAGAGCATCAGATCCCAGCCATACAAAGGCAGCGGTGGGAAGGTCAGAGGGCCCCTTCTCTCCCCAGCACTTTCTCCCCCCAGCTCTCTTTCCCTTCAACGCTATACAGTGGTACCTCGGTTTAAGAACGATTTGGTTTACAAACTCTGCAAAACCGGAAATGGTGTCTTGGTTTGCGAACTTTACCTCGGTCTATGATGTAAGTAATGGGTGCCGGCTGCTAGCCTGCTCCCTAAAATATCACTGTTTTGCTCATTTCTATATATAGGGTGCCTATATTCTGCATGCACTGGTTGCATGGCAACGTGTGCCAATAGCTTTAGATACCTATTAGGTCCATAAATTACCATATAGCATATATTCAACACACAAAAAACAGCGACGAATTGTTGTTGACAAAGGACAGCTGGACATATAAAGGGCCCCATTACTTTCAGTAGCTTAGGGCCTCATCAAACCTAAATCCAGTCCTGGTCATTCCCCTCCCCCTCTTAGGTTTTTGATAACTCGGCGGTGGGGGAGGGGGGAGAGAGAGACATAATCCCACAGACAAAAACTGTTCTAAATCCCTTTGGCTAAAAGGAAGAAGAAGAAGAAATAATAATAATAATAATAATAGAAAGGTTCTATGAGCCCAGCTCAGGGGGGTGCGATGTCTGTCAGGGGGCTCTGGCGGAGTCATGAATATATCCCAGTTGCGTACGACGCTGACAGGAAGGAATATTGATAGTCAATAATTACAGGCTTTTAGGCCCAACAAAGCAGCTCAACCCTCTTTTCATAAATTATCTCATGACATCTATCTTAAAAATTGCTATGCCAGGCCTGACCCAGCCCCACTCGGCTGACTTCTATCAAGTGCCCATCTGAGCACGGGATTTATTGTTTTGGTCACACACACACACACACACACACACACACGAGAAAGGGGTGCTTGAAGTTGTGCATCTCTCGCCTACCTCCAACTCCCAAAACCAAACCATACCAGCAGGGAAGGCAGTACAGTGGATTTTCTGGCTTCAGTGCATCAAAAGAGAAACATCTTGTACTTCAAATTTATTCTGACGCACAACTCTGGATAAAAAAGGTGAATCGGTGGTAGCTGACCCAAGAAGCCCCCTAGGTGTTGCTGGACTCCAGCTCCCATCAGCCCCCCAACATGGCCAACGGTCAGGGATGCAAGGAGTTCAAGTCCAACCACAACTGATCTGGATGCATTGCTCCAATAGTTGGTCTGGCTAGGTATTCATTTCCAAGCTCAATTTTTTAAAAAGTGTTGGTATTATTAGCCTGTAATGCTTGGGGTCGTGGCTTAAACATTTAGGAACATGAGAAACTATTGTGGGCCACCTGAGCACATACATGCAATGCAACCATGCACACTTGCCTTGCAGCCACACACACATATTTATACCCCACCCATCTGGCTGGGCTTCCCCAGCCACTCTGGGCAGCTTCTAACAAAATATTAAAATACAATAATCCATCAAACATTAAAAGCTTCCCTAAACATGCACACTCATCTTCCCGCTCCGAGTCTCAGGGGCGTGAATTTTAGTCTAGCAGCGACAGATCAAACAATGATGGCGCCAGACAAACTTCCCTTGGCAGAGCATTCCCCAAATGGGGAACCACCACTGAGAAGGCCCCGTTCTTGTGCTGCCACCCTCCGCATCACCTCTGATGGTGAATGCAATTTTATCCCTTTTCTTTTTTTTACTGTATACTGCTTTGATAGCCTCTGCCTATCGATATAAGAAGAAGTAAGGCTGTGTAAGAAACAAATAAATAAAACTCGAAGCTAAGAAGGCAGTCAGGTCCCACAGAGTGGGGTGGGAGGGTGAGCTACAACTGGCCCAGCACCATAGACCGAGGTTTGTTTGTTTGTTTTTCTTTCACAATATTTACCGTATTTTTCCATGTATAAGACTAGGGGGTTTTTAAACCAAAAAAAGGAGGTTTAGAATTGGGGCTCGTCTTATACACGGGCAGTGCTGAGGGGTGTTTTCTTAATTTGGAATCCCCCAAAACAGGGGGCGTCTTATAGACGGAAAAATATGGCATATGCCAGTTGATTGTAATAAAACCTCAAAGCGGTTTACAAAAGAATAAAGATATCAGTATTTATATTTTTTAAGAAACCAGTTAAAAACAAGTATTTAAAACATACCAAAAAAATTGAAATCAACAATAAGCTAAAAGCAGATTAAAGCACAGGCCGGCTTCTACATGCCTGGACAGGCTTACCTAAACAAAAATGCTTTTTTTGGCAGACACCAAAAAAAAAATACAGGGAAGGCACCTTCCTTATGTCAACAGGCAAGGAGTTCCAAAGTCTAAAAGACTGATTTCTTACAAGTGTGGAACAAGCAATATGCACCAGTGCCAGTTTGGCTGACCGCAAGAGTCAAACGGGCATGTATGGTGCAAAGCGATCTGGCAAGAAAAGACAAGGCAGCCTAATGTACTCACCGAATTTTCCTTCCTTTGCTGGCCTTTTTGTCCACTTTCTTCCGGATTTTGCTCCGCAGTTTCTGGATAGCCAGCCATTGCCTAAGGAAGCGGGGGGAGGAAATTGCAGTAATTGTTAAGGTTCCTTGAAAGAGAGTGGGGACATCAGCTTTTGGGCGAATGCTGAAGATGCACTTCTTCACCTTGGCCTGGTGTATATTTCTAGGACCCACGTAAGTTTTCTGATTGTAATTTGCTTTAATCTGTTCTCCATACTGTGTATTAGTGCTGCGAACCACCCTGGGACCTTAGGATGTAGGGCTGGTGATAAATTTAAATAATAATTTAAAGAATCAGCCCCCAGGGCCCCCATCAATGGGAGAAAAGCACCCATATCAGCTGCCACTAGGCTTATTCGAACACTGACACCCAGTAAAATTTGGGCATGTGTAAGGGGAGAGGGAGGGTCATTGCCAGAGACACTGAGCCAGTGCAAACACGAACCGAGCGGGAAGAGCAAACAGCCTCTCATGGATGGAGGACTTTTGAGGGGATATTTCCAGAGACCATCATAGGAGGTACCCAAAGGTACTGGCAGCCCCTGAACAAGCTGAGGGACCAGGAAGGAACTTGCACCACCTGTATTAGCAGCAGAGGCTCTGCAGGAAGGCCAGAATGGCAGCAGAGCTAAAAATACGATGGCCTTAAAGCTGCCTAAGTGCCCATTTTCTGCATCCCCAGAGTCAAATGTAGAGCTAAGGGGCAAAACCCTGTTTCTATCTCCAGTTCGGTGCTTAGAAAAAGGCTTTGTTAAAAAGCGACACACACACCCCATCACCACACACAGCAACATTTCTAAATCTGGTTAATGAATGTTACACATTTGGAAAACAGCCGCCAGTTAAAATTTGGAAGAACATTAATGGGGGGGGGGGGGTTGACACAATAATGAGAGTTAGGAAAGAACCTCTGGCTGCGAACACACCATACCCTTAAAGCACATTAAAAGTACATTTCCTCTCTCAAAGAATCCTGGGAACTGTAGTTTAAGGGTGCTAGGAATTATAGCTCGGGGGGACTACAGTTCCCAGGATTTGGGGGGCTGTGTGTGTGTGTGTGTGCTCTGAAAGCGCTTTAAAAGTTATCGTGTGCATGCAGCCAAATACATACAGGATGGATGCGTGCACACACCCCCCAAAAAAAAACTAAATAAAAACTGAGCTGGAGTTGGTTGCATACAAATCACTGCCCATAAGCTGTTTGATGCGTTAAAAAAAAAGCTCAGGCGCATCGGTGAAACGGTTTTCATCCTTGTTAAAATATTGCCTGGTGGTGTTTTGTTTTTGTTTATTTGGTGGTATGTCTGGAATATTATGGAAACAAGGCTCTGCTATCATTTAAACAGGAGGCAGCCCAAAAAACTCCCGCACTTAAGTGGTGATTACATTGTACATTTATCTGACTTTACAATAAAATAGATTGCGGTAATTAAGATTATATTAAGATTGTGGTAATTGGATTTTGAGATTCCACCCCACCCCACCCTGCGATGCCGGGCTCCCCGACAAGTAAATCAGGTGAAGGCAATGCCAGCTTCCAGCTTAAAAATAAAAATGTGCGTAACTAGCAGGAAGAATTTTCATTCCCTGCCTCCTGTCCACCCCCCTTCCCTCCAATTCAGTCTCCTCCAAATATCTTCGGCACACACATACGTGGTGTAATAAACACAAATCACTTCCCACCTATCCCCTTGCCTTTTTGCAAACATTACAATTCAGACTCAAAACTTGAGTATTCATTGCACTACCCTGCGCAAGCCAGCAGTGTGTTGCCCTTTGTGCAATGTTTCAAGCCAGACAAAAACAGGCCGCTTACCTGCCCATTGCCACCTGGTCGTTGGGGTCCAAGGAGCTGGTTTTACGTTCAATAAGTTCCCTGAGGAGCTGCAAATGAAGGGAGAGGAAGCCATGTTTGGTTTTGTTTTTTGAAAAGAGCAATAGGAGATTGTGGAATTCTCAGACTGGGTTTGAACAACCATCTTGTGGGGCGGGGGAGACAGAAAAGAATGCCAACCTGCTGTTCCTTCTCGCCTAGACTTTACTTCCTTCCTGCTTCTTCCCCAGGCTCAGTCCGCATAAGTTAGCAGGCGCTAGTGTTAACATCTTGGCTCCTATACTTAGAATGGCTTTGCTGGCCACGAACAATAAATATCAAGCATCCCTCGTCCCTTCAACCAGCAGTCTTGCCAGATCATTTCTTTCTGCACACCACTGGAATGAATTCGCCAAAACTCCCAACGGATCTTACCCAGCTTCTGAACTCAGGAATGAGAATCGGAACCATGAATTTCACCCTCCCATGCCAGCAGTAGCGCGCCATTCCTGGCTCGGCTTCTTTATTTATTTCCTCAAATCTATATAGCATAAAGTAGCTTTGAATGAAACCTCAAAGCGGTTTTTAAACCAGAATAATGCAGGGTCAGGTTACCAATGGCTCAGTATATAACCAACCCTGGCTGGCAGGATTTCCCCAGGGTTTCAGACAAAGACTACAGTCACAGCCCTTCCAAGAGATGTTGGGGATTGAACCAGGGACCTTCTACATTCAAAGCAGACGCTCCATCCCTGACCTCTGGCTCTTCCTCAAGCTCAAGAACTGCTATTTGTATCTCCTTCTTTGAAAAGCTCCCTTACTCAGCAAAAGCTTTGAGACTACTGAAAACACACAATGGGAAATATATATTTTTTTCAGTGGTAAGGGCCACATTCCCTTCTGCACAACCTTTTGAGGGCCACATGCAAGGTGTTGGGTGGGACCAGAGGCGAACATGGGTGGGGCAACAAACCTAATTTTTACCTTTGCACAGCAAAGGCTGCAGACATTCACACATTGCCCTGTGTCCTCCATTAAGGCAAGAGCAAGAGGCACTATCAGAATGCACACTTTCCAGCCAGGCAAAAACACTCAAGGAGGTTGCGAAGCTGGGTCAGTGGGTTGTGTTTCAAGAAGTTCAGAGGGCTAGATAGAGAAGCCCAGAGGGCCACACTTGCCCCACCCTCAGGCCTGTCTTAAATCCTGGTAATCAAGGGGGGGTGGAGAAGCCTTTAGACTGGCTCTGACATATTATTGTAAGCCGCCTTCTGTTTTGGAAAGGGAGCAGATGGTGTTGCAATACTTTCTTCATCAAGAATGCCAGGGGAGGGGCAAGATAAATTACGGAGGGGGGGGGTTGAGAATAGGAGGAAGCTGGAACTCGCTTTGGAGCGCAACACAGAATGCCATTAGGAAGACTTATTGTACTACAGTTAATTTCAGACGAAATCAATGAGCGTTGCAGGCTTCCCTTCATCATTTTATGATTAGTTTAATCCACCCCATCTATATCAGCAGAGAATCTTTAAAAGGTCAGGCAGAAAACACAGGGAAAGAAAAGGTGGATAAAGGCATCCATCTCTACACCGGGGGGGGGGGACACACAGGCGAGCTAACGATCTTTTAAGCCCAAACAAGTGGGTTTTTGGCCTGTTTCGGATTTCAATGCAAACTAGAAGTGGGATACGTTAATGCTCAAGATAACGTTCAATGCATGGATATGTTCCACTTCTGGCTCAGTAACAAAAGGCAGCAACACAGTTGAAAACGTGACACATTTTGTGAGATTCCTGGGAACCCCAGAATTCACTTTAAAATGGGCACTGCAAGGTTCTAGTCCTCCATAAGTTATATGACACAGTTGCACTGTGGAATATGCTCCTCCCAAGAAGTAGTGATGGCTTTAAATTAGATGAAGGCTATCAATGGCTTCCAACAACAGCTCTGTTCTCTCTCTGCTGTCAGAGGCAAGAATGCTTCTGAATGCCAGTTCCTGGGAAACACAAGTGGCAGGGAGTGCTGTTGTGCTCAGATCCTGTTTGTGGGCTTCCCATACGCCTCTGCTTGGCCATGGTGAGAACCGAATGCTGGACCAGATACGGCACTGGCCTGATCCAGCAGGCTTTTTTTACGGATGAGGCCTTAAGCAGAATTATTGGGCTTATTGCCTTCCTGCCAGCTAACTGTATCAGGCTCGTTTCTTATAGACACTTGCTTCTTTTGCATTGTTTAGCCTGTTGAGAATAAGGAGAGGAGGATGGAGAACGACACAAAATTCCCAAGACCCCAACCAACCTCCAATTATCTTCTTTGCTGTGCAATGATGGCCAGAATGCAAGTCTGGTTCTATGGATGTCAGCAGGGTAGGGGGCAGTTTTGAACAGCAGCAGTCCTCCAGTCTTGACTCCGTATAAAGCAGCTTCCTATGCAAATCGGCTCTTTTTATTCAGAACCACGAGGACTGGAAACTTACTTTTTTTAAAAAGGGGTGCTATAAGAAAAAACTGCTCCCTTTCCCTTATGGGGTATCCAAGAGCCCATATAGAATAGGTAGGCAAACTAAGGCCCGAGGGCCGGATCTGGCCCAATCGCCTTCTAAATCCGGCCCGCGTGTTTTTACATGAGTAGAATGTGTCCTTTTATTTAAAATGCATCTCTGGGTTATTTGTGGGGCATAGAAATTCGTTATTTATTTATTTATTTATTTTCATAATATCGTCCGGCCCCCCAAAAGGTCTGAGGGACGGTGGACCGGCCCCCTGCTGAAAATGTTTGCTGACCCCTGATCTACAAGGACTGGCAGCAGTTCTCCAGGGCTTCCAGGCGTGAGACATTCCCAGCCCCACCTGGGAACGGTGAGAATTGAACCTGAGACCTCCTTCATGCAAAGCAGATGCTCTACTCACTGAGCTATGGCCCCCATATTTTAAGGAGGGTTCAAATCCTCCCTTTGATAATGCAACTCGCTTGCAGTTTTGCATGCAGAAGGTCCCGGGTGCAACCCCCCCAGGTGGCTTACAAACACACACAAATACACACACACACAGATCCCAGAAAGGTTTCACGCAGCCTAGCCTGCTGCCCTTAACAGACACCTAAAGGATGCGTGTATATATATTTATTTAAAACTGTATATCTTTCCTTCCGTCCTCAACAACTCTTCTATTAAAAAACATAAAGGCAATTAAAAAGCCCCCTGCGATGCTTTTTCCATTTGCTTACACACACACCCTTTAGATTCTTATTACTGCAGCAATTACATTCGGAGCCGTTAAGGGGCAGAGAGGCCGCTGCTTTGTTCCCGCAGGGGAGGGAGCAGAGAGAATAAACCCAGCAAGCTCCCTCTCTCTTTGCCCTGTTTATCTGATTGATTCCCCAACATCTTCCTGGCACACAATCTATCAGTTTATCTCTCCCACTTCATCACAGTCACTCCTGGCAGCTAAGTACAAGATCCAAATCCAGCCTTACGCAGACGGGCGACACGTTAAAACCAGTGTTAACGGCGGCACCGCTCTGTAAACAGTTGCCCTCTGGGGCTCGGGGAGAAAATGGGCTGCTCCCTTTGCCCAGTCAATATCACGGGAGCAAAGAGTCTGGAGAGGAGCAAAATGAAGGCAATACTTATTAGATGCCTCGCTTCCTCTCCTACCAGCGCCGGCTGGTATGGCCAATCTTATTTTTGGAAAGGGAAAGGGGGAAAAGAAAGCTTGGATACTCTGCAGCAAAGAGTATTTGCATTCGCGGCCAATTGTTCCTTCTGGGCAAGTTTGCTTGGTGGATCTGTCACGTGAGCACAGGGGGCTGTGTAGACAACTGCCTTTGGGACCAGGTAGGGGAAGAAACGGGTGGGCGCTGTGGGTGGGGTAGGGTGGGCGCCAGGTAGGGGCATGGGTGGCGCTGTGGGTTAAACCACAGAGCCTAGGACTTGCCGATCAGAAGGTCGGCGGTTCGAATTCTCGTGACGGAGTGAGCTCCCGTTGCTCGGTCCCTGCTCCTACCAACCTAGGAGTTTGAAAGCACGTCAAAGTGAAGTAGATAAATAGGTACCGCTCTGGCGGGAAGGTAAACGGCGTTTCCGTGCGCTGCTCTGGTTTGCCAGAAGCGGCTTAGTCATGCTGGCCACATGACCCGGAAGCTGTACGCCTGCTCCCTCGGCCAATAAAGCGAGATGAGCGCCACAACCCCAGAGTCGGCCACAACTGGACCTAATGGTCAGGTCCAGTCTTTACCTTTACAGGAAGAATAGGGGGCAAATTCTGCATGGGGGTTGGGGGTTAGAAAGCCGCCCAAGTTAGATAAACTTAAGTCTGCAGTCCTACACAAACACCACACTTCCACCGGTGAAACAATAGGTCTCTTTTCCGGAGCTGGTGCAAACACTCGTGCCCTGGACTTCTGCTTTGAGCATCCACCGCACTCTTTGTATCAGGTGCTCCTGGCACACTTTGGAGAAAGAGGCCCTGAGACCAGTGCCTGGAGTTCCCCGTCCATATTGCAGAGCGATCAGGAGAGGGGTCCCCCATCTCTGACCTAGCTAGTTTCTGTGTTTGTGTGTGTGTGTACAGTGTGCTGTAGGGTTTAGTGTTGGAGCAGGACCTGGGAATTCAGGGTTCAAATCCCCACTTGGCCATGAAGTTCGCTGGGTGACCTTGGGGCAGTCAATGTCTCTCTCCCTCTCAGCCTAATCTACCTCACTGGGTTGCTGTGGGGATTAAATGAGATGCCACCTTGAGCAACTTGGGACAGAAAATGGTGGGATATAACTGCAATAAATAAGTGTGTGTGTGTGTGTGTGTGTGTGTGTGTGTGAGAGAGCGAGAGAGAGAGAGAGATTGATTTAAAAAGCAACCTGAGAATCACAGAATTGTAGAGCTGGAAGGGACCACAAGGGTCATCTAGTTCAACCCCTCTGCAATGCAGGAATCTTTTTGCCCAACATGGGATTCGAACCCATGACCCATGATTTAAGAGTCTCATGCTCTACCGACTGAGCTATCCCTTCTCCAACCCACTGAAGTCATGTTAACAATGGATTTATTTATGTTTTAAGGAAACTTAAGACATAGGCAAGGGAGGGACACTACCCAATGGAAAAAGTCTGGTTGGCTCCACATGGGTGCCTCTACTATTATTATTGGGGTTTTTTTTTTAAAAAAGATTTGATTAGTTTTTCTGCTATTTTGTCCTATGGCCTTGCAGCCAACACAAACACACACAGAGACTGCACCAGGTTCCAGAGCAGAGCCAAGGGTTCAGAGTAAGAGGATAAATGATAAACCAATTTACTGGAGGAAACAGCAAAATCTCTCGGTTGTTTTTTTTTAATTCCAGCACAGGGCCTTTAATAAAAAAGAAGAAGAAGGGAAGGTGGGGGGAGGAATGAGAAAGAAAAAGAACACCACTCTCCGTTCCTGAAGTTGTAATATTTCATTAGGCTCAGCAATCCCAGTTAGAATTTATTAGTCAAAACAGAAAAACTCTAGTCAGACCCCCACGTATTCCATTAGGAGTGACAGATGGAGTCTCCCAGTGTCTAATTATTAAGTAGGAAACGCAAGTAAATCACACTATCAGCACTAAGCCCCCGATGTGTGAAGATTGAGGCAGAGGGAAAGGAAATGGTGGTGGTTGAGGAACTGGGATAAAACTGTGGCTGGCGAGTTCTCTCAATCAAACTGGCACCAAACGACTTCCACTGATGCAAATCTCCTAATATTGCCCCCTTATAGCCTGCCTCAGAAGGCTGAAACTTGCCAAGGTCAGCGGCAGGAAATCTTTCTCAGCCCAGGGACCACATTCCCTTCTGGGCAAGCTTCCAAGGGTCACGGTCCCAGTAGCGGGCAGAGCCAGGGGCCTAAAGAAAACTGAGTTCAAGCGATGCCAACATTCCCTTTGCACCACGGGCGAGTTACTACACACGTCTCACACTTTTGCAATGCAGGGAATTGCACACAGGGGGCAAATGCCCCGGAAAGCATGGCAATATGTGCATGTCTGTGATGTGCTTTTTAAAAACGTACACGAAAACGTGTCTAATGTGCACTGGAAAGCATGCACAGTCAGGGTAGATGGTGCACAAAAATACCTATTTTAGTGGCAAGTCAGGTGGGTGCACTTTTTCATTTTGTTTTTTTAAGATCAAAAAAAAGAGGGGAGGGTCCAATGATTGAGCATATATGAAATGGCACAGAACTGAAACCTGCCCTTCCTAGCTATGCATAACCTCCAAGTTCAGAGAAAGCATGTCTCTGAGTACAGAGTAGCTGGGGGAACTTGGGGGGGGGGGGGCTTTCCAAAGGCACTTCGTTTGGTAATTTGGGCTGATCAGATAGGCCCTTGGTTTTTTCTAATGTTCTCATTCATCCTCCATCTCCCTCTTTCTCTTCGTCCATTTACAAGATGCAATGGCAGCCGCCCCCAACACGGTTGGTTAGGCAAATTCAGGGAGGATCAAGGCCCAGGGATACTAGCCAAGATTATTTTGTTCTGCCTCCGCTGTTGGAAGGCGGTTTTGCTACTGGATGCCAGCTGCTGGTGGAAACAAGTGGGGAGACTGCTCTTGCACCCAGAGCCGTCTTGCAGACTTCCCACGGGTATCTGATTGTGATGAAAGGATGCTAGACTAGATGGGCCTTTGTCCTGATCCAGCAGAACTCTTCCAATGTTCTTATACAGAGTTCATTATTGCAGTTGTTGTTTACATTTCTATATCGCCCTTCATCCATGGATCACACGGTGGGTTACGTATTAAAAAAACCACACACAAATGCATACCATAATAAGCAAAAAAAATACCCCCCTTTTGTCTGTTGTTTAGTTGATTAGTTGTGTCCGACTCTTCGTGACCCCATGGGCCAGAGCACGCCAGGCACTCCTGTCTTCCCGCAGTTTGGTCAAATTCATGTTGGTCGCTTCTATAACACTGTCCAATGCCCCCCTACCACAGTTTAAAAGGCCATAGATTTAATTAGCCAAAGGTCTGGGAGATGAGGAATGTTTCTTTTTCTACCTGGCACCTAAAGATATGTAACAAAGGCACCAGGCGGGGCTTCCTGGGGAGAGTATTCCGCAAGCAGGGAGCCACCACAGAAAAGGCCCGCTCGTGTTGCCAACTTCTCGCGGAGGCGGCACACGAAGAAGGGCCTCCAATGAGGATCGCAGTGTGTTGGCTACACACTGGGAAAGTACCCTGCTGTTTTTGGACAACAAGCCAACAATGCACACTCAAAAAGGCAAAAGTGCCCCTCTAAAGCTGGTTAGGGGCAAAAACCAACACTGAGAATTAGACCTCGCAAGTGCATGTCTAAATCCACCTGTGGAGAGTCACAGAAAGCGATCAGTTCTGCTTTAGGTTACACATTAGCATTACTAACCATTACTCGACAGCACGCCTGTGTTCTACCTCCACAGTAGCTGACAGGGAGCTGAGAACTGCAGGTAGACAGGGTGCTGCTGGGCTCAGGTCTGGCTTTTGTGCTTCCCATTACTATCCACAATGGCCAGAGGCAATATGCTTCTGAATACCAGTTGCTGGAAACTGCAGGGGGGAAGAGGGCTGCTGTGCTCAAGCCCAGCGTTTGCGTTTCCCACAGGCATCTCACTGGCCACTGGGAGAACAGGATCCAATGGCCGGATCCAGCACGGCTCTTCTTAGCTTCTAAATGACAGCTTCACCATGAATATACCAACACCGATCCACAGCTGCTGAAGGTTAGGCATTAATTACATCTACCACCAGCTCAGCAACGACCCGCGAAAAAATTAAATATAAAGAATGCCGCTGCGGAAAACTGTGTAACTGTGAAAAGCAACAGAAAAGAAGACGTGTCCTCTTCTTAGTAACCCATTAAGAGGAGCCCCCAAACCAAGCTTTAAAAACATGCTATTAACCACCTACTCAGCCATTCCAGAGACACATGCCTATGATAAGATTATTGTATTGCCATTAACCTATGGAATGGTTGCAGGCAGCTCCTATTTCCGGGGGGGGGGGGACACCCTCTAAATGCATCTAATGAGAGCCACAAGATCAACTGTCCATATTAATCGCTCACCAGTTTAATTAAGGTAAACCAACTTGTCAGGATGGAAGGAGGGGAAGAAAAAAACCCCACTTCCTCTCTCCATTTTTCACCATTATTGACTTGTAATAGTTTGCCAGATTTTGTAATTACATGGCATTATCAGAAATCTCGTGTGTGTGTGTGTGTGTACACACACACACACCACAAAAACACTGAAGTTGCTTTGTTTAAAGTCCATTTTGTACACGACACGTGCCTGCAAAATCAGAGCTGGAAGTGCTTAAGTAGTTAAAAGATGCAGAAATTAAGGACCTAAGAAGAGGCCGTCTAGTTCTGCAATCCTGTTCTCACAGCGGCCAACCAAACGCCCCAGGTGAGCACAAGCACAAGAGCATTCTCCATGCTTGTGATGCCTGGGACTCAGAAGCACACTGCCACGAAGGAAAGTGGAGAAATAAAATAATGTTCACCCTCTCTCCTAACATTAGAACTCGTGGACATCGAATGAAACTGAATGCTGGAAGATTCAGGACAGAAAGGAGAAAGCCCCTTCATCACACAGAGCGCATAGTTGAACTACGGAACTCGCTGCCACAAGAGGCAATGACGACCAGCAAGTTGAATGGCTTTAAAATATGATTATAGGGAAAATTGTGGAGGAGAGGACTATCAATGGCTACCAGCCACGACAGCTGTGCTCTTCCTTCGCAGCTGGAGGCAGGATACTTGTAGGTACCAATTTATGGGAATCGCAAGCGGGGAGAGTGATGTTGTTGCACTCAGGTCCTGCTTTGGAACTTCTCATTTGGACATCTGGTTGGCTACTGTGAGGACAGGATGCTGGACTAGATGGGCCACTGGCCTGATCCAAATGGGCTCTCTTCATTTCCTTGTGAGCCTAAAATCTGACCGTGATGGCGCCAGGGGTGCTTCCCTGATGAGGGCACTCTGCAATCAGAGAGCCGCAACTGAAAACATGCAACTGAAAACATGCAGAGAAGGGGCTCTGATGATGCTCATCTAGTCCATATAGGATCACGTGGGGAGTAGCAGGCCCAGGCATTCAGCACCTAGTCTTGGGTCAACTTTGATCGACCTAGGAACTCGTACCTAGGGGACCGCCTCTCCCGATATGCCCCACGAAGGACCTTAAGGTCCATAAATAGCAACACCCTAGAGGTCCTGGGCCCTAAGGAAGTCAGATTAGCCGCAACCAGAGCCAGGGCCTTGTCAGCACTGGCTCCGGCCTGGTGGAACGCTCTGTCTCATTAGACCAAGGCCCTGGAAGATCTGATTTCTTTCCGCAGGGCCTATAAGACAGAGTTGTTCCGCCTGGCCGTTGGCTTGGAATCAACTTGATTCCCTCCCCCTCTTTCTTTTTTCCTTTCTCCTTCTGCGATGGAACTCCTATTTGGGGACTTCCCTGGCTTTTTTCTGGCCCATGTAGGACCAGTCTGAATAGGTAGCCTTGGTGAAGACGTTTTCATCCCCAAAAAAGTTTTTGATTTGAGTTTCCACTGAAATGAGGCTGCATTTTAATGTTTTAATGTTGTGTTTTAATCTTGTTTTTTAAGTTGTATTTCAATCAATTGTTTTTATATTTGGTGTTAGCCGCCCTGAGCCCGATCTTGGCTGGGGAGGGCGGGGTAAAAATAAAATTTTATTATTATTATTATTATTATTATTATTATTATTATTTTCTTCCCCTCCAACCCCTCATTCCCCAGAAGGAGCTTCCAAGCTCTCGCTCACACCCCTAACAAATAAAAAAGGAAGGTCCTTTATGAAGCCACTTTTAAGTGGGAGGCTGGCAGAAAACAGACGCATCCGCTCCCCGACTCGCCTCTCAGGCTTGTCGTCGAAAAAGTCTCCAGGTCCAATTTCTTTGCCAAATCCCACTGAACAGGAGGAAAATGAGCCAGGTCAGTGGAAGAGGTACGGCTACACGGAGCCTGTCAAGGTGGCCTAGCATTCCCACAATTACTTGGGACACAATGAAGTGGTAATCTTTTAACAGATCATCTCCCCCAAGAAGCATATTGAGGATTGGAAGGGAGGGAGAGAAGCTGGCAGGGTGTGTGTGTGTGTGTGTGTGTGTGTGAAGCAAAAAGAAGAAGAAGAAGAAGAAGAAAAGAAAAACGAAGGTGTCTTTCTCAGCTGAGCAGATGTCTTGAGCGTGATGTACGAGGCACGGATAAGCTGTCGCAGCCCGCTGCCAAATCCAGGGAAGTGATTGAAGCCCCCATGCTTCCCAAGGACCGTATTTAGAGACAGTAGGGTAGCCAGGAGTCAGGACCAGCCCCTGCTGAGTTGCCAGATGTTGGCAGCACCTGGAAAACGTCCTCCTCTCCCCCCCCCCGCCTCTCCCTCTTGCTCTCTGTTCAAGCAGGTGCAGCCTAACAGCAGCAAGTCTAAGTGACGAATGTGTGATATGTAAGTCATCCCCAAAGGCAGTTCCTCCCTCCTTTTGTATAGAGTCACCCACCATTTGCACACTCATCGTTTGCACACCCACCATTCATGGCTCCTTTCTCCACGCCCACTGCCCTCTCCTCGCACTTCGGGAAATGGCCAACCACACACAAAGCAGAGCCTGGCAGCTCCATTTGCCTGAAAGTCAGGTGCCCCCATTCCCTTCCAAGACCTCTATTCGTTTTAATTTAGATTAACCCTGGCACCCTGATTAACTGAGGAGTGGGCAAAGTACCCCTGCCAAATACTCCCAATTTCTTGTCTCACCCCAGTGCTGTTCCAGAGGGCCCCTAAATCCCCCGTAGTACTTGCATAGCTGAAAAGCCCTATTACAGAAAGAGAATTCTGCCTGCCCTTCTCTGTCTCCATCCTACTATGTTTATCTCTCTCTTTCTTTTACTCCTTCCTCTCTCTGTGTATGATACATGATGTATGCTCTCTCATATGTATGCTCTCTCTGTGTATGCTCTCTCATATGCTACATGATTTATTTAAAGGATTTATAAACCACCCACCATTTGAAAACCATCCTGGCAGTGTACCAAAAAAAGACACAAAAATACAAATTTACAACAGTAAGAACAGATTAAGTCCATCTGTAAAGCCAACGGGAACAATATCCAACAAAGCTACCCCTGAAAAAGCCTGGTTCATTATCACCATTATTATTATTATTATTATTATTATTAGGCCTTAAGGAGATGCCTTTCAAAGAAAAAAAGGACTGTTGGTATTATCCTATATGGCTACAAGCTGTGAAATTGAGAACTTCGTTGCTGGGGCTGCGGTGTGTGTGTGTGTCATTTACAGCATGTAAAGCAGGGGTGGGGATACTCAAGCACAAAAACTTTGCCCAGGCCACGCTACTCACTGGCCCCGCTTTCTTCGCCCTAAAGGTATAGGTAAAGGGACCCCTGACCATTAGGTCCAGTTGTGGCCGACTCTGGGGTTGCAGCACTCATCTCGCTTTATTGGCCGAGGGAGCCAGAGTACAGCTTCTGGGTCATATGGCCAGCATGACTAAGCCGCTTCTGGAGAACCAGAGCAGCGCACGGAAACGCCGTTTACCTTCCCGCCGGAGCGGTACCTATTTATCTACTTGCACTTTGACGTGCTTTCGAACTGCTAGGTGGGCAGGAGCAGGGACTGAGCAACGGGATCTCACCCCATTGCGGGGATTCGAACCGCCAACCTTCTGATTGGCAAGTCCTAGGCTCTGTGGTTTAACCCACAGCGCCAGCCGCGTCCCTTTTTCCTCCCTACTCTAGCGATAACGCCGCTTGCTTGCCTCAAGGGAGAGCAGTGTGTCTGGGCACACCCACTTTTGCCACGAGTATGTGCTCCACCAAAGGCTGCACATGACGGAATGCAACTACAAAAGTCCCCCCCACAATTCCTTTTACAAAGGATCTCCCCGTGGAAAAAGGAACGGTGCTATCTCCCAGGGGGTGGTGGGCCCAAGATAGCTGTTCATTTACAAGCATGAAGAGCGGAGCACATATGGGAAAGACACACAGGGGAAGGTGCTTGCAACTTTTTCTGCTTGGCTTAAAAGTTTCCGCCCACTGCCACAAGGCCCCCACCTGATGGTAGAAGTCGTCATCGTCAAAGATCTCCTCGTCCAGGTCTTTGAGGTGCGCGTTGGATGTTGTTGGCGGAAGGGCCTCCTAGTAAGGCAAGAGAAAAATCATGAAGACTCTCTGGGCTTGAATCTGGGCTCAAGAGGCTACTTTCTCAGTGGGCCCTGTGACCACAGAGCTACTGAGAAGCCACGACGACATACCCCAACTTGGCTTTATAAAATAAACTCAAAGAGGCTTAATGATGTGGGTTTAGGAACCTGCGGTCCCTGCAGGTGTTGCTGGACTACAACTCCCATCATCTCCAACCGCTGGTCACACCGGCTGGGGCTGATGGGAGTTGGGAGTCTTCTCATCAAAATCTGGAGGGCCACAGGATCCCCATATCTGGTTCAGGGGACCAGGACCTAGTGCCCCCAAGCCTGTTCTCTCTCCCCTACTCCGTGGAGCCATTGCCTCACCAATTTCCCAGTGGGGGTTCCCCAGTGGCAAGCTATGACAGGGTCCCCAACAGAAATCTAAGAAACTGTGGAAATACCCATCGTCACTTTGGTGCTTAAAATCCCCAAACCGCAGCTTACTCATTTATTAAATTTGTTCCCCATCCAAAAGAGGAACCCAAAGTTGCTCAGGGAATATAGCCTATGGCAAGTCAAAAGACCTTTTGCTAGCTTCGCTTGCAAACCTTAACAATCTTTTCACTCCACTGCGTTACAAAATTCCTTCTCGGCCTGCCTTCTTCCAGCGATCTTCTCAAAACAAGAAAGGTGCCTTGCTCTCAAACTGCAGCAGCCAAACTGTTTCCTTCCTCACTACCCCCTCCCCGAGCACCCACCCAAATCTCCAGCTTACCGCCTGTCCTGGCAAAGTCACTGGCAACGGCTCAGGGGCTGGCTGCAGCTTCCCCAGCACCCTGTAGGCTGACCGCTTGGTCCTCGTCCGCCGGAGCAACCTCTCTCGGTCCATCAAGATGTGATCGATCTGGGTCAGGATGGAACGCTCAAAGGCACCAAAACCCTGGAGGGACATTAACCAAGGTCAGACAAATGCAGGGAAAACCATCTTCCGTTCCCCTGCCCCAATCTTTCTGTGCTAGTGGATAAGCTGGAAAGTATTTCCTATGTGAGTGAGTCTTTAACTTGTGATTTTAGTTGTCCTTCTCCAAAAGATGGCTGGACCAGAGAGCATTTTCAGTTCCCTCCAATTAGTTAACCCTCCTTCCTAAATTGTCAGCCAAGGATTTTCCCAGAGGCATCTGAAGGAGCGTCTCCACCTCCATCGTTCAGCCCGGACACTGAGGTCCAGCTCCAAGGAGGGTCTTCTGGTGGTTCCCTCCCTGCAAGAAGTGAGGTTACAGGGAACCAGGCAGAGGGCCTTCTTGGTAGTGGCGCCCACCCTGCGAAACGCCCTCCCATCAGATGTCAAGGAAATAAAGAACTATCTGACTTTTAGAAGACATCTGAAGGCAGCCCTGTTTAGGGAAGTTTTTATTGTTTGATGTTTTATCGTGCTTTTTATATTCCGTTGGGAGTCGCCCAGAGTGGTTGGGGAGGCCCGGCCAGATGGGCAGGGTAAGAACAGCGGACTCGTAATCTGGTGAACCGGGTTCGATTCCCCGCTCCTCCACATGCAGCTGCTGGATGACCTTGGGCCAGTCACACTTCTCTGAAGTCTCTCAGCCTCACTCACCTCACAGAGTGTTTGTTGTGGGGGAGGAGGGGAAAGGAGATTGTTAGCCGCTTTGAGACTCCTTAGGGTAGTGATATAGCAGGATATCAAATCCAAACTCTTCTTCTTCTTCTTACTATTACTATTTTCAATTTCTTGATGCAGGTGCTATTATGTATGTATGTATGTATGTATGTATGTAACAATGCATTGAACTTGTATACCGCTTTTCACCTACAGCACTCAGGGCAGTTCACAATGCATTTTTACACGCACGCTCCTGTTTATGTAGCTTTTTCTTTCCCTTTTAGGTTTTCAAAGTGGGGATCTGCACAAGGTGTGGCTTTCCCTGACAATGGGATCTTAGCACTGCAAGGAAGCCACAAGTCACACGTGACCGATGACCTGCACCCACCCCCCAAAAGAGAGGAGCGACTCTTGCCTTCCCCAGCTTCCCAGAAGCCAGCTTGGTCCTATCATGCCACTTCTGCAGCGTGCTGTTCCGATAGGACCGGAAGTCGGCAAACCGCTTGGCCGCGAACTCTGGGTAATCGTCCATTCCCAGCTTCCGCTTGCGTGGCCTCTTCTTCTCCTTGTCTCCCGTCTCAGCTTGGTCATCGTTGTCATCGCCGCTTGGGATCTCCTCGTTGCTAAAAAAATAAATAAAGCAAGATCAAGAATGTGTAACTCCTAACTCAACACATTTATTTATTTAGCAATATACCACTATATGATTTGGGGGTGGGGTGACCTCTAAGTGGCTTACAACAAATATAAAACAAGTATTTAAACATATCCAGGAGGTGATGAAAAGCAACATTGGCTTAAGAGGGATAAAACACATATGACATCTACACATCTGGATGGGCTTTCCTAAACATAAATGTTTTTAGCAGGCGCCGGAAACAGCAAAGATGCTTGCCTAATGTCAACAGGCAGGGAGTGTTCATGCTGCCACAGCAAAAAGTTGAATTCTTACCAGTGTGGAACTATGTGGGACCCATAGCCGTGCCACTTCTGCAGACCCAAGGAGATGAACCGGCACATATGGGGTAAAGCAATCCTGCACGGAAACTGGTCCCAAGCTGTTAAGGGCTCTATATATACCTATATTAGCACTCTGAACTTGGTCCGGTAGCAATGCAGCACCCTTGTTCCGAAATCTTCCCCAGATGAGAGCAGCCAACTGACGAGTGCTCTCAGAGCCCCCCCAAACCTCATCTTCCCTTATGACAGTTCTGGGTGAGGATTACTTGACAAATCTCCTTTCCCCCCTCCTTCAACACCTACTCCCATAAAGGAGGAAAAGTTACAGCATTTGAAATGTGCTCTTGAACTGAGATCATAATGCCTCTTGCATGCCTGGGTGCAGAGATGCATAGGGGCAGGGTGGGGCAGAATGCAAAAAACTCTAATTATTATCATTTAATTATTAAATTTGCATGCAGCCCAGGTCATCTGAAGAGCACAAGGCCGTTCACAACATAAACATACAAAATGAGAACACAAAACACATAATAAAAACCTCTTTAACTTTTCCAGGGGTGAAGCATAGCTTATTGTACAGCTGTCAGTTCCAGAACCAATCGCTTCACCCACTTTTTGCCCTCCGACTGATATGGAACTTGGGAACAAAGGAAGCTGGTCTATAACAAGGCAGGCCACTGGTCCATCTACCTCAGTACTGCCTACACTGGCCGGCAGCAACTCCCGAGGTTTAAGACAGGGGTCTTTCCCAGCCCTAACTGGAGAGGCTGGGGATTGAACCCGAGACCGGCAGATTCTCTACCCACTAAGCTATGGGCCTTTTCCCTTTCCAGCCAGAGGAAAAAGCTTCCCCAGCCTCATCCCTGAGGTCGACCGAACTGCCATTGTTTTTGCATTTACCTCTCCTCTTTGCCTTGATCTCCATCTACCAGATGTCTTGTGCCCGAGTACTGGTGCAAAAGCTCGTCCTGGAGATCCACCAGGGTCCTCAGCAAAGCCTTGAGGGCTTTGTGATCTGCAGAACAAAATGGAAATGGCATTTAATGTTTCCCAAAGAGTCACTACCAGAAAAGCTTCAAAGACAGGAGATTTGGGGGGCTGGGGGTGGAGAGAGAGAATAATCGAGGACCTTGCAGGCAGCAGGTGGGGCAGCAGTTTTGACACGTCCACACACGCCCATGTGACTTCTCCGATGGCAGCAGGAAGACCATGCTATTTGCCATTGCACTTTTAAGTTCTTCGTCCGGGAAGAAAACGAATGAACAAACAATGGGAATAAATTTGCACATCTTTGCACTCTGGCCGCAAAGAGTTTTCTGCAGAATCCAGAACGGTGAAAGCGGTGAAGAATTAAGACATGCAAAGGGTGCTAGCAAAGTCGCTTGAATAACGCAGAGGGAGCCCAGAGAGGAAAGAAATCCCAGTTAATGCTTCACGGAGCAAAACCAAACAAGAATAGTGCACCGTTCGAGAAGAAATAAACAGAGAGATTTTGCCTTTCAGGGGCCTGCCTTTTTGAGAGAAGAGTTAGGTGCAACTAAACCTGCCTCAACTAGACACCCAAGCAGATCCACAAAGATCATGTCACTCTGGTTAGTTGCTAAGCAACACCTCTGCCCCTCCCATCCACCTTGGGAGAACAGAATTAACTCTTAAGTTGCAAACGAAATGATCCCTTCTGTTGAACTCCCAACCTTCTGCTGAACTACAACTCCCATCATCCCTGGCCATGGGAGGATGATGGGAACTGGAGTTCGACTACACCTGTGAGGGCCACTGGTTCCCCACCACTGCTCTTAGGGGGAGGGAATGGGAATGTAGGAAGCTGCCTTAAACCAGCTCAGACTACCTGCCCATCTAGTCCAGGGTTTCCCAATCTTGGGTCTCCAGCTGTTTTTTTCAACTACAACTCCCATCATACCTAGCTAGCAGGACCAGTGGTCAGAGATGATGGGAACCATAGTCCAACAACAGCTGGAGACCCAACCTTGGGAAACACTGATCTAGTCCAATACTGCCTATTCTGACCAGCAGCAGCTCTCCAGGGCTTCAGGGAAAGGCAGGTGTATCCTATCACCTCCTGCAGGAGCCTTTTAAGCCAGAGAAGCCGGGGGCTTAGCTTGGAGCCCTCTGCATGCAAAGGGGGCAATTGGCCACTAAGGTACCGCTCCTCTCAACCTGCCTTAATTCAGGGTTGAGGAACCTCAGGCTTTGGAGGGTGGAACCAATGTGGCCCTGAAGTCTCCTCAATTCAGCCCTGGGGATCCTGCTAAGGTCGCATCCCTCACTGGCCTGGCTTCAAACTCTCCTCTAGTGATTTTACCTGGCTGGGAAAAGCACCCTTGAACCGAGATAAACTACCTCTTGCTTGGCTAGATGGAGACTGTTGTGTGTCTGGCCATTAACATTATTTTATATCCCATTGGTCTTCTTTCCAAAGGAGTCCAGGGCAGCAAAAGCATAACTAAAACTAGATCACTAGAAACCCTATAAAAGCTGCTTAAATGGATGAACGAAGTCTCGTAACCGATGATTTCAGGGTTGCCGGAAACATGGATCTCTCAGCCATCCTAAGGCTGGGTGAACCAGAATGCCTTTTGAATTCCACTGAAAAGTCAATAATGAGAGAGATGCGTGTCGCGAGGGAGGGCATTCTACAAGCAGGTGGAACCACCACCAAGAAGGCCCTGCTGTGGGTCAGCGCCAACCATGCAATACACAGTGGTGGTTGACACCAACAAGGTCACACCTGCCAATCACAGAGTCTTGATGACTGATGTGGCCCTCAGAACATTGCCATGACGGAATGCACACCTTGGGGGGAAAAGGGCTCCCCGTGCCTGCCTTAAGGGTCAAGTAGGGACACATATCCCCTAACATTACATAAATATTTGTGTGCAGGGGTGGAAATAGGCTGGCTGTTTGGTTTTTCTTAATGCTTAAAATCATGGGTAGGCCAACTAAGGCCCGGGGGCCAGATCTGGCCCAATCACCTTCTAAATCCAGCCCGCGGATGGTCCGGGAATCAGCCTGTTTTTACATGAGTAGGATGTGTCCTTTTATTTTAATCTCTGGGTTATTTGTGGGGCCTGCCTGGTGTTTTTACATGAGCAGAATGTGTGCTTTTATTTAAAATGCATCTCTGGATTATTTGTGGGGCATAGGAATTCATTATTTTTTTTCAAAATATAGTCCGGCCCCCCACAAGGTCTGAGGGACAGTGGACTGGCCCCCTGCTGAAAAAGTTTGCTGACCCCTGCTTAAAATCCACAAGGCTGCTTGTAAGCCCGTATTTTTGGACTGGGGAGAGGGAGGAAAGCTCCTCTTTTCTCACCCACCCAGCCACCCCCCACCTTCAGCTTGCCATCTTGTTAAAAAATGGGGGTGGGCCCCCAAACCCATTTACAGCAAATGGGGGCTTACGCGGTGGCGAGGGAGGAAGCACAAAAGGAGCCATCGTATCACCCTGTGTGACAAGTGGCAGGCAGGCAAGAGAACAAAGCGAAGATAAGGTGGGGAATTATTTTCACCATCAAGCACATTACACATGTTTATTCCTGAATGGCGAGGAGCGCCGCAAGATATATGACGGCGGGGAGAGAGGAGAGGAGCGGCGGCCGCCCGGGGAGGGGGGTGGTGGAAAGGGGGTCACATCCGCTGCAGCTGACACTCAACATATGCAAAAGAGACGGCAACAGAGGTTATTATATTTGGGTCTGAGAGACACTGCCTGAAAAGGCTCAGAGAGAGAGAAAGAGAGAGAGAGAGAGAGAGAGAGAGAGAGAGAACAGAGGTGCAAAAGAAATACAAGTTGAGGAGAAATTCACCATCCCATACAAACTGTTCGCTTGGATAAATTCATTTTTTTTAAGCAAAACTGAAATAAATAACTGTGTGTGTCCCATGCACCCTGCAAGGTGGGGTTTCCCTGTAAGAAAATGAATAAAACAAGCATCCCTTCACACACCCCACAAAAGAAGTAAACGAGGCCATAACTTTAATTCTGCTTACCTGGGAATAAGTCGTATTGAAGAGGGCTTACCTCTGGAGCAGGTACCCTAGATTTAAAGCATATTTAGCCCCCCCCCCCCGGAATCCTGGCAATTGTGGTTCATTAAGGGTGATGGGAATTGTATCCCTGGCTCCCATGATTCTTTGAAGAGTAATTGTGGGCTTTAAATGTGTGTTGGGTGTGTTTTAAATGAGTGGCTCTGTCCCTGGTGAGGCTTACGTTGTGATGGGAAAATGCTCCCATGTAAAACTTTCTGACTTAACTCTTGAGTAAGCAAGCACAAGACCGTGCTATAAGCAACTGACAAAAGGGGGGGGTCGAATCATTTAGCCCCAGTTTAGCTTACTAAGAATAATAACAATAACACATTTAAATAGCTTTGAAGTCTCTATTTGGTCACTTACTTGCTGTGGGGCTGTGTCCAATGTTTGTACAACTCAGAAGAGACCCATTGAAATGTATGGTCATGACTATACCTAGATGCACAGGGATGTATTAAACTAAGTTCTACTCAGTGCTGACCCATTGGAGTTAATGGACCTATGATAGACAAGTGCATTAATTTCAGTGGGTCTACTCTGAGCTTGACTAAGATTGGATACAATCTATAGGTAGTGGTCAACAAGAGTACTACTCAGAGTAGACCCAATGAAGTTAAATTGACATGACTTACCTTGGTTCATTTCAGCGGGTCAACCCTGAGAAAGACATAGCTGAATATAACTATAATTTTTAATCTGTAGTTTTATTTTATAACGCATATTGTTTAACTGCTGACTATATTTCAAAGGCAGGGACGCGGGTGGCGCTGTGGGTAAAACCTCAGCGCCTAGGACTTGCCGATCACATGGTCGGCGGTTCGAATCCCCGTGGCGGGGTGCGCTCCCGTCGTTCGGTCCCAGCGCCTGCCAACCTAGCAGTTCGAAAGCACCCCCGGGTGCAGGTAGATAAATAGGGACCGCTTACCAGCGGGAAGGTAAACGGCGTTCCATGTGCTGCGCTGGCTCGCCAGATGCAGCTTGTCACGCTGGCCACGTGACCCGGAAGTGTCTGCAGACAGCGCTGGCTCTCGGCCTATAGAGTGAGATGAGCGCACAACCCTAGAGTCTGGCAAGACTGGCCCGTACGGGCAGGGGTACCTTTACCTTTATATTTCAAAGAGGGTGAGGCCAACTTGTTTTTAACTTTCTGACCTATAATTAATAATTTTACTGTTAACTGCTATATATTTTGGAAAGTTGTTTGTGTGCTATGAATTTGGACACTCTTAAAATATTATAACCAGATTGCGCATGATGGTTCCTGAGATCAAATAGCAGGCTTTCATCTATGTTTAGATATAGCTAGAAGCCATTCTGAACAAAGATGGCTGACGGAAGCATTCCAAACAGTGATGATTTGAACCACAGATCTCAAAACTTCACTGACTTTTTGCTTCCCTTAATTCCTAAGCAATGCATCCATAACTATCAGGACCAGTGGACAGAGATGATGGGAATTGTAGTCCCAAAACATCTGGAGGGTCAGTGTTTGCCTATGCCTGATATACAAAATATACTGCATGCATTCACACACACGGCAGCCCTCAAGAAGCAACCCTCCGCATGCAACCCTAACCCACCCTGACAACAGCAATTTTGCTCAAGTTAAATGCTGGACCAGATGGGCCTTTAGCCTGACAAAGCAGGCTCTTAACCCCTGGCATCTCCAAGCAGGGCTGGGTATGTCAACGGTCTGAAATCCTCAATAGCCACGGCCAATCGGGATACTGGCCTGGATGGACCAATGGCCTAACTCAATATAAGGCAGCTTCCTATGTGCCTACTTAATCCAACCCTTCTTCATTCAGAGCCATGAGGACTTGAATCTATTTTTTGGTGAAGATGGCAGAGCACGACCTGTTTTGCACCCAAAAGGTCCCAGGTTCAATCCCTGCCATCTCCAGGTGGGGCTGAGTGTGTCTGAAACCCTGTAGAGCTGCTGCCAGTCAGTGCAGACAACACAGAGCTAGATGGACCAATGGCCAGAAGTTTCCTTCAGCCACTGCTGGGTTGGTGATAATTCAACACCTTAGCAAAGGGAAGGGCCTGGATGTCGTTCGACTCCAGGCTCCCATCAGCCCCAGCCAGCATGGCCGGTGGTCAGGGATGATGGGAGTTGTAGTCTAGAGGGCACCAACGGCTTCCCCCATCCATGCTTATGTGCTCAGCTGCTCAGTGTACACGAACACAGCTGCAAAATATTGCAGGCACAGAATTATTACAAATATACAGACCAACATGAATATATATTCTCTCCTCCTGAAACCCCCCGCCCCAACTCAAGACAAGTTATTACAGCGAAACCAAGAGTGTACGTCACTTTTCCCTGTCCAGTTTGGACATTTAGGATTAAGAGGGACTACTCTCGTTTCTTTTCACAGACAGCTCTGAGACCGGAGTTAAACCGTAGGTCAAACGCAACGCTCGATACGTTGGCCCAAGAACAATACTTCTCATTCAAACCCATAAGCTAGGACGCCCCCCCCCCCGGTTCCTGCACCGTCTCCCCGCCTGCCCCCCCTCCCCAGCCTACCCCAGGCGCTAGGCTAGTCATCCCCAGCAATTAATCCCCCAAGAAACACGTTTGATTAAATCTTTTCAAGCAAATCCTTTGCTTTGCTTTTGTTAGTTCACTTCTTGTCAACATCTATTAAAATATGCCTTTAATTCTCCCACAATCTTAAAAAACACTGATTCCACTGTCTTCAACTTTAATCAACTGTATGGCTGGCATTTTTCATTTCATAATAATGCACTGGTTGGAATTCAAGAGGCAGGCTCAACATCAATCATTCCGCAAGAATTTTTCCACTGCAATAAATATGCAAATGAGCAAAAGCCAGTCAGTCGTATTTCAGGCCCGACTTGCTAGTGTTTTAAAAAAAGGGGGGGGGGGAGAGACACAAATTTATTAATTGCCGTTGGCCAGCGGAATCCTATTACTTTGGGCATTGATTACAAAGCTGTGTGAGTGATTATCGTGCAACTCGCGGGCTATCCAGGCATGAGGAAAAATTATTAAAGCAAGGGAGAGATTATCAACTCAGAATAACAATAAGCTTTAACATTTTAAGGCCTCTAACTTTGGCAACAAAGAAGTTACGCCACCGCTCCGTTGCGTCACCATCCCCTAAAGTTGGGCAGTGGCCTGTAGGAGAGTCAGCGCCGTCCTCCCAGCCGCCATTATCCGCCAGATTTAGCGCAGAAAGGTTGGCATTTGAAGCATGGCCGTTCACAGAGGAAGCGGGGGGGACGTGTGTGTGTGGCGTTCCTCCTTCCCTCCCCCTCCGGATGAACCATAATCCCCATATTCCATTTAAAAACAAGATTTAAGTTTCTAGTATATTTATAGAACCTATAGCGATTAAAGAGGCAAAGTGTAGCAGCCATGATTATTCTAACTTTTTGTGAGAAATTAGCGTGCTCTCAACCTTTGCCCCCGCTCCCTGACAAGCCAGAAAAATTCCTGCAAACATTTTTTGGGGTACAGGTTATCAGGCGAAGGCTGTAGCTGAGGCACCTGCTCTGCATGCAGGTCCCAGCTTCAATCTCCAGGCAGGGCCGGCAGAGAGACTCCTGCCCAAAACCCCAGAGAGCTGCTGCCAGTCAGTGTAGGCAATGCTAAGTTAGACGGGCCATTGGTCTGACTCATTGTAAGACAACTTCCTGTGCTTTCCAGGTTCGATTCAAGGTGCTCTCATTCACGTTTTAAAGCAGGCATCCCCAAACTCAGCCCTCCAGATGTTTTGGGACTACAACTCCCATCATCCCTAGCTAACAGGTCCAGTGGTCAGGGATGGTGGGAATTGTAGTCCCAAAAACACCTGGAGGGTCAGGTTTTGGGGTGCCTGCTTTAAAGCTTTAAAAGGCAAGGGGCCTAAATATTTGCAGGAATGCCTTCTTTCCTATCAACCTTCCTGTTTTTTAAGGTCAACAGGTAATACCCTCTTTGTGGTTCGTATGTGGGATGAAGCACATGGCTTGGGGAAGGGTCTTTTCAACAGCAGCTGCTCTCGCATGTGAAACTCCCTCCCTACTAAACTACACCTGGCTCCACCTCTTCATATAGTTTGAGGTAGGCAGCTAAGATGCAACCTTTTTCAGCAACTGTTCAAAGGAAGAGAGGACTGATTTAGAGAAATATTAGCGGCGGCTGCCATCAGTTAATTCAGCAATTGTTTGAGAGTTGCTGTGAATGATCTCATGGGACAGAAGCGGTCAGGCAGTCCTTAAGGCCCGAGTTGTTCAGGGCTTTGTATATCAATATAAGAACTTGTACAAGGGCGGGCAGTTTAGCAGATGTTTCAGTAGAGGCATCACCTGCCCCTCAGCGCTCTAGCGCTAAGCTAGCTCTAGCTCGTGAACCAGGCCCAAGGGCAGCCCCACACAAAGCGCACTGCAGTAATCTAGCCCCGAGATTTCATTTAAAATATTTCTTCAGAGCAAAAACCCTCCCAGGGCATGCATAATATCTGAAAGACGGTCTCCTTCGCTACAGACCTTCTCAGGTGTGAGAGGAGCAGAAGGTAACCTCTTGGTGGTTCCTCCACCCTCAGATGCTTGGGGAGGGCAGGAGAAGGCATTGCTGTGGCACCCCTAATCTCCCTCCCCACAGAGATGCATCTGGTAGCTGCATAGTATAGCTTTTGGTGAATGCTGAAGACGCATCTCTTTACCCTGGCTTCCGACACTCGAGGTGCTGGGAAGCCCAGCCAGATGGGCAGGGTGTAAATAAATAATAATAATAATAATAATAATAATAATAATATTATAAGACCCATTTTATTTTGGTGATTTTAAGTTGTTTAAAGCTGTTATTAATACTGTGTTTTAATGTTGCAACTCTCCCTGCAACCTTAGGGTGAAGGGTGGGTAATACAGTGGTACCTCGGTTCTCAAAATGTCTCTGTTGAAGAATGTTTCAGAACCCGAACGCCAAAAACCTGGAAGTAAATGCTTCCGTTTTCGAAGGGCCTCGGAAGTCGAATGGCTTCCGCTGCGTGTTTTTTCAATTTTCTCAACTGCATTTGCAGCCAGTCCTTTGCGCCTTGGTTTTCGAACGTTTCAGAACTCGCACGGTCTTCCATAAGATATTACGTTAAGAGAACCGAGGTACCACTGTAAATAATAATAAACAAAACTTTTTAAAAGAAAAGCTAAGATGCTATTCCCAATTTTCTGCAAGCGCCTATTAAAAAAAATTGACAGATTTCTCAAGAAATCCATTTTATGCTTATTAAAAAGAAGGCCCCACCCTCCAATGTCTTGCTGTTCCAATTCCCGACATGCTCCTGCTCCCATCCCACTAAAGTAGTGTTGCTGCAGAGTGCCAGATTTCTCTCCCCGTCCCCCAGAAAAAACAAACCCTACTTGTTACAAGATTAAATGATTTATATATTGTTTAAATAACTAGGATTCCCAGCTGTTTCCCCAACAGCATGAAGTACAGGCTTCCAGCTCTAGCAGTGATTGAAACAGTGCCTGCTGAAGATTAGCTATAAATAAAATAGCTTGAACTGTAAACAGAGGGGAGGGAGGGAGGGAGGGAGAGAGTTGGTAATTAGCAGTCAGATCCTACAAGGTGCCAGGGTTAATTAAAAAAAGAAAAAGTGCAAAATTATGGCTTGAAAGCAGCAGGACCATAGGAAGCTGCTTTATACCATGCCAGATTATTTGACCATCAAGTACAGTAGTGTCTACTCAGATTGGCAGCGGCAGCGGCGGCTCTTTCAGGGTTTCAAGCAGAGAAAGGTCTTTCCCAGAAACTAGAAATCCCTACAACTGGACAGGTCGGGGATTGAGCCCAGGTCCTTCTACATCAAAAGAGGGGAACCTATTGCCTCCTTGCCCAGATGTTGATGAACTATAACTCCCACCATTCCCGGACAAGGACCATGTCTGCTGGCGCTAATGGGAGTTGCAGTTCCCATTTCTCTACATGCCGATCACATACTCTCGGTGGAGATTGGAGACTAGGGCGAATGGGCAATAAGCTCAGTCTGCCGCCCTCCACAAGCCCCCATCCTCAACAGCTTTAATTAAAACCGATCAGGTCCATCATAGGCTCTGCCTCCTGCCCTACAACGACAAAGGCTATCTATCGGCCAACAACACTGAGTGCTCTACCACCCATCCATTTGTTTTGTTTTTAGATCTCACTTTATTGCTCCAAGCAGCTCTCAAAACTAGCTTACAACAGATTCCCCACAGTAAAAGTGACATTGACGTCTGGTAGCAGAAACCTGTGCTAGAAACTCCGGTGATATGAGCTAATTGCTAAATGCCACCTTGAACATAGGTTAGGGTTGCTGCAACGGAATGTCTAAGCAGCTTATTTTTTTGGCAGTGAAATTTATTTTTTCCCTACTCTTTTTCATTTCATTTCTATACCTCATTATATTATAAAAAATACTTTTTCATAATAAATTCATTTGTTTGGTTTTTCAGATTAAAATTTCACAGTCACACGCCCAACATCCAACATAAAAACAAGATCCCAAGGAATCTCTTGGACTTCCTCCTCCACTTTGTGGGTCCCATTGTTAATCATTTCTTCCTGCATCTTTTATAATAATCCAAATATTTTACCTCTCCATTGTGTCCAAAATTCACCATTAAACTACAAGTGATATTCCAATCCTACTAACGATTTTAACTGTTTACAATGGTATTTAAGATAAGTTATATTTTTCCCCATTCCTTATTAAAATTACTACTATTTTTCTTTTCATTTCTATACTTCTCTCTATATATATCTCAAAGTGGTTTACAACACATTAAAACATCAAATGAAACAATCAAGAATAAAATAAATTCAAGCTTCAAGGGAAATATTTCAGATCCTTCTCTAAGTGACATTTGGCTTTCCCCGTATGTATTTACCTACTTAATTTATACAGCTGCCCCATAGCAGAAGTACTCTAGGAAGCCTATGTGTGGTGTAGTTGATTAGAGCATTGGACTAGGACAGGAATAGGCAACCTCAGACCTCCAGATGTTTTGAGATTACAATTCCCATCATCCCTGACCCCTAGTCCTGTTAGCTAGGGGTGATGGGTGCAGTAGTCCCAAAACATCTGGAGGGCAGAGTTTGCCTGTGCCTGGACTAGGACCTAGGAGATCAGAGTTCACATCCCCACTCAGTCATGAAGCTCACTAGGTGACCTTGGGCCACTCACCTTCTCTTAGCCTACCTCACAGGGTCATTGTAGGGATTAACTGAGGAGGGGGGTGAGCCATGTAAACCTTGGAGAAAAAGGTGAGATATACCGTACTTTTCTCTCTATAACACGCAGATTTTTTCTCCTAAAAAGTAAGGGGAAATGTCTGCGCGTGTTATTGAGCGAATGTGTGGTCCCTGGAGCCGACCCTCCCGAGCGCAGGAGCAAAAATCAGGCAAAAATCCAATCGCGCGCATCAGGGAGAAGGGAGCTCCGTGAGAGAGGAAGCTGTTGCTTTCCTGCATTCTGCCTCAGGGACTTACTGCCCACCCTCTTCTGTTTCGGTTGCTGTTTGCTCAAATGGAACAAAGAGCAGGCAAATCCCCTCCCCTCCAGGCAAGCAGAGGGGAAAGGAAAGGATTGCGTCCTTCCTTCTAACTCCTCTCCGTGCTCCGGTGCTGCTGCGTCCAGGGAAGCATTTTACTGCGTCCAGGGAAGCATTTTAGGGACTCGCAGGCAGCCGGAAAACATGCAGGTGGGAGAGAGAGAGAGAGGGCTGGCTTTGGTGGGTGTGTGGGGGGAAACTTTTGCCTTCCTTTCCTCCCTCCCGTTAAACCCCTCTCCTGCATTCTTAGCCAGCTGCTTCTCTGCACACCCCTCTCGTGCTCCTTGTCCCTTCTGTGTTTTTCTTTCCCTCCCCACTTAAAACGTGGTTACAAAGCACGGATCCACATGGATCCTCAGGATCTTTGCATTGGGTCACCCCAAATTCACCATCAGATCACGTTACATGTCCATGGCTACAGTCTGCACCAAAAAAATCACGCACCCACTGTTGCCTGGGGCTGCAATGGTGCAAAAACGTGGTTACAAAGCATGGATCCACATGGATCCTCAGGATCTTTGCATTGGGTCACCCCAAATTCACCATCAGATCACATAGCATGTCCATGGCTACAGCCTGCACCAAAAAAATCACGCACCCACTGTTGCCTGGGGCTGCAATGGTGCAAAAACATGGTTACAAAGCACAGATCCACAGGGATTCTCAGGATTTTTGCATTGGGCTACCCCAAACTCACCATCAGATCACATGTCTGGGGCCACAGCATGAGGCACAAAAATGATACATCCACTGTTTCATTCAGAATTTTTTCCCCTTGTTTTCCTCCTCTAAAAACGATGTGCGTGTTATTGTCAGGTGCGTGTTATAGAGCGAAAAATACGGTAAATGCAATCAATAAGCTTACTTGCTTAAGAAAGCTGGAGGGGAGATCTGGCATCCCAAGATCTCCATTTGGTCACAATTTAACCTTGGACAGTCACAAAATGCACCTGGAGAATTCTAACACTGGCAGGAACATAAATAGTTAAGTTTTGTATATTTTTTTAATTTATTGGATTAATACCATTACTAATTGCTGGAAAAGTTAGGACAGCTGGGTGTTTTTTGCCACCAGTCCCGGCTGTTTAAATTCCTTTGCACCCCAATAATGGCAGGCTTCATCTTTTCTAGCTCCAACTGATTAGATAAGTTGGTATAAAATTATATTTGCTATTTATATACCGTATTTTTTGCACCATAACACTCACTTTTTTCCTCCTAGAAAGTAAGGGGAAATGTCTGTGCGTGTTATGGAGGGTATGCCTATGGGTGGCATGCCTACGGATTTTCCTCCTCTAAAAACTGCGTGCGTGTTATGGTCGGGTGCGTGTTATAGAGCGAAAAATACGGTATATATCTATATATGATATTCCTTTAGCACTACAGCCTCGAACCCGACATTATTTGAGAATTCTAAGAAACCAAAGAATCTGTGCCGTTTTGAAACCAGGGGTTAAAATTGGAGCAGTTTTCAAAAGGTTCGGTTCGCCATCTTGATTTTTTAAAAATGGTATCCAACTGTACCCAAACATAAGAGGAAAACCTGCTCCTTGACCTCAGGAACCATCATGCAAAATTTGGTTGTGATATCTTAAAGAGGTGTCCAAATGCATAAAGAACAGACAAATAATTCTCCAAAATAGCAGATTATATCTAACTAGCGGGACTTGCCCAGCACTGCCTGGGAATTTGTAGAAAACAAACAAAAAGTGATTTTTAAACAAATAGCGTAATTTAGGCCTGTCACACCAAAACCTCAGCAAAGTCACGCCAGAGTCTGCCATCTTGATTCAAAATGGTGCCAGGTGTCCAAAAGCAAGGGAGTTGTCAGCAAAGAGGTCAAAGGCACAGGGACAATCTGGGAAGCTGGTAGTCCCTCGCTCCGTATCTGTTTTAACCGCATGTAAACCCTTTCCTCCAAGTTGAGTTGCACCCAAACTTCCTCCTCCCTCACCACAAAAGGAGACCACTCAGGATGAGCTGAAGCCCCTCCATTTTTAAAAGTACACTCTCCCTGGGCTAAAGGCTGCAGGAGACGTGGGCAGAAATTTCAAAGCAATGGTTGCCACAAGCCATTGATGTTGCTCTGATCTGGTCTTTGGCCAAGGTGAGATGGAGAGGGCTGGAACGAAGGATAAAGATGGCTCCCACCACCACCACCACTAGCCCCAATTTGTATAAGAAGAGACAATCAGATTGGCAGCTGAATCGCAATTTAATACTGGCAATGGGGTGGTATTCTTCAATGCACTCAAGAACAGCGGGCTAGCTTAAAGAATATAGAGGGCAGGTCATCTGGCACACACACAGCTCTGCCCTTCATCTCCTTGCTGCCACCTCCCACAAATTGCTGCCCAAGGCACCTGCCCCATTCTGCGCAACAGTAGGGCCGGCTTTATGAAAGCTCCAGGTAAGTGAAACGTTGTGCCCCATCAAATCTTTAAGCACACACACTCACCCTGCTACTCCTTCCCTAGCCAACAGTGCCCAAGGCAAGTCCTTACCCTGGATCAGAGGTAGGCGATCTCAAGCCAGGAGAGGGAACGCATCCCTCCAGGCCAGGGGTCAGCAAACTTTTTCAGCAGGGGGCCGGTCCACTGTCCCTCAGACCTTGTGGGGGGCCGGACTATATTTTGAAGGGGGGGAAATGAACAAATTCCTATGCCCCACAAATAACCCAGAGATGCATTTTAAATAAAAGCACACATTCTACTCATGTAAAAACATGCTGGCGATTGGGCCAGATCCAGCCCCCGGGCCTTAGTTTGCCTACCCATGCTCCAGGCTTTGCTATCTGGCCCTCCAAACGCTGCCTTTCACTGGCCCTGCTCCACCCCAAGGGCTTTTGCCTCCCTGGAATGTGTCCTTGAACTCCGATAATGCCTATCGCATGCCAGGATGTGTGTGTGTGTGTGTGTGTGTGTGTGTGTGTGTAAAAACTGGCCTATTCTGCAAAAGGTGCTATTTACATTTGCTGCTCCAACTATTTTTGCCTCTGGCCCGGATTTTGCGTGTGGCCCTCAGGAGGTTGCCCAGAAAGAAATGTGGCCCTTGGGCTGAGGAAGTTTCCCTACCCTTGTCTTGGATACATGAAGTATTCACCACCATCGCTCCCAGCCAAACAGGACCTTTAAAAACGGCTAGCAATGAAGAAGAATTTCTAGATCGCTGAATTTCTAGAGCTAAAACTTCTCAGCCCACCACTGACTGTCACTCCTATTTCCCTCAGCCTTAAAAACATGCGGTGTTATTCCTGACTTGAGAGAAAGGGGGCTAGGGGTGAGTGGATAAGAGAAAATCAACAACACAGTCCTCTGAAAATTCATCAAGATCTTTCTTTTTTTTAAAAAAAACGAACACAGAAAAGATCAATGCGCCACATGGAGTTGATGTGGGAGACCCAACAGAGAATCGCGGACCTTTTTCTGTATAAAGAATAGAAGGGTCCCGGGGAAACGTACCAGGGAGTAGAATTTTTAATTAATGCGTCTCTTTAATGTGCAAATCAAGCTCAGATTGCTAGTTCTGTCTTGCAATTGTTATGGAAAGTTGGGGGGGGCAGGGAGGGGAAAAAAACTCACTAACATTAATTGAACATGCAAAACCCCTAAACACAAGCATCCCGAGAGGAGTTGAAAGAGAAGTGGCAAGAGAAAACAAATTTATGGGAGTGGGGGGAGGAGAGAGAGAGAGAGGTCAGTCACTGGAGATATGGTAACTCACAGTAGGTGACTAAAAGCAAGCTGTAAACCTGGTCATGAATTGGCAATATTTTCAAGGCAGCTACAAAGGCAGTCAGTGTGGCATAGTGGTTAGAGCATTGGCCTAGAACCTGGGAGACCAGGGTTCAAATTCTCTGTCAGGAATTGTGAGAAGAATCCCCGAGGATCATCTAGAACAGCGGTTCTCAACCTGTGGGCCCCAGATGTTGTTGGACTACAACTCCCATCATCCCTGAGCTCCGGCCTTGCTAGCTAGGGATGATGTTGTAGTCCAACAACATCTGGGGACCCACAGGTTGAGAAAGGCTGATCTAGAACATGGGTAGGCAAACTAAGACCCAGGGGCCGGATCCGGCCCAATCGCCTTCTAAATCCGCCCTGCAGCGGTCCGGGAATCAGCATGTTTTTACATGAGTAGAATGTGTCCTTTTATTTAAAATGCATCTCTGGGTTATTTGTGGGGCATAGGAATTCGTTCCATTTCCCCCCTCAAAATACAGTCCGGCCCCCGACAAGGTCTGAACGACAGAGGACCGGCCCCCTGCTGAAAAAGTTTGCTGACCTCTGATCTAGTCCAACCCCCAGCAATGCAGGAATCCGGCCAACAGCCATCCCTTGGTGGGCTTGAACCACCGATCTTCTGGTTATCAGCCGGACGCACCGACCCATTGCACCACAAAATGTGCGTCTTTTGAGGAAAGGCGGGATATAAAATGTAATAATACATAACAGTATATACATGGTTCTTAGTCCCTCCCTGCAACTCCCCTGTTCATTAAGTCAACCCAGCAAATTTCAGAGCTGAGTAAGATCTGAACTTACTGGTACTGGTGGTGATGAAGATGATGATGATAATAATTTTATTACTTGTACCCCACTCATCTGGCTGTGTTCCGGGGATAAAATGTTAAGGGGAGAACCATCTACACCACCTTGAGCTAATTTGAGGAAACGGTCCTATATAAATGTAATAAACAAACAGCAGGCACTGTATTGTATTTTTATGTTGTGAACCACCCTGTATCTTCAGAAAATACATAAATACATGCATTTAAATGCCTGCTGAAAATCTTTAAACAACAACTTTTAAATGCCTTCTGAGAACCTTTCTTTTCCGCCAGGCCTAGACAGGCAACTAAGAATACAACCTTCCACAATGGTAAGTTGATGTATGTTTTTACGGCTTTTATTGTAGAGTTTTATATTTTACTGTGGTAAGCCACTTTGATATATATTTTTAATGACACAGTGGTATGTAAATATTTTAATAACTAAACAAACATTTATTTATTATTTTTAAATACCCCCCCCACCCAAACCACGCTTTCCCAGAATTGGGACTCAAGGCTACTTACAACAAAAACCACACACAAAAATACACACCGATAAAGCACAGAAAGCTAAAAAAACATATAAAAGACAATAGTTTTAAAAAACTAATTAAATTATAATGGAATTAAAAGGATGTGAAAACCAAATCTATTAAAATTACAGAGAGAAAAACACAGATAGTAAAAACAGGACAGTGCTATTAAAAGCTCTTTCCTTAAAAGCGGTCTGTTCCCAAAAGGCCTGCCAGAACAAAACAGTTTTCACAAACAAAAGTGTAAAACTGAAACACCCGACACCTTTTCCTGCTGATATAAAGGAAAGCGGCAGCAGTTTAGGAGGTGGTTAAGTGGTCTAATGATAGCAGCAAATAATATTATGTACTGAATATTACATTACAACAGCAGCCTCACACCCAGCATTGCTCAGGAATTCTAAGAAACAAAAATAAAAATAAAAATCAGTGCATTTTTGAAAGGTCCAGTTCACCTATCTTGATTCAAAAACGGTATCCACTTACATCCCAAAATAGATGAAAACAGGCTCCTTGAGCTCAGAATCCATCACACGAAATTTGGTGTTCCTGTCTTAAGAGGTGCCCAAATGCATAGCAAACAGACAAACAAGTAACTTTCCAAAATATATATTGTGCTCCCTCTATATATATAATGCTGGGGTTTTCCACACTGTTGCTATTTTCAGCTGGGAACCAGTCACACAATTTAGAGTTTATTTTAAAGATGGGCATTTTTGCAATAAGGGAAGTGATGCGGGGGGAATATGGCTTGGAAAGTGCAGGGTGATGACACTTGCTTTGGAGCAACATCATCTAACCTCCCCACAAACAAATCAGAATGAACGCTCGTTACCTAGCCTGTGTCCTTTAATCTTCTGGCAAATGAATCAGAATGAAGGCATGGTAAACAGGTTCGTCTGGAAGCGTAGACCCATTGAAATAAATAGACTTGACTAACAGAGGTCCATTCTTTTCAATGGGTCTACTCCTGGGCAGTATATATATATATATATTCATTCTATCAGTGTTCTAATGCATATTGCATATTCAATTTTTTGTAAAGCAGGGATGTGCGTTATGTGGGTATCCCCTCCCTGCTCCCAAAGGTCTTTAAAAAACAAAAACAAACAAACACTGCCCCTTTAAAAGAAAACAACAAAAAGAATCACCCCATATAAATTATGGCCATAAACTTTTTTTCCCCCTGCAGTGCAGCCTAATTAATTCCTGCTCTATACACAAAGGGAAAATGCTGGGTGACAAATGGGTGCAGAGCTTGAAAGCTGCCACGTCGGCAAAACATTTTCTACTTCAATTTATAAGCAATTTTGCAGTAAATCATCCGCCAGAATCCAAGATCCACAGGCAGCAAGGAAGAGCCAGACCATGCTGGGGTGGCTTAGCCAAGATACAAAAGATGTAACATAAACGGTGTTTGTGTGTGTAGGAAAACAGGTGCCCCCGTGCCACAGTTCTCAGAAATATTTTTTTTATCTCCATTTAAAACTCCACAAAGCAATAGCCTCCCATGATGCAACTTGCATGGGACTTGTCATGCCCGCAATCCACTGCTCAAGAGGGAAAGGCCATAGCTGAGGACGAAGAGCATCTGCCTTGCATGCAAATGGTCCCAGGTAAAATTCCCGGCACCTCCAGTAGGACTGGGAAAGACTCCCCTGGAGAGCTGCTGCCAGACAGTGCAGACAATCCTGAGCTAGATGGAACAATGGTCTGACTTATGGAGTAAGTCTATATTCTTAAGAGTCAAAAGGGGTACCCCCCCAAAAAAAAATATACCACATTTTTCAGTGTATAAGACGCACCCTATTTTGGGGGACTCCAAATTAAGAAAACACCCCTCAGCACTAACCGTGTATAAGACGAGCTCCAATTTTAAACCTAATATTTTGGTTAAAAAAAACTTAGTCTTATACACAGAAAAACACGGTATATAGCAAACCTAGGAAGCTGCCTTATACTGTACTGTCTACATTGACTGGCAGGCGTAAGGCATGAGTATCTCCCAGCCCTACCTGGTGATGTGGGGAATCGAACCTGCGACCTTCTGCACGCAAAGCAGGTGCTCTACCACTGAGCTACGGCCTTCTCCAAGAACCTCACTCACTAGTGACAACTTTTAAGTGCTAACAGACCACCGGCAGGTAAAACGACCCAGACAGAACTCGTTTGTCTTGCAAGTCTTGTGTGTGCGCAGAACTGGTGACCAAACAGTGCCCCTCCTCCTCCTCAGTATTCATAAGCATGCGCCTCTGTTACCCAGAAGCCTTCATCAAATTTTGAGGCATTGTTGAACTCAATGAAACCTGTTTCAGAGGATCAGGGAGCAAGTGCCCACATTTCCTTAAGTATCTTGAAAATGTCCCAGTGCTGAGATTTTTCATGATATGCATTATTTACTTTAAAATATATCTCTTTCATAGAAAGAAAACACTATCCTGCTGTTTCAGCAAAGACAAGACACCTCAAGGCAGCTAAAAATTAGATGTTTAAAAAATCAGTTCAACTGATTAGAAGACAAATGATCTAAGGATAGAATGCCATCCACACTAACTTTGGAAGCAAGCGCTATTGAACAAAGTGGAAGTTACTTCTGATTAAACTAGGGTTGTACTGTATGACCTACATTTGCAGGACTAGAACAATCTTGCATGCTGAAAGCCTCCGAATTTCTAGAATCTGAAATATCATGCATAAGCCAATAACAATCTTTTTTTTAAAAAACCTCTTTTAGTTCTAGATATCTGACACTTTTCTAGCTCAAGATGCAAATAACAGGAGCCGTGCAAAATAAAATGTATGGTTTTCTTTTAACTTGCCGGGGGAGCTTTTTTCTTTCTTTCTTTTTTTAAGGGTTTTTAATATATATAAAATCCCACCTCTTTACAGAATTTATATATTAAACTCCATGTTCATTGCAGTGTTTTGCTTATGGGAAATATCAAAATGTCAACCATTGTTTCTGTTAAAGGTCTTTAATGATATCGTGGTTTCTGGACTTGTAATGAAAACACGACGCTGGCTGCAGTTTGTAATGCATCTCATTAAATACGTTAATGGCACACGTTTTACTAAAAGGTCAGGTTTAGTATTGGTGGGAGTTTGCCTTTTAAGGCAAAGAGGGGAAAAGCAGGAACTTGGTTTAAAGCTATAGCTAACTGTGTGAACTATAAAGCACTTCACTTGATGTGGATCTGCGGAAACACCAAGGAACCACTTAAAAGTTCATCGCTGGTGAATTAGCATCCTGTGAGCTGTCACTGAAAACCACGTCTGCACCCTACACTCTGATACCACTTTAACAATCATGGCTTCTGCCAAAGAATCTTGGGAACTATAGTTTACCAAGGCTGCCGATAGTTGCTAGGAGAACCCCAATTCCCAGGCAGAGCTGCAATTGCCAGAGTTCACCAGGAAAAAGGGGATTACTTTTACACTAATGTGTGGGGACTGCAGCAATTCCTGGCTAGGTTCAGAAAAGAAACCACATACCGTATTGGCCCCAATATAAGCCACACCCAAATACAGTGGTAACTCGGGTTACATACGCTTCAGGTTACATACGCTTCAGGTTACAGACTCCGCTAACCCAGATATATTACCTCGGGTTAAGAACTTTGCTTCAGGATGAGAACAGAAATCGTGCTCCAGCAGCACAGCGACAGCAGGAGGCCCCATTAGCTGAAGTGGTGCTTCAGGTTAAGAACAGTTTCAGGTTAAGAACGAACCTCCGGAACGAATTAAGTACTTAACCCGAAGTACCACTGTATAAGCCACACCTTTAAAATTCAAGGAGGGAAAAGAAAAAAAGAGAATACCCGAATATAAGCCGCTTCCTTAAAATTCCCCAGGCACTCACACCCATTCCATTTTACCGTATGTCTGTTTCAGCAGCAATATCATAAAAGCACATTTTTGTAAGTTCGGGAATTTAAGCCACACTTTTAGCTCTTCATGGTCGGAATTTGGAAAAAAGTGAGGCTTATATTCAGGCCAATACGGTAATTTGCACCAACCACAGCTGAGAATCCAAACCACACCTTGAGCTTCCAAACATACATTTTGATCCCTGCTCAAGTACAGAAAATACAAGCACAAAACCAGTCTAGTCTGGGGAAAGGAGAGAGATTCTTACTGTTCTTGAGTGCAGCGGCAAACTCCTGTCCTCCTCTTTTCTTAAACTCCAGGAAAGTATCTGGCTGGGGAAGCTGGTTGGCTGTCAGGAGAACCTTCTGCAGTTTAATTCGCCCTTCCAAGAGCTGATCCCACAGAGCTTTAGGAAAGGAGGGAGCAGGGTAAAGTGAAAGACAAAACATCGTAATTAAATAGGAACACAGGAAGCTGCCTTATACTGAATCAGACAACTGATCCACCAATTATTGTTATTATTATTATTATTATTACTAAATTAAATGTAGCTCAGTATTGTTCCAAACTGTAAGTACTGATAATCTTGTTTTGTTATTTCATAAACTGGCTTGAGTTTTGTTTGGGTGGTTTTGTGTTTTTTTTAACAATAAAGCACTATATAAAACAAATACAAACACGGAGACAAGGGTTTCTCCCATCCCTACACAGAGATGCCTGGGATTGAACCAAGGCCCTTCTGCATGCAAAGCAGATACTCTACCACTCAGATGCAGTCACTCAGGGGTGTTTTGTTTTTGCAGCTATGGCCTTTCATGGCTGACGTATCAAAGCCCCAAGTATTCCCTCGCCTCCCCCACAACTGCCTGCCAGAGGGATGGCAAACAGTACCTTGTTAGCTTCCTAAACATTGAAAGCAATACGCTCAAGGTTTGGTTAAAATGCAAAAAAGCCTGCTCTCTCCTTATCTCTAAGGCACCTTCCAGGTACAGCCCTGCAATGGCAGCACACTGAGGTGAGCATGGGGCCCATACACCACCAAAGGATCCCGCTGGCAAGAGCACCCAGGATCTGCCCCTCCTCTTCGCCATGACAAGCCGATTGCTTGTTCACCCCACTCTCACTTTGGCCCAGACAACAGTGTCAGAGAAGAAGAGAATCAAATAATAATGTACTTCCTTTAACAAACAAAAGAGTTCTTATTTTATACCAAGTCTCAGCCTGAATACCTCTCAACTGAAGGTGTGCTCCAAGCAAGAATTCATTGAACTAAGATCTGACTTTTTCTGCTGCATATACGTAAACTCTATCTGCTAACATTTTCCACGTTCATCGGGGGCCACATGGGAGAAGAGGCTGCCCACTGACCTATTTGATTCTTCACGGCTTTTCCTTTAGCAACTTCTTCGGCCACTCGGTCTTTAGAGAATGGCAACAGCCCCCCAAGATGTTTACTCTCCCTCGCATCCGCCACCATCTCCTCCTCCTCCTCGCTCCCTGCGGCGCTTTCCTCCGATGTCATTCCAACTTCGCTGCCTTCTTCCATGCTGTCTTCCTCATCTCCACTGCCTTCTTCGACACCGTCTTCTTCCTCATCTTCCTCCAACATTTCTCCACTGCCCATTTCGTCCATCCCCTCTGCAAATTTCGCAAAGTCATCCACAGCCTGGAAAACGAAAGCTTCTTCCTTCAGTTTCCCCAGCTGTTTCCTTTTTTCTTCCTCCTCCTGGCTGCTGGCAACACTGCAGGTAGCATCCTCCTCATCCTGGTCCTCGTCCTCCTCATCTGTTTCCTCTTCCTCATTTGAAGTCTGCTCATCTATCAATTACGAAACAAAAGGACAACTGTTAACACTTATCCGTCACGAACTGCACCCAATCCATTAAGGTCAAAGCTGGTGCTTAACCGTGTACATCAGGGGCTGGGAACGATTTCGGCTCCAGGGGCCAGATCTCTATCAAGATCAGTCTTGTGGGGCAAATCCGACAGGTGGGCAGGGCCATGCGCCTGTCTATCACCTGGTGTCAGGTGCAAGGTGCTACTGAAATGAAGGGTTTGTTTACATTTGTTTTAGCGGGGAGGGTGTGCATGGAATCCTTACAACATATAAAGCACAACAGGCTGAATGGTAATGTTTGTAACGAATTTCTTTACTGGTTACTTCCTAGTATACGAATCAAGTCTAGGATGTACACCATATACAATCCTTAAGCAAGGTATATAACCTATTTAATTAAATCCAATGCAGATATATTTCTTCCATCCTTAATACATTCTTGTTTGAGTTCATATATTACGCAGTCCTCGAATGTGATTAAGGAAAGGTCCCCAGAATGTAACGGACATCCTTGCTTAAGGATTGTATATGGTGTACATCCTGGACTTGATTTGTATGTTAGGAAGTAACCAGTAAAAAAAATTGTTACAAACATTACCATTCAGCCTGTTGCACTCTATATGTTGTAATTATTGCATCTGCGTAACAATGTATTGTATTTGTTTTGTGAATGGAATCCTACACAAATCCCCCCCCACAAAGAATCCTGGGAACTGTAGTTTACCACCCTCAGAGCTACAATTCCCAGCACCCTTCACAAACACACCAAACAATTGAAGCTCATTACTTCCCCCAAAATACTCCTGGGAACTGCAGTTTACCCCCTCCCACGGCTACAATTCCCAAGACCCTTAAACCACGATTTGCAGGATTCTTTTGAGGAGGGAATAAGTCATGTTCTTTAAAAATAAAAAGTGTGTACGCAACCTAAGTTGATCTGGCATTCCTTGGCTATAAGGGTAACGTTAAAATAGTTATAGCAATCCCATAGCTTCCTTAAAGGCAGAGGTCACCAATGTGGTGCAAATATGCTGGTAGAGACCTTTACTGGTGCCCACAGGGCCCCCTCCCACCACTGAAATTAAGCTTGAAAGAAGCGTTCTGTTATAGCTAATGGAATCTGTTGCAGGATGTGTGCCTGTCACCCCCAACAGCTTCTCCCGTTTGCAAATGCACCCACAGACCCCTGCAAAAAAAAAAAAAAAAAAAGAGGCTAGCGGCCCCTGTTTAAAGATCAACTCCCATTTTACAATATGTGCATTTTCAAGATTTTGGCTCAGGCATGGGGGTGTGGTGGGGGGATGACAAGGAAGTTCGTGGAGCTTTCCCCCTGCCCCTCCCCCCACCTTGGCAGATTGACGCCTCAAACTTGCACTTTCCTGCAGCAGCTGAACCGATTATCAGACCCATTGATTAGCTGACAGCCTTTCCCATTAAATAATGAGATAATGGGTGAGCATTACAAGGTGATCAAGCACCCTTACGTACATCTTTATTAAGGGGGGGGGGCGGAGTGAGGCATCGTATACAGGGATACAGTCTCCGAGAAATCTATCAATGTGTTGTTGTTTTTAAAAAAAAGAGTTGCCAATTTCCCTCTCACTGATCCAGCACCAACCTGACAACCTGGGACCTCCATGCAACATGAAAATATTAGAGTGACGTCTCAGGACAGAAAGAGCGGCCTGCAAGACTGCTTAAGGATGCTAGAATGCCACCATTCTAATTCTGCATGCTTTTTCCAATGCAGGTGAACTGTCTGATTCAGGATGCTCAGAACCAAGACACCCCACAATACTTAGCATTCAAAGGTATTACTACTACTACTTCTAATAATAATAATAATCTATTATATTTGTATACAGTCCTTCATCTGAAAAATCTTAGGGCGGTTCGCAGAACAAAAATACAAAATAAAACCACAAAGTGCATAATAAAAATGAGGGGACGGACCCACAAAGTAACCCCCTTTCCCCCATGATCAATAATGAACTTTAAAAAATGTTTAAGAAATCCTTTTTTCAAAAGCCCAGAAGCATTGTTGTTGGGGATAACAACAACAGAAATCACCAAAAAAAGAGAGAGAAATTTGTGCCTATATGCGACAACAGCCGCCAGTGTGCTACTAGAGCAAAAATGGAAAACAGTTAAGGTACCAAGAAAACAAGAATGGTATATCAAACTGTTAGAATATGCGGAGCTAACAGGGATGACCACTAGAATAAGAAAATCTTTTTGCATTGCTTTTCTTCATATTCTGTTGGTACAGAATTATATCAGAAATGCAAATAAATATTTTAAAAAATAAAACCTTCCCCAAAAAGCATTTAAAAGGGTTACTGGAGTCTAAAGATGTAGAATGGAGTCGCCAGCCAAACCACCCTGGGGAGAGCATTCCACAAACAGGGAGTCACTGAAGAAAAGGCCCACTCATCTTGCAACCCTCTGAACCTCTCGCAGTAGAGCCCACGAAGAAGGGCCTCAGATGATGATTTCAGGGTCTGGGGTAGGTGGCTGGGGCTGATGGGAGTTGTGGTCCAAAATGTCTAGAAGACACCGCGTTGGAAAAAGCTGTCCTAAACATTAAGAGAGCTTGACAAGAAATGGGGAACCCCCACCCCACAAAAAAAGGGAATGGTGCAGGATCTCACCTGACAGTTGATCGTCTCCCCACATTTCTTCCTCCAAAGCTTTGCGGGATATGGCCTTCCCACGGTATCTCTTATCAGCATCCAAAAGGTGGGAGGAGACCCCCTTTCGTATGTGCCCAAGTGCAAGGACATCATCTTCATCTCCTTCGTCAAACTTGTCAACCACCCTGGCTGCGGTGGCTGCAAAAGGGGGAGAGAAGGTGAAAGAGATTAATGGGGGGGGGTTAGAAGGGGGGAAATTCCACCCCACCCCTCCAGTGGTCCAAGAAGTTTGCCGAAATCACTGGCTGAATGGGGAACACACAGCTTTTCAGATGTGGCCAGAACACTACTTGCAATAGCTCCTCAGCCAACGCAACCCAACGATCAGGGATGATGGGAGTTGCAGCTCAACAACATCTAGAGAGTCAGAGATGGCTTCCGCGCAGAAAGATACACCACCAAATATTCACAGTGATAGATAGAATTCTAAATACCAGGAACAAGCAACAAAGAGAGCTCACTGCACTATGTCTGGGAGTTCCACTGTTTAAACCACAATGCTGGACTAATAAGACCTCTCTCAGATGCAGCCAAGATGATTCCTGCCATGTGTAGCAGCAGAAACTCTGGTTAGCTTTCACCATCAGCTACCAACACATCTCTAAAGCATGGTTAAGATAGGAAAGGCAACAGCATTGCAGGCCCTGCCCTGTGGAACTCCCTGCCACTAGAGGCACAGCAGAAACCATCCTTGCCTTTTTTTCCAGATGTCTTCTGAAAACCATACTGTTTAGGCAGGCCTTCATAATATGAATTTCTCTTTTTAACCAACCAGTTATATTTAGGGATTGATTGTATTATTTTTGTATACAAAAACCTTGATAATGGTTTATGAAAGCATGGATTACAAATATTCAAATAAATTTGCCCCCAGGAGTGGAGGGAAGGCACATTCCTAGTCTCTTATTTTACTAAGAGCATCATCATTACACTCTTGGGGGCTGATGCAAACACACGTTTTACGAAGTAGGGCTGTCACCCCATTAAAGAAATGTTACTCAATTAATTGCATGGGTCCTTTATCAACTATTTTAGTCAATCAAAACCTTTCAAGCCTGGCAGTGTAGTGTAATGAATCAACCAACTACAACAAAGCAGTCCTAACTAAGGAGAGATCTTCTTGAGATCAAGTTCTGAATTTCTTTGCCAATTATCACAGCAGGTCCATGATGTTAACTGAGATACCATCTCAGCAATAAACACCTTTACATTATGCACCAGTCAGTGGTATTGAATGAACCAGCTGCAAACCTCTTGGTTCTATATGGCAACATTTTTTAATTGTTTGTTTTTCTTTTATTAAATTTCTACACTGCCCTTCATCCAAGGATCACAGGGCAGTTTACAATATAAAAACACAACATTAAAGATCCCAGGTGAATAGTATATAGAAGTAGGGTGTGTTGAGTTTTTCAACTTTCAAATTCCAAAAATGAGGGGTGCTAAAAAGTTGTAACATGATTTGAGAATAATAATAATAAACTTTATTTGTATTCCGCCCTTCCCTGCCAGAGCTGGGCTCAGAGCAGCTAACATCATATAAAAACACGATATACATAAAAACAAACAAACAATTGATTAAAATGCATCCCAAAATTATTTCAAATAAATTAAAATTAGACTGGACAAATGGCCATCCTCAAGTTAAAACTGAAAGCAGTTAATGTTATTTTGGTTAAATTAATATAATGTAGTTTTCCTTGGTAAGTAAAATGCATGTAAATTTTTAATGGTTGCCAAGTACCTGCAATTATATCATATACTATTAGCAGTATTAGTATTATTTAGCATTATCTGACATTTTCAGAATGTAAAATGAAATTCTTTGGTTTTCTGAAAGCACTTTATGTACTTCTTCATCAAACAGACTTACCAAGCTAAATGTTGTCCAATAACAAATATAATAGATTTGAATTCCTAACACCTGGAAGCATGTTTTCAAGATGCCTCATAAAAGACACGTGCAAAAACTTTCACCCTCTAAATTGATACGCCCCAGTACAGGAGGCTACCTTAAACTTCTTGCAAGGAGTTCTGGGAGCTGTAGTTTGTTAAGAGAGTTGTTAAGAGAGACCACCTGCTCCCCTCCAAGATCTACAATTCCCAGAGCGGCTTAAACAATCCATCTCTTTTCTCAAAGCTATGGGAACTGTAGTTCTGGGAGGGGAAGAGGGGTCTCACCTAACAACTCTCCAAACAACATCTCTCTCACATACACACAGGACAATTCCCCTAGTCTGCTAAAAAAACAAAACACAACCACTACATAACGTGCACACGTGGCCAAGGAAACTTTCACTAGCTCTCTGAAACCCAAGTACACGCATGCATGCACGCACACATACGCGTGTCCAGAGATACTTGCACACACGTGTCCAGGGGGCCTTTCCACTCGCTTGGTAAAACCCACTCAGCGACACGCACACACACGTGTCCAGGGGGCCTTTCCACCCGCTCGGTGAAACCCACCCAGCGACGCGCACGCACACAAACACACACGTGTCGAGGGGCTCTCCCACCACCGTTTCCAACCCACGTGTCCACACACAAGCACCGGCCCCTGCTTCTCGGAGAGAGACGGAGCCCCCGAAGCCGCTCCGTTGCGGTTGCTTCCCCCCGCACCCACTCACCGTCCTCGGGGTCGTCCTCGGGGTCGTGCAAGGCGCGGGGCAGCGGGTTGAGCAGCCGCTCCAGCTCCTCCGCTAAGGGCGCCGCCATCTTGATCCTCTCCTGGCCCGCCCGGAAAAAGGAGGCGGAGCCAGCAAAGGGCCGCCCAAAGGCCCGGGGAAGGGGAGGGCCTCTCGCTTTGCACATTTTTGCACGCGCGGACACAGCTTTGCATATACATTAAATGCACGTGCACCCTCCGCTCAAATTCCCAGGGCAGTTTTCATCATGGCTAGAGTACCACTGCAGCTGCCAACCTTCTTTTTATTTCATTTTTTTGCTGCGTGGTTTTGCATTTAGGCTGCCAGACCTTGCGATGAATCTTTTAGGGGGGTTCGAGGGTTTTTTGTTTTTTACAATCAAGCGGTGTATAAATTTTGTTGTTTAATTTCGGTGAATGTTTCTTAGCGAGACGCTTTTATCAACTTACTGATCAGATGTCAAAGAAATAAACAACTACCTGACTTTTAGAAGACATCTGAAGGCAGCCCTGTTTAGGGAAGCTTTTGATATTTGAGTGTATTTTAATATTTTGTTGGAAGCCGCCCAGAGTGGCTGGGGAAACCCAGCCAGATGGGCGGGGTATAAATAATAAATTAATATTACATTTTTATTATTTTGGTATGTTTTTTAGTTAATTGTGTAATTTTCATGTTCTGGGTTGCCTTCAGCATGATTTCCTACGCCAAGGGAGCATGCACATTAAAAGTGAGAGTGATGATAATGGCGGTGGCCACATTCACAACAAATATATTTAAAGCACTATGTCGGGTTTCCATATTTCAAGAAGTGAAAACACCGGAAGTTGTTGAGGTTTTTTCTTATTATCATTATTATTGGAAAACACTGAAAACACACACACAAAATTGCCTTTTGTTGTTGTTTTTTTGTTTACTTGCCGAAGATCCAGGACAAACCATGGCCTTCTCTAAATTCCCTCCAGACATCACTTCCGCCTTTGAAATCCTGGTAATATCCAGGGAAATCTAGACATACAGCAGCGCTGGCATTAGGGCACCACTTTGACAGGCATGGCTTCCCCCAAAGAAATCTGGAAGCCATAGTTCTGGGTGCTGAGAGATATTAGGAGACACATACCCTCCATTTCCTCTGGCAGAGTTACATTTCTCCAAGTTCCTTGGAAAGAGGATTGTTAAACCACTCTGGGTCTTGTAGTTTTAGGAGGGCAACATGGTGACACTTGTGGCACCTTGAAGGCTTAACACATTTATTACGACGACTCCTTGCTTTTGTGAGAACACAGGCCAATATGTCTTCCCTGTGTGTGTTAACTTTTACAGCTGAGAGGATGGATTTCAGTCTAAGCCACCTCGATCTTCGTGCTGCGCTCTAATAATGTGTTATGTTTCAAATGTCCAAAGCACTTCGCGTAACTGAAATCCTTACGACGATAAGCGAGTGTCATTTACGTACATTTCACAGAAGGGGAAATTGAGGCCAAGGAAAAGAGTGTATGGCCTGAGCCCAGCTACTGAGTTTTTGATTCATAGCTTGGTCTCTTAGCAGCTGCATCGCACCAGTAGTGTAAAAGCCCTACAACAAACACACTGGTTTCCTGGGTATCTCAACATATTATTGGGGGGGGAGCTATCAAGAGTCCCCTGTTGGCAGCCTTAAAAGAGTTAACAAATAGGTAGCCCCAAATCCCATGCAGGTCTGCTGATAAGAGAGCTTCCAGCTGAAGCTGCTTTGCCTTTTAAATGATTGGATAGGAGGGACTTGGGGAGGGAAGACCTTCTTTGCCTGGAGAGCCACGGTCAGTCTGACATTCCCTGCCCAATGGTGGGTGGGTTGAGAGGGAATGGAAGTGATACAGGCAATGGAAGTGATACCTATGCACAGTTGGCAACATTCCCAGCATGCAAATTCCTGAAGTTTCTCCAGTCTCCATGACCACAAGAAAATGCAATTTAATTGGGCTGGGTTTTTGTTCAGGGTTTTTTGTTAGGGCGGGACTGCTGCTGTTATTTATATTTTTTAAAAATTGTATCTTTATTTTGGATCCTATTAAGATTTATGTGGAAGTTGTTCCATCAGGTTGTGTACTTTTTGATGTTTTATTCATTGCTTGACTATTTTTGTTATGCATATAATTATCCTTTTTTTTTTTAACATGTTGTAAGTGTGATAGGAATTTTGAGGTCTTAGATATATGGTAATGTTCATAACCACACGTACATAGATCAGCACAGGAAGACTGACCTGAAGTCATTTTGATTCCTAAACAGAGCAAATGTTTTCTCTGCAAGGTCAAACTGGAAAAGCCTCCCCATTGTCTCTTTCCTCACAAATCCTGTCTTAAGGACACATTTAAGATCTGAATAGGGTGTGAGCCTGTGACCTGGCCCAGGAACTAAGTATTTATCACTACAAAAGACTGGGCAGCCTCCCCAGGAAATCCAATCAAGTAACCTGCCAGACAGGAGATAAACAACGACAAGAGAAAAACAACATTCAAATGTTCTGTTTTAGACCACCTTTTTTTGTGATGTAGGTGTGATGTATCTGAGGGGTGGTCTTAGGTTACACCCCTTCTGTGATGTATGTATGATGTTTCTGGGGGGTTGTCCTGATCTACAGGATGGGAATTTCAAAAGTCTTTATAAGGCCTTGCATGCCATTTTTCTGGGTCCTCCTCCTTTCCTGCGTGTGAGGGGAGCACCCTGTTGCAACAGATCAATAAAGATCAAGCTTACTAGCTGCTCTGCTTCTCAATATTCTCTGGTTGGCCTCTGTTATTCTCTCCTACCAATAGGGAACCTATGTAAGGACTCTATATGGGCTCTTGGATACCCCATAAGGGAAAAGGGCAATTTTTGTTTACAACATAAGCAGTCTTGAGCATGGTCCCAATTACGGAAAGGCAGCATACAAATAAAATTATGTATAATGTGTGTATATAATTAGCAATCCACTTCAACAGTTTTATCTGATGAATGGGACTGTAGTGTGTGAAAACTTATGCCATCATAAGTTTGTTGGTTCTTAAGGTTACAAATGGCTCTGTTGTCTTTGCTAAAACTAATACCCCTCTGCAGAAGTCAACTGTGGCAGTATATTTTGGGGTGGCTGTAGTCCTGAATCTACTGACTTGAGAGTAAATTTATTTGAATTAAGTGGGATTAACGTCTGGTTAGGCATGTCCCACATTGAATTATTAGGTGATTAAAAGACAAACAGAAAGTTAATATTGAGTGCGTATGTATTTTGCAGGTTCAGAAAGTGGCACTAGGTGTGGAAAAGATATGCTTGTGTTTTATTTCATAAAATTTATACACTGCTTGATTGTAAATATCCTCAAAGCAGTTGTGCTGTTTCCAACCTATAAATCTAATATGGTAAATTACTTTTAAGCTGTGGCTAAGTGAAATTTCCCACATGTTATATCGGCAGTGGTGAACCACTGCCCCCTGGTCTAATTAGCCCTCCCAGGCCTCCCCCTTTGATGTGCAAGGTTGTTCAACCAAGCCATGGTACACCTGTGTTACACCTGATGTCAGGTGCAGGACAGGTCAAGAGGCACCAGGCTTTGCAAGCACTGATCATCAACTGATCATCAGCACTTTGCCTGTGTGGTTTGATTTCAAGCCACGCAGGCAAAGGAAGATGGGTCACCTGATATTGTGATGTCAAGTGACTGACATGTGGATAGCCCTGCCTATCTGTAAAAGTTGTCCTGTTAAGAAAAGGGACAGTTAAGGATCCAACTAACGTGCAGGATCCAGTCCCCCATCATCACCACCACATTAAATATTTCACAAATTAGGGGACAAAGCATTCCTTCACAAATCAATATGATTTATTGATTTTCATTCCTTTCCCCATATAGATCATGGATGGAATTAGAAAGATTTGGTTCCCTCAGTGGGTGCTTATAGTGCCATTTACACTTCATCACACTCACTGGCCAGGCCATCAACTGGAAAGGTTTTTATTCCACTCATAAAATGTTTGATTATTCCTTTTTGAAAACAATCATATGCACCCACAAGTACTGAGCCTAATTTGTCCCCCAACTTGTGATTCTCCGTTTGCATATTTGACTGGCACCTAGGTTTCAAAATATAAGACCATACTATACGATGAATTTTAATAAAAAGAGAAGAGGTGTTCAGAAGCAAAATCCTGTGCATGCCAAGAGCTCAGTGTGGCTTACTCCCTGGTAAGTGTAGTTAGAACTGCAGCCCACCCACGCCATATAATCAAACAACAAACATATGCAGAATGCACCGGGAATTCAATAGCAGATATGAGTACTTATGGAAGCATTCAGCCATACCAGAAAACATCCCAATATATTGACCCATGTAAAAACTGCATTTCTAACTCCCCAGAGTGCCAGATTAATGCTTTTCTTCCCAATATAAAAAAGCACTAAATATAAAATGGAAAGCCTGCATGGGTGTGTGCATATTTTGAAAGAATAATTGTGTTGGCTTGTACCAGCAACCTCACTTTCTAAATTGATAATTCTCTGTCTCCTGAAAGACTGAGGCTGCATTTAACTTGGGAGGAAGCCCCACTGCACCTTACTTCTGAGTAGACTTGCATAGGATTGTGCTGTTAAGGTTGCCATTCACTTGCACAGGAGTAAGCCCCGCTGAATAAAGAGAGGCTTACTTCTGGAGTAAACACACATGGGATTGTTCTAGAATTCAGGGTTGCGGGTCATAAGCTTCATAATATCTGAGACACAACACAAAATTAATGCTTTTCTTCCCAATATAGGAAAATGACAATTACAATAGGAAAACATACTTTGGTGGGTTCCCCCTTCATAAATTAATATTTTCACGATACAGTACTTTAAAGGGCAAGAAATAGGAAGCATTGCCTGGGGCTGCCCTCTTCTTCCTCCACTGCATTTTATACACATTTATTCAGAAGTAAGCCCTACCAAGTCGGGCAGGAGGACTGATCAGTTCCAGATCAATCTGCTTCGGATAATAGCCTTTGAAGTGACACGGCAAACATGGAAGGGAAAGTGAAACTAGTAAAAGATGCTGAGTTGCCAAATTATGTCCAGGGAGAAAAAGAGAATAAAGAGCATTTAAGAGTTGTGGGGAACCTCAGGTCCAGGTAGGCCTCAGGACTCCCCTCAGGACAGGTGCTACAACCCCAGGCCATGCCTCTGGCCATTCCTCCTCAAATACTTTCACCTGAATGAAATGTTTCATTAAACTTTGACTGTGCCTCTTGCTCCCCTGAATGAGGGATGGAGAGATAGTGTGGAAAAGTATATGACTTTCACATGGCTGGAATGTACAAAGGCAAGTGTTGCCTCTGCTGTTCCACTCACTCGCCTCTGGCCCCATTCAGCACTGACATGGCGTGAGTCCCTCAAATGTTTGCCCGTGAGGGGCAGCAGCCTTCAGGCTTGCAAAGGTTCCTCACCCCTGCTACCCAGGGCCAGCCCAAGACATTTTCGCACCTGAGGCGAACCAGAACACAGCATCCCTACCCAGCCTGAAAATAAAGGCTGAGTGAAGATTCTGCATGAATAGGCAGGGCTCGTCTCAGACACTGCGCTGCCTGGGGCAGAGGACAAAATGGCGCCCTCCCTGTACCATGCACAGAAGCTGACTGGAGCTGTCGTTGAATCTTAACTTCAACCTGGCAACAGGATGACATCCTCCAGTCTGTGGTTTATATAGGTCTGATCCCCAACACAGGAGAATGGCCCTGGGTTCAAGAGGAATGGAGTGTGCCTGTCGCTTCTGCCTGAGGAGACTACTTCCCCTAAATAATTATGGGAGCTGTATTTTGTTAGGGGTGCTGGGAGTTGTTAGAAGGCCCCTGTTCCCCTCACAGGACTATAATTCACAGAGCTGTTTGTCAATCTCTCTTCCTCAGGAAGTCTGGGAATTGTAGCTCTGAGAGGGGAATACAACTCTCAGAAACCTTAACAAACGACAGCTCCCATAATCCTTTGGGGGGAAGCCATTACTGCTTAAAGTGGTGCGATAGCGTTTTAAACGCCCGACGCAAATGTGAGTTGAAAAGTGTAACACATGAGGGAGGCAAACACTTCTTATGAAGCACAGTGCCGTGCCTTGGAGTCTCAAATTTCCATGTCGCCCTGTGAGATGCCAAAATTCAGCGCCCCCACCTCTCGCTTTCCACCAAGGCTCCGCGCCCCGTGCAACTCAACCAGTTGCGCTCCCCTAAATCTGCCTCAGTGAAACGTATGCGCTGATGTCAAAGAGACAAGCACATGCCAGCCTGACTCCACCATGACACCACAGCTAAGGCAACATTTTCTCATCTTCGCCACATTAAGCAGTTGGTCCCTTACCTTTCCTGCCCCGACCTGGCCACAGTGATCCATGCGACGGTCACCTCCAGGCTTGGCTACTGTAATTCGCTCTATGCGGGGCTGCCCTTGAAACTCTCCCACAAACTTCAGCGGGTGCAGAATGCTGCAGCAAGGCTCCTCATAGGATATCTGCCATGGGAGCATATTCACCCAGTGGTTTACCAGTTGCACTGGCTCACGGTAGAGTATAGGGTCAGGTTCAAGGTGCTGGTCTTGACCTTCAAAGCCCTTTGCGGCTTAGGCCCCTCGTATTTACAGGACCGCCTCTCCTGGTATGCCCCGCAGAGGACCTTAAGGTCCATGAATAACCATAGTTTAGAGGTCCTGGGCCCTAAGGAAGTCAGACTATCCTCCACCAGGGCCAGGGCCTTTTCAGTGATGGCTCCGACCTGGTGGAATGCTCTGTCCCATGAGACTAGGGCCCTTCAGGATTTAACCTCTATCTGCCAGGCCTGTAAGACAGAGCTATTCCGCGTGGCCTTTAATTTGAATTCACCCTGATCTTCTATTTCCCGTCTCTTCCCTCCCCTTTTATGAAGATTATCTGCTCTGAGACCCCACAGCTAATTCTCCCCTGGCCTCCTCGCTGGCCCAAGTAGGACTAATTCAGCCAGCTAGCCCTGGGATTACTTAATGCTTATTTCCCCTAAATTGATTTCTGAATTTTGAATTTTATTGTTATTCATGTTTTATACTGTATTTTATGCTGCTTTTACAATTAAGTTTTAAAATTGTTGTTAGGCGCCCTGAGCCCAGTTTTTGAACCGGGAAGGGCAGGGTATAAATAAAAATTTATTCTTCTTATTATTATTACTTGAGAATCCACTGCAATCCTCAAGAGTAGGCCAAGCTACAGGGAATATAATAGAGGCTTGGTCTTGTGGTTAAACCATGACAATAAAAATTCAACTTCTTTCAAGGTTAGCTTAGTTGTGTTGCGCACACAGTTGTGTCCTCCAATGGAGGGGAATTGGAGGAATGGCTGGAACAGGGGGCACTGCCACCTGAAGCGGTTGACTCAGCCTAATGGTAGAGCCGTACAGTGGTACCTCGGGTTAAGTACTTAATTCGTTCCGGAGGTCCGTACTTAACCTGAAACTGTTCTTAACCTGAGGTACCACTTTAGCTAATGGGGCCTCCTGCTGCTGCCGCGCCGCCAGAGCACAATTTCTGTTCTCATCCTGAAGCAAAGTTCTTAACCTGAAGCACTATTTCTGGGTTAGCAGAGTCTGTAACCTGAAGCATATGTAACCTGAAGCGTATGTAACCTGAAGCGTATGTAACCCGAGGTACCACTGTACTACAATCCTACAAGTATTTGGGGCAGAGTGAGCTTCATTCAAATGTGTGTGTATGTTCTTCAAATCCACACTCAGTAACTATCTGCTGTAAGAAGGTCCCATGGTACCAGAAATATCCAAGAGAGCGGTGAACACCCTGCTGTAACCATTTAATCAGACATGGCGGGAAAACCTTGGGAGTTTCTCTCAGGATTCTCCAAGATGCTTCTTCAAATCGCTGAGGAAAAAGCTCCAAAAGCACTTCAAACTTAATTTTAACATGAAATCCAATAACCCAACTTGAGAAATGTTGCCAACATTATCAAAACTCATAGCGCTTTCCTCAAAATGACTCAGAAACGTAATCTGAGGAGAAACCACCAGATTCTCATTGAATTAATGCAGAATCCAATGACAAGTTATGGATGAGTGAAAACATCCTCAGATTTTGATATTCTTATAAAAAGCTGTTCTGCTATTCCTCAGAATCCCAAAGAAAAAACATTCTGAGGAAATAATTGCCTGAGGAAGAACCTACACAATTCAAATTTTGCTTTTGGCAATATTTAAGAGATCAGAATCCTCCTTCTTGACCACCTCTCCCCCCCCCCCCCAATGTCATAAATCTTTTAAAGCATTGAATGAAACACAGGTTATCTAAACATCAGATTTTCTAATTTTATTAAAAATTCACAAATTTTTTAATCCAACTTTCCCCCCCTTTCATACAGTGAATGGTCTAATATGCACTGGAGGTCACACAAGCTTAGGTTTATTTGAACAATAAAAGACATATGAGAAATTTAATATATAAAGGAAAAAAAGTAGCAGCTGCTGACTGCATATTTGACCATAAAATTTAAATATTTTGGACTTTTTTTTCTTTTAAAGACACAAAAATAAAACCTGTGTGGGTCTATATAAGTCATATTAACAATTCCATTAATGTTGAACAGGACTAAACATTAGCAAAGATGTTAAATTTCCCCCCCTCTTAACCTTGTAACACTTTGTTTAAAATGTTTTGCGTTTTTCCCCCGGGCTGTGGGTACAGCACCCCCAAAGAGTATTTTGTGCTATAGAATTGTTTTATTTGGCAACTGTTTGATTTTATAAGTTTTTATTCTTTGCCTGCTGTAAACGCCACCTTTACAAACTAGCACAGTGAAACACAAGCCCTGTAATGTCTTATAACAACTACAGAAAAAAAAGGAAAAAGAAAGAAAAATGAACTATTTTGGTTGATTGCTCAAAATACTTTGCTTTTGAACAAGAGGTTCTAAAACAGGATTTTTTTTAAAGTAAAACATTGCGCTCCTGAATTTAACATTCGACGTAAACAGTTGACTGCTTTTTTTTCTAGTTTCATAGAGTCTTTTTATTTTTTATTTTTGTTTGTTTAGCTTTTATTTTTCTGAAGGTAGAATACTTTGTCGTTCGTTTCTTTTCAAGTCAGTTTTTCTTTTTAACTTAGAAGTCTAGCAGAAGACTTCTGGGTTTTGAGGATTATTGGTGTGTGTCGCTCAGAGAAGGTAGAAGAGTTGATTCGGAGGGCTTATATTTAAATATTTGCTATTTTGGCCAATGAAAATAAAACAAACATAAAAGCACCACCCTCCCAAAAATAACAACAAAATTAACTACATTTCATTTGCCCCACCTGACATTTCTGAAGCTTTAAAAGTCTATTGTTGTGGCTCATGTTGAATGTTCGGAGGCAAAATTAAACAAATCAATAATACCAAAAGAATCATCATTTTAAAAAATGCTAGAATTCCTTGAAGCTTTTTTTTTTTGTCTTGTTCTTGTTGACCTTGCCTTTATTCAATATTGGTTTCTTTTCCTATGAAAAAAGTCTCTGAGAATCTTGTTTTTCCCCCCCTAGAGTTATAGTCTAGTGAATGCGGACACTCACTATTCGCCATCCCATAATATATGGCAGTATCGAAACAAATCCACTTCGCCAGTGTCTTTTTTCCTTCTTCACTTGGTACAAAAAGAGATTACTTTCTTCATATTTTCCCCCTTGTCTTGTCTTTTCTCCTTTCATTCTGTATCATGAAGATTGTCCTCCGGTTTATACCAAAATCTCCCTGGGCTTCGATCTGAAATGAATAATTCAGTTAATTCCCAAAGTTCACAAAAAGAAAAAAAGGCAAAACCCCCAACAAATATATCTATATATCTATACGTCTTAGGGCAAGAAAGAAAAAAAAAGAAACTATTTGCTCGAACTCGTTTCTATACACCTGGATGTAAGCAAAGGTGGGTGTCGATTGGCCACTTACTTCTCAGCCCCCAGTCTTGGTATTTAAAGCTACCATACAGCAGCCTCGTTCATTTCGGGCGGATGTGATAAGTGGCTGCCATAGTTAGCACCGCCGTTGACAGATATCGAGGAAAACGGAGGACTCGGCCCAAAAACTTCGGCCGACATGGAGTGCAAGGAGCCAGGTAGGTTGGGTTCGGGGCTCGGAGAGTCCCCAGGTGGGTGTGACATGATATCTGTGAAACGCTGAGCTTCGCTGGAAGGATGGTGTCCAGGTAATGGGTGGTCCATTCCCCCGAGAGGCGTTCCTGACGACCCGGACGATGGCACGAAAGGGAGATCCACCGGCGTCTGGGCTTGAGAGGAAGGCGGTCCTTGGGGGAAGAAATCGTAGTTGCTCCCAGGTCCGTAGTATTCGCTCTGGTAATCTGGCAGGCGGAGAAAAGATAAAAGGTTGACGTACATGCCATGGATCTTTCTTTCTTTCTTTGCTGCATCAGGAGGTTTTTTAATGTTTTGTTGTGTTTCCGAACACAATTCAAAGTGTTGGTGCTGACCTAAACGGCCTCGGTCCAGTATACCTGAAGAAGCGTCTCCACCCCCATCGTTCAGCCCGGACATTGAGAGGGCCTTCTGGCGGTTCCCTCATTGCGAGAAGTGAAGTTACAGGGAACCAGACAGAGGGCCTTCTCGGTAGTGGCACCCGCCCTGTGGAACGCCCTTCCACCAGATGTGAAGGAAATAAGCAGCTATCTTATCTTTAAAAGACATCTGAAGGCAGCCCTGCTTAGGGAAGTTTTTAATATTTAATGCTGTATTGTTTTTAACACTTGATTGGGAGCTGCCCAGAGTGGCTGGGGAAACTCAGCCAGAAGGGTGGGGTATAAATAATAAAGTATAATTTTTATTATTATTATTATTATTATTATTATTATTATTATTATTATGTATTTTGCTGGAAGCTACCCAGAGTGGCTGGGGAAACCCAGCCAGGTGGGTGGGATATAAACAATAAAATTATTATTTATTATTATTTTAGATCATAATTACAGCAGAGGATGGCCTGATCAGCTGTCAATACTGCATAACCAAATTTGATTAGTTATGTAGCAGGATGTCGCCCTTTTCACTATGTGGTTCGTGGTGGGCTGAGCTTCCCCATGTCTCGATTAGAGAAGGGGAAACATGGGAAAAGCCAGCCGGATCAGGCCAATGGCCCATCTAATCCAGCATTCTCACAGGGGCCAGCCAGGTATTCCAATGGAAAGCCTGCAAGCAGGAGCAGAATTTGGTAATATGGCGACCTGTGCTCCCCTCCTGTAGTTTCCAGTAATTGGTATTCAGAAGCACTAAGGTCCAGTGCCGAGGGCCTTCTGGCAGTTCCCTAACTGCGAGAAGCCAAGTTACAGGGAACCAGGCAGATTGCCTTCTTGGTAGTGGCACCCGCCCTGTGGAATCCCCTCCCACCAGATGTCAAAGAGAACAACAACTATCTGACTTTTCAAAGACATCTGAAGGCAGCCCTGTTTAGGGAAGTTTTTAATATTTGATTAATTATTGTATTTTAATATTTTGTTGGAAGCTGCCCAGAGTGGCTGGGGAAGCCCAGCAAGATGGGCGGGGTATAAATATATTATTAATTATTTATTATTATTATTATTATTATTACATAACCTAGCCTTGGCTTCTTTTGCACCTTGACCTGGCGCCATTTTCTGCTTCGCCACAGTCAGCAAAATGATTTGGGGAGGCCCTGATGAGGCCCCCAGCCACCACCTCAACAGTGGTGCAACTTGGGTTGGACCTCAGAGCTGAAGTCTGGACCACCACAGCCCAGGCTCTGACCCCCCAAGTACCCCCCCCGAAAGTGGCAAATTACAGTGACAAATGCGCTCTGCATCAGCATCTGTGCCACCAGTGACAGCTCTGGGCCTGATGCGGATGACTGCAACTTTTATTTCTCCTTACTTAAAAAAAACTCATTATGGTTGGGGGGGTCAAGGACCTACACATTTGCAAATGCTTGTCATCAACAAGCCCACCTTTTCCCCTAGTTGCATCTTAAAACCTGTTTGCACGTCCTCAGCTTTAAATTAAAATGTGATGAATGCAAATTCTGCAATAAATTAAAACCACACTCTGCTATAAGATGCCAAGTTGAATCAATTTTGCTAAATTGTTATTATTTTCACACTTTGATCTGATTATGCTGATAAGGGGAAGAGGGGCCACAGAAACTTCTGTGGTTTCTGATTTCACCCAGTAACTTGAAATAACATTTTTTCAACAATAAGAGAAGCTTGATTTTGTTTTTAAGAATGAGAGGACGCCAAGATTCTTATAAAGCTGAAGATGAACTCTGCAGCCAAGATCACTTTGGGGAATTTTCCCCGTATTTCCATGGAACCAGTATTAATATGGTGGTGTGCAAACGTAACCATTATCTCCTCAAAAGTACATCTTCTTGGATTCTGTGGGGCTTACTCCCAGGAAAGCAGGTTTTTAGGATTACAGTCTTTGTTTGCGGGGAGGTTAGACTACATGGACTATTTAATGAGCATTCATTCTGGCTTGTCTGTGGGTAGGCTAGATGGCACTGCATCAAAGCCAGTGTCATCCTCCACTTTCCCTGTCACTTTCCTTACTGCAAAAAGGCCTGATATTTTAGGATAGTGGGTTTATTACACAATATTTCCCAATCAGCTATAATTGTGCAACCTACCACTGAACAACAGTGTTGTTGCCCGCCCCCCAAACATGATAACTCCATCAGACAGACACTTTGGGGCAGTCATTCCATGGACTGCCTCAGTGGGAGACATGGAGAGCAGTGCTCATTCCATCAGCTTTGCTGAAAGACCAGCTCTGCCACGCACCTCTTACCCCTGAACTGTGTCAGCTACTCATTAGAAGAATAACTATTTAATAATTGGTGTCTGGGTTTTATTTTTTCCCTCCTTCTCCCCCTTCCCTGGTGGGTCATTTTCCATCTCCCCCAATTTTAAGCCTACATTGCTTCTTTCTGACTGATTCGGAAGAACAGCGCCAACACATATTGTTTATCTCTGTGAGTGCCCCCCTATGCTAGGGTTCCAATCTGCACCAGGCCCCCCAAAATTGGCAATTGGAGGGGACTCCCACTCACCCCTTGCATTTCAGGACAGAACTATGCAGTTAATTTCATGCTTAGTTTGGTTCTGAGTTTTGGGGTGCTTTTAATGTTTGATGTTTTGTTTTGTTCCTTTATACAGTGGTACCGCGGGTTAAGTACTTAATTCGTTCCGAAGGTCCGTTCTTAACCTGAAACTGTTCTTAACCTGAAGCACCACTTTAGCTAATGGGGCCTCCTTCTGCCGCCACGCTGCCAGAGCACGATTTCTGTTCTTATCCTGAAGCAAAGTTCTTAACCTGAAGCATTATTTCTAGGTTAGTGGAGTCTGTAACCTGAAGCGTATGTAACCTGAAGTACCACTGTATTTTGTTGGAAGCTGCCCAGAGTGTCTGGGGTCAGATGGGTACGGTATAAAAGCACTTTGTTGTTGTTGTTGCATTAGGCTAGACCCTATGAAGCTGCATGAAGAGATTCATTCCAGATTCTAAAGCAAGGCTCTTTCTGGGTTCAGTTTCACAGAGGACCTTTGCAGAAAGAGCTGTAGCTCAGTGACAGAGGATCTGCTTTGCATAAAGGAAATCCCAGGCTCATTTCCAGGTATAGCTGGGAAAGGATCCTGCCTGAAACCTGGGGGAATCGCTAACAAGTCAATGTAGATAACACTGAGCTTGGTGGATCAATGGTCTGACTCAGCGTGAAGCAGCTTCTTCTCTTGTGAGGGAGGCAGTTCAGCCTCTTTACCATTTAGGATGATCCTCTTAAGCTACTGCTTATAGGAGGCCAGGAAGCATGATTTGGTTAAAACGTGGGGGGCTAAGGATTTCATAAAGCCTTTATACCCCCTCCCCATGACTTGAGCACTCAAGGGAGATTACAGGCACCTGCTGAATTTTCTGTTACCCTAAAAACAAACCCTAAAACTAAAAGGAGCACCTTTTAGCTGGAGATAAAGGGAAAGGATGCAGTGCCAAATTAGTAATTAAGAAGTAAGTTTTCTGCTAATGGGCTGGGATTAGGTTCCCACCCAAATTTTTTATAAAAATTTAAATATTATAAATATTATCTAAAATTAAACAGCCTAATATCAAGTTTATTTCCTGACGGTTTTGCAGTGTCCCCTCCCTGCAAACTTTCTGGCTCCAGGCCTGTCAAGAGGTGTAAAATCAAAATTCTTGGGCTGGCTTGTGTGTGTGGATGCAGCTAGGGAGACGTGTGAACACGCCCAGGAACCTCTCCCCCCCCCCCCGCGCGCTTACCCACCTCCGTAAAAGGAGAAGGGCCCGTTGGGGATGAGCTCTCCCGGCTCCAGACGGTCTACCAGCGGCCTCATGCGGCGGGGGCTGCGGAAAAACGCGTGCCGTCGGGCCCCCAGCGCGCTCAGTTGCTTCATGCGCCTTTCTTTGGAACGCCGATTCTGGAACCAAACCTGCCAGGGAGAAGGAGGAAGAGAAGCCGGAGTTGAGAGGCTGCTTGGGATACCGAGGCGAGGACAAGGGCGCGGGGATCAACGCTAGAGCCACTGGGAAAGAGAAGCCAAGCAGGATCGTTCCCGTGGTGCGCCTAGGGCGCACGGAGAGATGCCGTTTGGAGAGCTTTTGGAACACTCGCCCAGGGCATTCGCCAAAAGGCCAGCCAGGCAGGCAAGGGGGTGGGAATGGAGGACGCTAGGCTGACCATTCAGAGACGCCAAAATACAACCTAAGAACACACACACACAAAGGTATATCAAACCAGAGAAACCGGATTCTCAAAGCAGCTAAACGGAGGGAGCAGTGCTGGATTAACACATATACCAGGGTTGACAGGCGGGCCGGGAAAGGAACCGGATTAGACGCCAGGATTGTTAAAGCAATGCCTCTTTCGGTTGTATCCAACGTCAGTTTCATTCAGAGCAAACCCACTGAATTCAATTGCTACGACTAACTTACGCTCGTTAATTTCAGTGGGTCTCCTCGGAGTACAATTTAGCTGGAGACAACCACACGTCATTCACCCAATCCGCAATTTGTTAAGGTGAAATGGTGTGCAGAGATCTGGAGTTGAAACTGCTCGATTCTTATTCGCTCATACATGTATCTAATTATAATTTTACTGAAGGTAAATCTCTCTCTGTCTCACACACACACGCGCGCGCACATACACACACGAGAGAGAGAGAGAGAGAGAGAGAGAGAGAGAGAGAGAGAATTTTACTGGAGGTAAAATTATCGGGCTTCAAGATATCCTCTGGCTCAGAAGAAAGGACAGCGCAAATCCGGATTCGGGGAGCGCCGCGGTTTACACACCATCGGAAAGAATCCGCTCTCCACCCCTTGCCTGGCTCAGCATACGCAAATACGGATGCTCCCTTTCGCTGACAAGCACTCACAGGGACATAGTCCAGATACCAGCCTCCCTGCTTGCACGCATATTGCAGATAAACACACACACCAGGTCCCCACGTTCACAGAAGGGTGGAATGAGTGGCAGGTCTTGCATATAGGGACAGAACTCGTGTACGCACACACTATCCATTTAAAGAACCCCCGCACAGTGTCGTTTACCCCTCCCAGAGCTACAATTCCCAGCACCCTTAACAAACGACAGTTCCCAAGATTCATGTGTGCGTTTGAAATGTACCGTACACCAGTGCAAGACACAACCCCAGTATTCATTGATTCATCGATCAATCAGGCAATTAAAACATTGATAAACCACTTAAAAAATTAAAATACCTTAAGTGGCGTACACGATTAAAGCAGTAAATGAGATCATTGGAACAAAAATACAATATAAAACATGTAAAACAGTGGTATAAAAGCATATTTAAAAAACAATAAAGGGAATTAATACAGAAAGAAGCAGGGTCTGATATTATGGGTCAGTAAAAGTCTGGTGTGTCTTTACAAGAGGTCTGAAGCAAGTGATAGATAAATACACACAAGCCAGTTTTTAAATATAGAAAATATAGAGGTTTAAAGTTACTTAAATGTAGTTTTGGCATTATTATTATTATTATTATTAAGCTAAAGTGGGGATAAATAATTTGAAATCTATTTCCATATTATCAATCACTTACTGCACAATCCTGTGTGTCCTTACTCAGAAGTAAAGGCAGAGCCACACCCTACATTTAAAGCATATACTGGGAACTGCAGTTTTCCCCTAGCAGCACTACAATTCCCAGCTCCCTTAGCAAACTATAGTTCCCAGCATTCTTTGAGGGGGGAATCATGTCCTTTTGCAGATCTGCACTAAGTCACAATGCTTTACAGTACATGAGGGGCCTATTCCCCATTAAAAGTGAAATCGTCATCATGACAGTTCACAAGTATGTCCTATTTAATTCAGTGGGCCTTAGTCCCAGGTAAACAGAATTAAAGTTGCAGCCTCATTTTCTTATTTCTTTGTGGGAATGTGTGGATTTTTTATTCATTTTCTTGCCTTTATTTCCCACCTTTCTTCCACCAGGTGTCCTGTTTATTTTATTTTGTTTATGCTATGTATATACTGCTTAATCGCCAACGCTTCTTTGCAGTACATCAAGATTACCAAAAGCACACACAGACAAAGGGGATAAAATTAAGTCAAAATGAATCATAAAACCAGAAACCTTCCTTACAATGCCTGCTGAAATAGAAAGGCATCTTTGTCCAGCAGTACCCGAAGTTAAAAGGAGGGGGAGGTGGGGGGCTCTGTCTGATCTCAACCCTGAGAGTACCAGGACCAGGGCTCGATTTACCGCATGCGGCCCAATCACCTTCTCAATCCGGCCCACAGACGGTCCGGGAATCAGCATGTTTTTACATGAGTAGAATGTATCCTTTTATTTAAAATGCATCCCTGGGGCATAGGAATTCGTTCATTTTATCCCCCCCCCCCATATAGTCTGCCCCCCCCAAGGTCTGAGGGACAGAGTACCAGCCCCCTGCTGAAAAAGTTTGCTGACCTCTGCTCTAAGCTACTGAATGCAATGGGGCCCTTTATATGTCCAGCTGTCCTTTGTCAACAACAAATTGTTGCTGTTTTGTGTGTGTTGAATATATGCTATATGGTAATTTATGGACCTAATAGGTATCTTAAGTCATTTGCACATAACAAATAGGAGCCTACACAACACAAAACACTGTTGCTGTGTGTAGGTTTTATTTTTTTATCTTATATTTTGGAAATGTACATCCAGTTTTTTCCCCTTTAATTTTTTTTGGGGGGCCCCAGGAGAGTGGGGCCCTAAGCCATGGGTAGGCAAACTAAGGCCCGGGGGCCAGATCCGGCCCAATCGCCTTCTCAATCTGGCCCGCGGATGGTCTGGGAATCAGCATGTTTTTACATGAGTGGAATGTGTCCTTTTCTTTAAAATGCATCTCTGGGTTATTTGTGGGGCATAGGAATTCGTTCTTTCCCCAAAAAAATATAGTGTGGCCCCCCCCCAAGGTCTGAGGGACAGTGGACTGGCCCCCTGTTGAAAAAGTTTGCTGACCCCTGCCCTAAGCTATAGCTTGTTTAGCTTATACGTACGGTAAATCCGGCACTGACCAGGACCCACTGGTGACTGCTGTCCACTGAAACTGCTATAGTGGAATGCAAGGAGCTCAAACAGTGGGTGGAGTCAGAGTCACTGAAAGATAGAGTCTAGCTTCACCCTTTTCACCTCCCTGTTGAGTTCTACAAGGGCAACACTGAGATGAAGGAGGAGGAATCTCACCACCAATGCCAAATCCTGGGCTGGTTGCAGGAAAGAAAGCAGGCAGGTTTGGGGCGGGGCTGGCTGAAGGCAGGCTGAGCTTGGTGGGGCATGACCCCATTCGCCCATTAATGGACTAGCCTGTACTGCAGCTGACCCACATTTAGAGGCAGTAATGTTTCTGAACATCACTTGCTGGAAGCTACAGGAGAGGACAGTGCTGTTGTGCTTGAACCCTGCTTGCTTGCTGACCACGGACATCTATCTGGTTGGCCACTGTGAGAACAGGATGTTGGACTAGGTGGGCCATTGGCCTGATCCAGCAAGCCATTCTTACATTTGGGACTTGTTTGGCTCCAGCAGAGTGGTGACCGCATGTGCTTTCTGCCTTCACTTTATTTAATTCCAGATTGCACAGGGAAAGATCTAATTTGCACGTTTGTTTCACATTTCAGAGGCAGGTCCTAGCAGAAAAGAATCAACACCCCCTGTGTGAATATCTCCTCTCCGCCTCCCCTCCCCTTGAGCATACAACTGGGGTAGCCAACATGGAGCCCTGTTGGACTCCAACTCCCATCAGCCACCAGCCAGCATATTTGTGGGGTGGCCTACATGAGCCGAAGCAGACAGTACCATTTCAGGCTGCAGGGAGAGGCGCCAGTTTTGAATTCTCCCCTGAGGCAGAAATGAATTCCCTGTGACTAATAATTTCACACTAGCCAGAGAGGTTGTGGTAGCCTAGGTCATTCCCTGCTGGGCTAGTTTTCTACTTGCAGGTTATGTTCAATATTGGACAAAGCATTAAAAATATGCCCCCCCCCCAATCTGCACCCTGAAGTAGTGCAATCTACACTGGCCATTGCTGGAAGTTGTAGTACAGCAACATCTGGAGGGCCAATAGGGCCCCACACCTGGTGTAAACTGAAAAATGTATATACTGATGCCCATTAAATTGCAATCTATATATTAGTGTCAGAAGCTGTACAAACACATCGTCTGTATCTAGATACGTTTATAATCTGAGTGGGGGAAACTAGGCAAATAGTGTTTTCGGTGGGCAGAGATTTGGGAAACAGCATTAAGGAGGAGGGATAATAACCACCTTACAGTCCCATCCCACCATCCGTTTAGATTTTGCTGTCTATTGGTGATGTGTTTTCCCTGCTGTTTTATTGGGTTTATTTTATAGATTACTGTATGGCTTTTATTGCAATGCATTCTTCTTCTCCCTCTCCCCCCCAATTTTATGCCATCCTTTTACGCTTTTAAATTTTGTGAGTCCTTCTGAGTCAAGGGACTAATAAAATGAATTAACAACAACACTAATAATAAGAGTCTGTTCTCCAGGCAGCTCTGCGGGGGGGGGGGGTATCTCTCTCTTCTCTCCCCCCCTTCATTCTATCCCTACAACAACCCTGTGAGGTAGGTTATGCAGAGAGATGTGGACTGATCTAAGGTCACCCATGGCTGAAAGGGGAGTTGATCCTGGACCTAACCAAGACATGGATAAGCCATGCAAATACATACAGACTTACTTGCAAACATTGCAGTACAGCCCCAGAGGATTGTCCATGCAGAGAAAATGGGCATGTGCAGATCTAAGTATGCATGTGTAGACCAGGGGAAGCCACTGCCATGCTCTCTGATTGTGTTGGACTACAACTCCCATCAACCCTGAGCTCTGGCCTTGCTAGCTAGGGATGATGGGAGTTGTAGTTCAACAACATCTGGGGACCCACAGGTTGAGAAAGGCTGTCTTAAGGGATCCTTTGACCTCATCTGTGCTAGTTGGACCACTACCATCCGAGAAACTTGCTCTTCTATATAAGCCAGAGGTGGAGATGCCAGGGATTTAACCCGGGACGCAAAGCGGCTGCCTTGTACTGAGCCAGAGCAATACTCCATCTTGCTCAGTACTGTCTACACTGGCTGGCAGCAGCTCCTCGGGGTTCCAAGTCTTTCCAAGCCCCTCCTGGAGATGGCGGGGTTTGAAATCAGGAACTTCTGCGCGCAAAGTAGATGGATGGTCTAACAACTGAGCTAAGGGTCTTTCCTTTTTAAGCTCACCCCAGAACTGCAGGGGCAAAGGAAGGAGGAGAAAAGGCTACCTTCTCTCCTCCGCTATTTCTCCCTATTTATCGATAGGCTTTCCGCTCACTTGAGCGCCCTCTCGCAACCGCACTTCTGCTACAAAGACGCGCACCCTTCGGGGAACTTGCTCCCCGGGACTCCGTCTCGGATATACACATCCTAGCAAGCAGGAAAGTCAAGGCAGCGTCCCCCTCTCCACCTTTAACCCCGTCCCCCCCTCTATCAACCAGAGGTGCGCTTCTCTCTCTTTCTCTCTCTCCCTCTCCAATCCATTCTTGCATAAGACACAACCCAACATTAAGCAACCCCATAGCTCTTATTTGCCAGCCTTGAACGCTGATCCGATAAGCTCAAGAATTAACAAAAGGCGTTTTGAAGCAGAATCCTTAATAAAGCTAGTCTCTCTCTCTCTCTCTCTCTCTCTCTCTCTCTCTCTCTCTCACACACACACACACACACACACACACACAATGCCCGTGAGTCCACTCTGCATACTGCGCGCCCTTGCTCACCAGCAAGACAACCCCGGTCCACCGTCACCCCTTCCTAAATCCCCAGAAAGAGCGCTTCTGTTTACTCAAGAAAGTCGTGACTTCAACAGAGAAGAGCGCTTACTTCCAAGGAGGCAGGTTGAGGGCTTGCGTGTCTCGTGGAGAAGCTCTTCAGCTCAGGTCCACGGGGCTGAATTTCCACCCGGTGAGACCGCACGCTCGGCCCCCGGCCCCCTGGAACACCCGGAGGCCTTACACCCGAGTAAACGTGCATATGGGCTCTGAGCCCGTAAATATTAAGGTTGTGCCCTTAGCTTAATGGGATACACTTCCGAAGAAGTATATGAGAGATATTTGTGTGTGTGTGTGTGTGTGTGTGTGTGTAAGAAAATAGTTTAAATTTATTTTAATCTTGCCTTTTTAGAGTGCTGTCCCTGCCTTGGGCCCTTGTGGTGAAGGGCAGTAAGAAATCCAAACAACAACAACAACAACAACAACAACAACAACAACAACAACAACAACAACAGGCTATTCGGTATTCAAAGTATAGACGAATATAGTCTAATGCAATCTGCAAGCAATAAACTGCGAATAATATATTTTTCTTTAGCTCTATTTTACAAGGTACACCCTCGTGTGACATTGTTGTTGTTGTTGCTGTGATACATTTCTTATTCGTCTTTCACCATGAGGTCTCAGGGCGACTTACAATTTATAACCGGGTATTAAAAACAGTCAAAACATTATGATTATATACAATACACACATACCTAAATATATAGAATATATAATGAGCAGGTATAAATGTATGATATCATATAGAGAGGTGTATGGATTATACAGAGGGAGAGAGAAAGAAGTTAATTGGTCTTAGCGGTGGCTATTCTCCACCGGATCGAGCTGAATATCTAATATCCTCATCTATAAGTATTGCATTTTAAACCGAGTTTATTGTATCGCGCACCTGCCCTTTGGAAGATATAACTCTTCTCTCTATGCTTTCGGGTTTTCCTTTTTCTTTTGGGGTGTGACTGGAGCCTTCCGACCTCAGCCTTCTCCTTTAGCGCCCCGCTTTTCTCTTCGCAAACCGGGGCGCGAGGGGAAGGAAGGCGAAAGGAGCGCAACGGAGCCCCGAAGGCGAGAGCGCGAGAGACGGAGGAGGAGGAGAGAGCGCAGAATCTTTTTGCGAGAGACGAAAGTGACCAAGCCCGTCCTCCTTCCCTCCCTCGCGCAGCCACCTCTAGCTTTGGTCTAATGCTCTTTCTCTGAATTATTCCCCTGCCACTCCCTCGTAAAAACAAAACCAAAACCGCGCTTCTTTTCGTTGACCAAAATCCTCCACTAACCCGCGCGCCGACGGACTGTCCCCGCGCGCCCAGCAGAGACGGAGACCCGGGGCTGCCTTTCAAGGGAAAAGAAAAGAAAAGAAAAGAAAGCACGCCCCCCGCCCCCCAACCCCAAAGCGAAGTGTTTCCATGTGAAGCGCGCGCTTTGGTTCGGGGGTTGCAAAAGGAACCTCAGCCCGGATTTTCAGTGACACTCTCTCCGGAGTAACGGACGCGCTTACATCTGCAATCCGGTCCACATGAAATGCGAAGCCTGAAAGCGATTTCGACGCATTTTTAACGTGTGTGTGTTGGGGAGGAAAGGGGACCTCTTTATTTCAACGCGCGTGGACTCGGGGCCTTATTCAGAAAGAAACCACCTTCCTTTCTGAGGTTGACCGTCTTAAGCAGAAAATCCATCTCGAAATAGCCGAGACCCGCCAGGTCTTTAAAGCCACGTTTTGCTCTCCGAGCCGTCCGAGATCATGCATGTTCATTCGGACGTAAAACCCAACGAGACTTTCTCCGGAATCTGGCCGAGAGCCATTCAGAAAGCCTTGGCCGAGAGCCATAATCAGATTTGACACCTCCAGAATATATACTGTACTGCTCTCGCTCGCTCGCTTTTTTTGCTATAATCCCCAGAGCAGGTTAATTACAATTTCTGGATTCAAGAGAGAGAGAGAGATGACTGCAGGGCCTATCAGCTTTCAAATAAGCAAATCCAAGCTACCCTTTTATTACGCTTAAAAACAGGCAGTTGGACTAAACGCGGGTCCTGCAACGCAAAACGCCTCCCTGCCTATTATTGTTGCTATTATTAAAATTTGTATACCGCCCTTCATCCGTAGATCTCAGGGCGGTTCACAGTTTTCTCTTATTCAGCACGCTACGGCGCAAAAGAAGCGCAAGGCGATCCTTGGAACAACGCAACCCCGACTACGTCTTCTCAGAAGTAAACCTTTTATAATCCACTAGGGTTTACTCCGAGGCAAGTGGGGTTAGGGGCTGCAGTCTATTAAGAAGAGCGACGTATGTGGGAAACTGATGGAGTCGGTAGAGAGCGCAATCTTTTGCGGATTTAAACCGGGATCCTCCAAGGAGATGAGCGCAGTCCCCTGCCACCAGAAAAAACAACAACACCCCCTACCAAACGTACACAAGAACTGGAAATCCAGCTGATTTACTTCCCTGAAATATTATCTCCAGTAAGGTACTTCGGGTTCAGCAGGGTTTAACCCGAACTACCTACCAAGCCTCGGTCGTTAAGAGATTTAGAACCACGCTAGAGAGCAAGGAAGGAAAGAGCCCACAAATTCTGGTATGGAGGAGTTAATTCCAAATAAATCCATCTCGATTTCTAAACACCTTTGGAGGTGGGATCTTCTTCCGGGGAAGTAGATTACCTTGAAATCAGCGGGGTACTTAGATCAAGGCAGCCCCCTCGCGAATTAAACGGGGGTTTGCAGGCCAGTGGCGCAAGGAACAAAGCGCAAGACTTTGAAGAAGCCCCGCTTGGTTCAGCTGAGGGCAGATTTTAAAGCTCGCGCTGCTTCGGTTGAGAAGGAAGCCCAATCCCATGCCCAGGATCGCCCTGCGCATTTCCTCTCCAGTGGGTAAAGACGCAGACCGATCTTATCTGCGCCAAGAGTGGGAGAGCGAAGAAGGAATTGCAGCCTCTGTCTATCAGCCGGACCCAACCGAACTGTTTCTAGATACAGGTCAGCTTTAGGAAGGCGGCACCTGCGTGTAATGTACACAACAACACACATCTTGTACGAAATAGGGCGGCCGGGTCAAAAAGCGGAGGGGGCCCGGCTCGCGCACCTTTTATCATCGGACAGAAGAGGGCTTTTCAGCAGGCGTCGCTTACAAAGCGGCAGCGGGGGCTCCTGTACCTTTAATTGATGTAGAAGAGGCGATTTCAGGGGCTGGTCGCCCTTCTATGCTACTATTAAAGGTGCAGGAGCCCGGAGCCGGCCCACCCATTTTGCATTTGGCCAGCGTCCCATGAAGGATTTCTCATAACGTCACATTGTCAATGTATCCAAAGTTAATCCCGGCTCAGGGTTGACCTACTGAACTCCATAGATACGACTCTTACAGCTCCCTTAATTTCAATCTTGACTTAAAAACCTAGCTGGATTTCATTCAATGCCTTTCAAAGTACGAGGGTTTTCTTGCATTTTAAATTATATTTCATATATATCTGCTTTTCGAATACCACACCCCCAATTAGAACCCCCCCACCACAAAAATAAATAAATAAAACAGATAACCCTCCTCCTCCTTTTTTTATTTTATTTTAATCTATTTGGATTTTCTGCGTCTTGCAGGAACCACACCCGATTCTGCCCGGTGTTTTTGGCAGCGCTGCCTGATTGTGTGAAACATCTCCTTCCGCATTACTGCACGTTATCATCCATTCTCCACCCCCTCCCTTTACTAAACCAGCAACTTGTGTAGCAACCTTGCACACGCAAACAACATGGAATCTATCACTTGTAGCCATTGCACCTCAAACGATTGAAACGGATAGATTTTTAACTATACAGAGATCAAGCCAGACTTTGCAAGATGCCTGAGTAGTAGAAGCAATTAAAATAAACTACAATAAAATTATAGATGATCTCTCTCTCTCTCTCTCTCTCTCTCTCTCTCTCACACACACACACACACACAATTACACTCCAATGATTCTCAAGGCAGGATAATTTTATTCTCCTTGATTCGGTTTGAACGCGATCCCATTCCGGATCTGTTGGTGCTCAGGCAGCAGGTCAAATAGCAAGCTGCCTTCAGTACAAGTCAGGTCACTGGCTCATCTAGCTCAATACTGCCTGCACGGACTGGCAGCAGCCTTCCAGAATCGTAGCCCTGCCTAAAGAGGTATTGAACATGGGACCTTTTGCGCGTAAAGCAGACGCTTTATAGCTGAGCTCCCTTCCTCTAAAAAGAAAGCAAGGTTCAAGTCCTCAATGTTTTGAACTACGGGCTGCATACAAAGCTGCTCATCTAGGTCAGGGCTGTCTACACGGACTGGCAGCGGCTCGGCAAGATTTCAGACTTTTCCCAGCTCTACCTGGAGAGGCGGTGGATTGAACTCGTGGCTTTCTGCACGCATAGCAGACCATCGGCCCCTCGGCTGCGGCCTTTCCCTTATCCCTCCAGGTCGAATGATTCACATAATGAAGGAGCCGCCCAATGCACATCTGGATCTGCAGCCGAGTTAAGCCGGAAATGCCCTCAGACCAATGCGGAGCTGGGACAGCAGTGGAAATGGGATCCTCTCGGGGCAGAGAACTGTCTCTCTCGTTTTTGTTTTTGTTTTGCTTACTGTGAAAGTTCCACAGAGCCTAATAATCCAATTAGCAGTGCAAACCTAGACATGTTTACTCAGAAGCAAGTCCGAATGTGTTCCCTGGGATTTACCTTTCAGTCTCCCGGAGAACTAGGTTAATAGGTGACTAATAATGGTAAATAAAACAAGAACGTGTTCCGGAGTTGCAGCCCAGTTTAACACTGTGAGCTCTATCCATTTAAAGTACATCACCCCTCTCCCCCCACCCCAAGAATCCTGGGAACTGTCGTTTGCTAAGGGTGCTGGGAATTGTAGTTCTGTGAGCTACAGTTCCCAGGGTTCTTGGTGACGGGAGAAACAAATTAAACTAGCGACCACAATATCAAGCCAGCTTCTGCCGCTTCCTAAACTCTCTAAGCGCCACCCTGACGAAGCACTCTGGAGAACTCAAGGGCTTGCCAAATCCACATTTTTCAGAATCGCTCGAAGGCTTGTGTTTTATTCTTTGAATTATCCACAAACCTTCCATGGCTGATTTTAAGGAAGAAAACAACAACTTTGCATGTCTGCTCAAGAGTAAGCTCCTCTGAGCTCAATGGAACTTGCAGGGGATATGCAACCTAAATATAATTATTGCTCTGCCAGCCCGGGTGTGAATTTTTTGGATTTTCTCTCTCACACGCCAAACTCCTCGATCTTAAAACACATTCGCTTCAAAAGTCAGTCTCAGTTCAAGGATTTTATTCCCGGACTCCTTGAATTCAGGAGTAAGCGGACCTCTAGATTTTCATCCAAAGGCACACACCTCTTAAAAATGTGGAGGTAATCAGCAGCGAGCTACTGGTCACGATCCCAGCAACGCGATTTGCTTTGAAGATCTGCATTGCTCGTTTAACATAGCGCTATCCTATGCACGTCTGCTCAGAAGGAACTCCCATTGACCTTCGTAAGACTGACTCCCACTGGAACCTTAATTGGGCTGTATAGTTTATTCACACACACACACACACACACACACTTAGGTCAATTAAAGGAAAATCTAATTAAGACTAAAAAACATTTCCGCCTCATCAATTAATTAATTTACACTGTCAACCGCCCTGTGATCCTTGGATGAAAGGCGGTATATAAATTTTAATCAATAATAAAATAAAATTGTATCCCTTTTTTCCTCCAAGGAGCTCAAGGTAAAACGTACGCTGCCCCTTTTTATCCTGACAGCAACTCTGCAAGGATTACATTGCCTTAACTCTGGCTGGATCGGGGCCCAGCATCTGTTTATATATTGTAGCAGTACACCTAAGCACTGCAATGTTGTCACAGAATCCCTTAAGAACAATATTGTAAGCAGTAAGAGGTGCTTCTAATATTGAATTTCGTGGGAGTCTATGGGTCTACTCTGAGTAGGGCTAAAGTAGGCTATCACCTTGCGTTTCCCATTCCCAGACAGAAATCTATAGAGAAGATCGCCATTAATCGGTTTATACATTTTCGAAATAAATAAATATGTAATAAATTTTCCAACCAAATCTCTACTCCACCCCCCCCAACCAGAAGCCTCTGGGTCTCATATCCTAAATCCAAAGACAGCAATATTCTCAATTGTCTCAACAGATCCGTTCAACCGAAGCGGAAAGGCTCTCTGTGTGCGCCCCGGATAAATATGCTTTTCAATAAAGAAACAAGAATTCTGGGCTTAATCTGGGTCTGTTTTCAGTAAGCAAATAGAGCCTCTGAGCGTAGACAGAGCGCCCTTCCAGCGCCCGGCCAAGCTCAGCTTTGCAAGCGCGCTGTCGTATCCTACTTGGAAGTAAGCAAATCCCTCCCAACCGCTGATGGGGCTTGGATTGCAGCTTTACCATCCGAGCCTCCGCCTGTTTTACTCGGGAGTAAACCGCTTCAGTGGGCTCAAATTACGGCTCACAAAATCGCACAGCAGGAACGCCGTAGGATTGGCGCGGGGGACCTTGCGCCCCGGGACGATTTTTCCAAGGTCTACCCGGTGGCTTTGGGTCTTTCAGAATGCGTAACGAGGCATTTATCCATTTCGAAGTGTTTTAAAAAGCGCCCTCCTTTTAAAATATTAGGGACCTGACATTGAACGTGGCGGGTGAAGAGAATGAGGGAATTAATTCAGAGAGCCCCCAAACCTCTTTGGTGCTCAACTTCGCCTTAAAACGTCCGTCCACGCAAGCAATTTAGCCTCATCTCCCACTCCGGATTTACAAACCTTCTAACAACTACTGCGCATCAGACGTTTGAAAAGAAAAAGAAAAAGGTTGGATAGAGATCAAAATAATTTAATATTTTTTTTTTGAAAATTGTGCTTTTAAAAAATAGAATTGAAATTTTACATTTGTTTAAAAATGTATTTTTTTTTAAAGTATCCTGCTTAAGAGAAGCAGTTAAGAAAACAAGGTAGGGGGTGTACCATGACTTTTCATAATGCTCCCCAAATGTTCCCCTCTTTTAATGACGAAAACACTGATTGTGTCTATTTCATTTATCCCTCTGCTTTCCAATTTACAAGTTCAAGGAAGAAGCCTTGATACGGCTATTTATTTTATGGCTGTATTCTACTCAAGAGTAGACCTATTGAAATTAATGGGCCTAAGGGAGTTCTGTGCATTAATTTCAAATAGTCACTCTATTATTAACACGGGTGTGAGTGTGTGTGTGTTTGGAGATAGTGGGTCATATCCAATCTAAAAAACTCAGTTCCCCCCACCAATGATTTAAATTCACAATTTCTCCCCACCTTCTCCCCACCCCCACTCCAATTGGAACCTTCCAAGGATGCTGATTGGCTGAGGGGTGTCTTGTAATCTGAAGTTCATATAAAAGAGAGAGAGGTGTAAACAAGGCAGGGAAGTATTGACACAAAGGGATAAGGATAGCCCAGCAGCAGCAGAAAAAAATATAAATTCAGGGTAGGAAGGTCAAGAAACTAAGAAATTTTTAGCCAAAATAAAAATAAGCAGCTCAGGAGCACTTTTAAAAGGTCACAAAATATATCATGTAAGTCACACAATATGTTTAAATAACATGTTTCCCCCTCCTCACTTAAAATCCTGGGAGTGGTAGTTTACCTTTTACAGAGCACTCTTAACAAACTAAGGTTCCCAGGATCCCTTGGAGGAAGCTATGTGCTACAAATGTATGTTGAATATGCTTAAAATGTATTGTGTGGATGAGACCTTTTTTTTAACAAAACACAAAACAAAACAAAACAAAACAGCATTTTACCTGTCTTATGAATCTTTTCCATGCATCTACCATGCATCTTTTTGAATTATGGTGCTGGAGGAGACTCTTGAGAGTCCCATGGACTGCAAGAAGATCAAACCTCTCCATTCTTAAGGAAATCAGCCCTGAGTGCTCACTGGATGGACAGATCGTGAAGCTGAGGCTCCAAGACTTTGGCCACCTCATGAGAAGAGAAGACTTCATGGAAAAGACCCTGATGTTGGGAAAGATGGAGGGCACAAGGAGAAGGGGACGACAGAGGACGAGATGGTTGGACAGTGTTCACGAAGCTACCAGCATGAGTTTGACCAAACTGCGGGAGGCAGTGGAAGACAGGAGTGCCTGGTGTGCTCTGGTCCAGGGGGTCATGAAGAGTCGGACAAGACTAAATGACTAAACAACAGCAACAACAACAACCATGCATCTGGGGTTAGGCTGGATGACCCCTGGGTTCCCTCCCAACAATTCTATGATACTCCAATGGAGTACATAGCTAATTGTGACGGCAGTGCGTGCATGCATACTGAGGAAGAGGGACATAACGGTCTGGCTCTGGACAGGGCAGCTTCCTTACATGTGACAGAAAGCGTATATAATCGCAACAGGTTCCTCATCCCCCCACCCCCAAATAAATGCTCTATTATACAAAATTAGACATAGGGATTTGACTAAGGTACACATGAGCAGCTCAAATTGCAGGGAGGACGGTTCTCTCGGTGCATGTCAAGTCGCAATTTTAGCTTGCTACACACAGAGTGGGGGCAGAGATCCAATGTGCATTACCTGTGGTGTTTCCCCACATTTTCAACCCCATCCCCCAATTCCTATTCAATGAATCTGCCTTCTGAGCATGTGCAACGGCTGTCTGAAATGTACGCACCTCAGCTTAATGGCAGCTTTCATTTCCAAAGCCAATAGAAAGTGGTTTGAGGGGAAACACATGACCAAATGACAGTAGGATTGAAGTACAGTGGTACCTCGGGTTACAGACGCTACAGGTTACATATGCTTCAGGTTACAGACTCCACTAACCCAGAAATAATACCTTGGGTTAAGAACTTTGCTTCAGGATGAGAACAGAAATTGTGCCCCATTAGCTAAAGTGGTGCTTCAGGTTAATAACAGTTTCAGGTTAAGAACGGACCTCCGGAACGAATTAAGTACTTAACCCGAGGTACCACTGTACTTCTCAAGAAACTACAGGGTATCTATGGGTTGCGGTCAATGTGAGAAAAAAAGAACGTAAGAAGAGTTTGCTGAATCAGGCCAGTAGACCATCTAGTCCAGCGTTCTGCCCTCACAGATAGGCCGGGTCCGAGCACTGCAGCACTCTCCCTTGCTAAGGTTTCCAGCAACTAGTATACAGAAGCATTACTGCCTTCAGCTAGGGAGGCATCAAGTAGCCAGTGGTAGCCCTCTCCTCCGTGAATTTGTCCAATCCTCTTTAAAGTAATCCAAGCTGGTGGTCATCGCTGCTACTTTGCAGGAGGGAGTTCCATAGTTAACTGCCTGCTGCGTTTATTTTATCTGCCCTGAACCTTCCAATATTCCCCTTCTGTGGACATCCCAAGTTCTAGTGTCGGGCAAGAGGAAGAAAACTTTCCTCTATCCACTTTCTCCAAACCATGCATCATTTTTATAAATGCTTTTTCTCTCAAAACTAAAATGTCCTGAACGCTGCAACCTTTCTTCAGGGGTGGAATTCACTCCATCTCCTTGATAGTTTTGGTTGCCCTTTTCCTGAACTTTCCCCAACTCTACAATACCCTTTTTGAGGAGAGGCAACCAGAACCGTACACAGTATTCCAAACCTGGCTGCACCATAGATTTGTATAATGATATTACAATGCCAAAAGTTTTGTTTTTCTCCCTTTGCCTGCATCACTTTGCACCCCTCCCTCTTTCTCCCTCTCCATCTGCACAGAGAAGCATCATGCTCCCCTGCCCCCAATCACAGCCAAACCAAATTGCCTGGGTGGAGGGGGAAGTAGCAAAGCAAAAGGCAAAAGTTATGGCATCGCTGTGCTGTGCTAGCCTCCTTCAAGCAGGGAGAGCCATGTGCGAGAATTTTGAAAATATGACCCTGCAGTCTTCAAGTGGAACAGTCCACTGGGTGGGGCCAGAGGTGAAAATGAGTGGAGCAACAGACTTGGCATAATATGGTGCAAACATGGGCATAGCCAGGATTTTGGGAGTGGGGGAGACACAAGGCACTCACCTGTCATCATCCTCTGGTTCTCAACCTGTGGGTCCCCAGATGTTGTTGGACTAAAAGGTAAAGGTAAAGGTACCCCTGCCCGTACGGGCCAGTCGTGACCGACTCTAGGGTTGCGCGCTCATCTCGCTCAAGAGGCCGGGAGCCGGTGCCGTCCGAAGACACTTCCGGGTCACGTGGCCAGCGTGACGAAGCTGCAACTGGCGAGCCAGCACCAGTGCCGCACACGGAAACGCCGTTTACCTTCCCACTATAAAGCGGTACCTATTTCTCTACTTGCACTTAGGGGTGCCTTCGAACTGCTAGGTGGGCAGGAGCTGGGACCGAACGGCAGGAGCTCACCCCGCCACGGGGATTCGAACTGCTGACCTTACGATCAGCAAGTCCTAGGCACTAAGGTTTTACCCACAGCGCCACCCGCGTCCCTCTGGCCTTGCTAGCTAGGGGTGATGGGAGTTGTAGTTCAACAACATCTGGGGACTCACAGGTTGAGAAAGGCTGGTAGCAGAATTGGAATGCAATGTCTCAGCAAAACAGTCATTTTAAATTACTTCCTTTTGACCTCCAGGTGCTCAGAAAAATCAGTCAAAATCTTTCTACTTTTAGTTCAGTATTTTTATTCACTTACTGGATTATTGGAGGGGCAGTTCCCCCCTGCTCCCCCCTGGCTATGCCCATGCATTCAAAAGTCAGAGGGGTTCGCACCTCCATGTTTTGCTCTCTACCCCTCATCCAAGCAAAGAAGAGGCAGGGTCCGGGTTCAAGGGCGCGTTCCACCCCGGAAGGAGGGTGTAAAGCAGAGCCAGTGAAGGGTGTGGCTAGGGAGGGTGTGGGGAGGTTCCTGAGGGCCTGATAGAGAGGCCTGTGGGGCCACATCCAGTCCCTGAGCCTGAGGTTCCCCACGCAGGTGTAGCACAAGCTCTGAGCTCCATCATCGTTTTATCCTAGTATATATAACACATTCCAGTCTTCAGGCATTGCTTATGTGAGAACAGAGAAAGCTGCCTTATACTGACTCAGGCAGATGATGATGATGATGATGATGATAAGAATAGTAGTAGTAGTAATAATATATTTTTACCCTGCCCATCTGGCTGGGTTTCCCCAGCCACTCTGGGCGGCTTCCAGTAAAAGATTAAAAGTACATTAAAACATCAATCATTAAAAACTTCCCTAAACAGGGCTGCCTTCAGATGTCTTCTAAACGTCAGGCAGTTGTTTATTTCTTTGACATCTGATGGGAGGGTGTTCTACAGGGCGGGTGCCACTACCGAGAAGGCCCTCTGACTGATTCCCTGTAACTTTGCTTCTCGCAGTGAGGGAGCCACCAGAAGGCCCTTGGCACTGGACTGATGGGGGTGGAGACGCTCCTGCAGGTATACTGGGTAGATGGTCTACCTAAGCTTAGTACTGCCTGCTCTGACTGGCAGCAGCACTCCAGAGTTCCAGAAGGAGGTCTCTCCCTGCCCTGCATGCAGCTGCCAAAGAATTACCGTATTTTTCACTCTATAAGACGCACCAGACCACAAGACGCACTTAGTTTTTGGAGGAGGAAAACAAGAAAAAAAATATTCTTAATCTCAGAAGCCAGAACAGCAAGAGGGATCGCTACGCAGTGAAAATGGCAATCCCTCTTGCTGTTCTGGCTTCTGGGATAGCTGCACAGCCTGCATTCGCTCCATAAGACGCACACACATTTCCCCTTACTTTTTAGGAGGGGAAAAAGTGAGTCTTATAGAGCACAAAATACGGTAATTGTGTCCTGTGCCACTGAAATATGGTTCTCAGCACTCGCCTAACAGCTTTGCCCATGCTCCTGTCCTGCCTTAGTTGGAGTGGAGGTGCAGTCAGCTGGCTTGTGGAATGGGAGGCTTTCAGGAGGACCAAAAGTCTTCAGGATTTGTTTAAAATTGGGGGACACGCCAAGACAGCCCCAGTGAAGACTGAGCATGCTCAGTGGCTGCGGAGTGCTGATTGACTTTTGTTGGGAGACTGAGAAATGGTTGTGGATGGGAATGAAACGGCAGTGACTGGGATAGTGAGCAGGAGCACTCCAGGATGCAACATTTTGTTGCAGTCACCCATGTTCATTTTACTGGCATGCATTTCTTAAAAAATAAATGTATTCAGGGAATTCAGCCAAATGCATTCTAACCCTATTTATTTCAGCAGGGGTCAAAGCACAAGCAATCAGATTGTGCCCACATTGTTTTCATAAAAAACACATGTACACATTATGTTGTGTTTTACACACACACCCACACCCACACCCACACCACAGCACTCTCACATGCACCAAGAGAGTTTATATTTTAACTGATTTTACTATCACATGTTTATATTGTTGTAACCTGCCCTGGGATCGTACAGTAAACGATAGATAAGAAATCTAAATAATATTAATAACTATAGAATAAATAATAATAATAATAATAATAATAATAATAATAATAATAATATATTATTTTATTGTTGTTAGCCGCCCTGAGCCCGGCTTCAGCTGGGGAGGGTGGGATATAAATAAAAATTTATTATTATTATTAACTTGCATTCTTTCATGTTCAATCACACCTAAGATTGCCAATTTTTCATTTCAGGCAGGGCTCCTGTGTAAAATAAGTAACAATAATATACACACAGAGAGAGGTATGAATTCAGTAGGTGTAGCCTTCCATTTAATGTGAGAGGCAGTGTGGTGTAGTGGTTAGAGCAGCAGACTTGGGAAACCAGGATTCAAATCCCCACTCAGCCATGAAGCTCACTGGGTGACTTTGGGCCAGTCACTGCCACTCAGTCTAGCCTACCTCACTGGGTTGTTGTGGGGATTAAATGAGGGGGAGAACTATATAAGACCATCTTGAGCTCCTTGGAGATAATGGTAGGATATAAAGCAATAAATGCAGGAAACAAAGAAACAAATTAAAAGCAGCAGTGCCTCCAGGGATAAGAAGAGGCCTAGGATACCCAAGAGAGCACTGCGTCGTCACCCTTCCCCAAAAACAGATCTCCCTGTGAACGCTGGCCAAGCTGATGTTAATAGAATAACTGTGTTTTCAGAAAAGACATTACAGTCATACCTCTTGTTATGTTTGCTTCAGGTTGCGCATTTTCAGGTTGCGTTCCGTGGCGACCCGGAAGTACCGGAAAGGGTTACTTCCAGGTTTTGCTGCTCGCGCATGCGCAGATGTGCAAAATGACGTCACGTGCATGCGCAGAAGTGGCGAATCGCGACCTGCACACGCGCAGACGTGGGCTGTGTTCTGCTCATGTTGCGAATGGGGCTCCGGAATGGATCCCGTTCGCAACCAGAGGTACCACTGAATAGGCATTTCTTCACTAGAAAGGAGTGAAGTTGTTCTGAGACTGAATCAGTTTATTAATTCCAGCAGGAGGACATCATCTTGTCCAGGCTTCCTCAACCTTGGCCCTCCACATGTTTTGAGACTACAATTCCCATTTTTACTTCTTGTTAGCCGCTCTGAGCCTGGCTTTGGCCGGGGAGGGCGGGATATAAATAAAAAATTATCATTATCATTATTATTATTCCGGACCACTGGTCCTGCTAGCTAGGGATCATGGGTGCTGTAGGCCAAAAACATCTGGAGGGCCGAGGTTGAGGAAGCCTGATCTTGTCCATTCAGTGCTGGCTTGGCCTTTGAGGAAAGGGCATGGAGAATGACACCTGTGAAACTAGCTTATGCATTATTGCCTTACCTGCTGCAAGGTAGACAGGTTATCTATTTAGCTCCCCTCGATTTTGCTTCTCCTCTAGAGTAAGCTCAGAAGCCTCACCCGAGGGGCTGATCAGCTCCACATCTACTTCACTTCAACCGCCTTATATTCTTGGAAGCTCCCAAAGGCGAGGTAGTCGCGAAAGCTTCTCTCTCTCTGTCATTCTTCTGACACCTCCCTGGTCCTTCCACCCACCCCCTCCCCTAGTTACTATAGCAACCTCAAAGTTGTTTCCCACCACCACCAGCCACACCCATCTGCCCCACACCAGATTTTGTATGTGACATCAGCTGCAAGGCTGAAAAGGCATGACTGGGTTTGGCTGCACAGTGCTGCTAATGGGGCTGGTGTGCTATGGGTATCAATCAACTGCTTAGCACTGAGAGTGAGCAAAGGAGCTCCTCTCAGCATCAATCAGTTGACAGGTGCTGAGAGGAAGCCTCTGAAGTCATCAGCTGAATTTACAATTACATGAGGTGACTGAGGGGTGGACAACTCCTTAACTCAGTACTATAGCAAGCAGTGACTTATCAGGCATTCACAGGTAAAGATATGAAAGCCAGAGGCTCTGCTGCTTCCTGACTCTCAATTGGGACCCAATACAGGTCAGTGCTCCCATTCCCACCTGATACCAGATAAGGCAGTGGATCCAGCCAGCTCAGTATTGTCTATTACACTAACCCCATCTAGAGAGTGAAATGAACCCAATTATTTCACACCACAATGGCACTGGTGCTCATCTTTTGCTCCAGAAAACGGAAGTGGAGTGATAATAAAGATCTTTAAAGCCCTAAACCAGGCATGGCCAAACTTGGCCCTCCAGCTGTTTTGGGACTACAATTCCCTTTGTCCCTGACCACTGGTCCTGTTAGCTAGGCATGATGGGAGTTGTAGTCCAAAAACATCTGGAGGGCCAAGTTTGGCCATGCCTGCCCTAAATGGCCTCGGCCCAGTATACCTGAAGGAGCGTATCTACCCCCATTGTTCAGCCCGGACGCTGAGGTCCAGCTCTGAGGGTCTTCTGGCGGTTCCCTCACTGTGAGGTTACAGGGAACCAGGCAGAGGGCCTTCTTGGTAGTGGTTCCCACCTTGTGGAACACCCTCCCATCAGAAATCAAAGAAATAAACAACTACCTGACGTTTAGAAGACATCTGAAGGCAGCTCTGTTTAGGGAAGTTTTTAATGATTGATGTTTTATCTTGTTTTTAATATTCTGTTGGGAGCCGCCCAGCCAGATGGGCGGGGTATAGGTAAGTGAGGTGCTGGACTTTAGGAAGGAGGCAGAAGGAGGTGTGAGGGCTCTGACAGGATCCTAGAGTCCCCCTTCTTAAAGCGGAGTTAGTACTTTCCCAGCTTGAGGAAGGAGATAGGAGGGCTCTAGGACCCTGACAGAGCCTCACGCCTCCTTCCCAAGGCTGGTGTGTGTGTATGTGTGTGTGTCAAATTTTGGCCTTGCCCCCCCCCCCCCCCGCATGTCAAAGTACTCTTGCAGTCCAACATGAAAAGTTGGACTGCCTTGATTTATAAGCATTTATTATTTACAATATCTTATTAGTTATAATCTTTGAAATTATGAACGCATACTGATGCTGAAACAAGATTTCCAGAGCACCAGTTTATTCGGGGGCACTCATTGCTTCTCACCACCCCACAACCTTTGTCTGAAGAAAAAGTTGCTTTTAAAAGTACCAAGACCTCTCTACTTGTGATGCTGCTGTTCAGTATGCGCTCCTTCTGCTGCCTCCTAGTTATAATCAATAATATCTATATTTTTAATATTAAAAACACATCCAAGAAACCAAAATCAGGGACAACCAATGAATAAAACAGAAAGATGCATTCTTAATTGCCTGCATATGGCTGGCGGAATGAAAAAGTTAAAAGTTGGCATCCGCTGAATCTCTATGGTCAGAGTATTCCACAATATTGGGCTGGTGACTCTGAAAGCTCGGTTTCTTGTCAAATGAGCCTCGCCAACTCAAGACGATCCCAGTGATCCAGCTGGGATATAAGAGTTCAGGAGGTCCCCAAAGGTGCCCCAGACCTAAGCTGTTCAGGGCTTTGTTCATTAATACAAGGCTCTTGAACTGGCTTGGAAGTAGATGGGGAGCCAGGGCAGATGTTTTAACAGTGGTGTGATGAGCTATAAATTAGCCATGTGAAATCAAGGGTGCACAGAGCCATTCTGCTGTGGATTTAGAAAAATGGTGTGGAATGAAATATTGCCTCTCTTTTTTTAGCAGGGGAAACCTAACACCCTGTCTGAAATTATGTACTACTACTACTACTGCTAATAATAATATTTATACCCCACCCATCTGGCTGGGTTTCCCCAGCCACTCTGTGGCTCGCCCCCTGTGTAGTAATGGCCCCCAAACTTGGATGCCTTTATTTACTGTATTGATCTATTACGATACTTATAACCTACCAGCTCATAAATCCATCAGGACACCCTAGAACAAATCTCAAGGCAAATCTAAAAAAATGTAGTATAAACATCGACAACTGGGAAACACTGGCCTGCGAGCGCTCCAATTGGAGAAAGGTGTCGTGGGCTTTGAAGAAGCAGGAACTCAGGGCAAAAAGAAGAAACAAGCTAAGAGGAAGGCAGGCTTGGCAAACCCTCACTGTGATCAACTTCCGCCTGGAAACCGATGTCCCCACTGTGGAAGGACATGTGGATCCAGAATTGGCCTCCACAGTCACTTATGGACTCACTGTTAAGTGTTCATGGAAGACATTCTTTGATCACCAAAGAATAAGAATAAGGTGTGTTTGTGCTAAGGATTCCTGCATTGTGAGGGATTCCATGACTCTCGAAGTCCCTTACAACTCTACAGTTCTTTGTTTCTGTGATCCTGTGGGACACATTTCCTGGTTCCCAGCCTCCTGGGAGCCAGAAGTCAATGATGGGTGAGGCCAAAGGCAGGTGGAGCAAAACCAAGCAATATTCCAACCAGTGTCAAAAGTTTTTTTCCCCTCTCTCTCTCTCTCTCTCACACACACACACCTCTGAGGCAATGAAGAAAGGTTATCCCAGTTCACATCTCACCAGGCTATTATAGCCCAGGAGAAGATGGAGTCCTGAGGGCCAGCTGGGAAGGCCTTGAAGGCCTCATTCTGCATCCCTGGCCTCCACCGTCCCGGGACACCCATCCCCTTCCCACTGCCCCACGCTAGGATTTTCCTCCGTTGTGCCTTGTCACACCCATCAAACAGCTGTACCTGGATGACTCTCATGTTGAGGCCGGTCTCCTGCGCCAGCTGTTCGCGGATATGCCGGGTGGGCTTAGGGGTGGCAGCAAAAGCCGCTTTGAGGGTCTCCAGTTGCTTGGCCTTGATGGTGGTGCGGGGCCCTCTCCGCTTGGCCCCCAGGTTTTGGTCGTCGTTCTCGTTGCTGCCCACCTCCTTGTCCGACACGTTGGCGCTCTCCGAGTCCTTGGCATCGTCTTGGCAGGGGTCTTGGGAGTCCGGGGAGAGGCTGGGGTCGCTGCCGGTGGTGGCTGCAGTGTTAGGGAGAAGCACACGCACAAAGACACATGTCCTTAGATGTCCGCCTTTTCTCAGATGCGCATCCAACTGCAAGCATCTCATCTCAATCATAATTGAATAGGGGAGCTGATCATATAGGATGGTTTGCTTGCTAAATAAGCAACGTGAAAGAAGGCACCAAGGGATGCGGGTGGCGCTGTGGTCTAAACCACAGAGCCTAGGACTTGCCGATCAGAAGGTCGGCGGTTTGAATCCCCGCGACGGGGTGAGCTCCCGTTGCTCGGTCCCTGCTCCTGCCAATCTAGCAGTTCGAAAGCACGTCAAAGTGCAAGTAGATAAATAGGTATCACTCTGGCAGGAAGCTAAACGGCTTCCGTGCGCTGCTCTGGTTTGCTAGAAGCGGCTTAGTCATGCTGGCCACATGACCCGGAAGCTGAATGCCGGCTCTCTCGGCCAGTAAAGCGAGATGAGCGCCACAACCCCAGAGTTGTCCTGGACTTAGCGGTCAGGGGTCCCTTTACCTTTACCTTTAAGAAAGCACCATAAATGCAGGTGTTGCTCAATATGTCCTGGATGCCATGACCCCTCCCCCCACACCTTAAAACACTTCCCCACACTGTGAATTTGCCCCCCCAGCCTTTAAATTATTTAAGGCAGAGGCAGTCACCAGTGCATCTTGTGTCAGTGAGTTCCACAGGTAAATGATGCACTGGACAAAGGAAGTCTTCCTTTTGCTCGTCCTGAGTCTCTGGCTAAGCAGATTAATTGCAGGACCCCAGGTTCTAATAATGTGGGAGAAAATGAAAAAATGTCCCACTTGTTTGTTTCTTTAGATGTATGCATAGTGATACAAATTATGACAAGCTCCCCCAGCAGGATGAATTGCTTTATGCCATATTTTATTATTTTCCCATTCATTTGCCAGATACTTTCTGTGCTGTTTCCAAAGGCTTTTTAGCAGTTTCTATTACATTGCGTGTATTGCCTTGAGACGCAGAGGTGGGAGGCAATAGAACAAACAAACAAACAAATAATGTTGCGTTTATAGTCCACCCTCCAGCCATGAAGGCCCTCAGAGCAGCTTACAAAAACCAGTACTAAGATGGGCTCACAATCTAAAAAGCTGGCGTATGAGGAAAAAGGAACAAGGAGGGAGGAGGAAAAAACAAGCCAGGCACAAGTTATTGAAATCTGCTCTTCTTAAAGTTACAGCCAATTCACAGTCCACTGGAAACTTGAATGACAGTCCATTGCAGCTGGCCAACTATAGAAAGCATCAGTTGTAGATACACTTAATGTACTTCCCACTGACTTCCTGTGGGCCAAGCTGGACATGAGATTAAACAAATGCCTCTTTAAGCAATGTTGTTGTTTTTGTGTTTTTTTAAAAAAATTAAATAATAATTGTACTGATCAGGGAGAGGAAATTGAGCTGCCCTGGTCCTAAGGAAAATCCAGCCCCATATCTTGGTTGGTGCTATCATCCTGGAGGGAAGTAAGTCAAACCTATTTCCTCCTCCGCATTTCAGTAGCTGGATGTGTCCACAGACCATGTGGAATGCCAAAAAAGAAAAATCTGACACTTGACCCAGGTTGGCTCATTCGCACATGCAGATTGCAAAGTGAAAACCATGTATGTGCGAATTGGTTCTACAGCTTATCTCCTCATCAAAGAGACATTTATTTGTCAAGTCAGCCTCCTTGATTTCCAGACATTTTGGCATCCCATACACTTATTGGATTGCCCTAGAGAGGAAAGGGTTGGTTGAATAGGGCCTTGTGATTCCTAGCAACTGACAGTGAAGACAGAACATAGCCATTTCGGCTAGATAACCTTATCCTCCTCAAATGCCTGAAGGAAACCCCCAAACAGGATTTGAGAGAAACATCATTATCTGTCCAAAATACATATTCCTACTACTTGTACATCCCTGGAACTTAAGAGTTTAGAACTGAGACCTGAAGCAATTTGCATCTAAGCACATTGACTTGGGCTGCAATCCTAAACATTGTTACTTAGGAAAAATATTCCAAAATATTAGAATTTGGGGCAATGAACCCCAACAGGCTCTCCCCAAACCTGTATTAAAAAGTCACTTAAAAAAAACAACAACCCACAAACTTATTTAATAGCAACAAAATAAGTACCGAGTAGATTTTTGGAGTGAGATGTGTGTGCGAACACACAACAATAAAGTATGGTTTGGGTTTAAAGGAAGGGAAGGCACAGTTGGGGAAGCCGCTGTCCTCAGATGCCATGGAGCTTCAGCTTTCACCAGCCTCAGCCAGCATGGCCAATGGTCAGGGAATGATGGGGAACTGTGTTGCAGGTCCAGCCCTGTGGAACTCCCTCCCACAAGAAGGTGGATCAAACCTGCGACTTTGGCATTATCGACACCACACCCTAATCAACCGAGCTGCGTTATGTATTATAGATTACAGACAGCTAGATCCGTCAATAGATATTTTAAATTCTTGAGGTTTTGAATCTTGGATGCTTAATTATAATTTTTGTGTATTTTATACTGTTATAAGACACTTTGAGACTTAACAGGGTGAAAAGCAACCTACGGTTTTTTAAAAAACAGATTGAAAACATCTGGATGATCTCAGATTAGCCAAATTGATGGAGGACGAGACTATCAGTAACTATTGGCCACGATCTGTCTCTGAATTCCGGTTGCTGGGAATCACCATGAGCCAGAGGGGGCTATTGTACTCATATTCTGCTTGCAGGGTTTCCATACGGGAAGCTGGTTGGCTGCTGTGAGAACAGGATGCTGGGATAGATAGTCCTTTGGCTAAACCAGGGGTCAGGGAACTTTTTCAGCAGGGGGGCAGTCCACTGTCCCTCAGACCTTGTGTGGGGCCAGACTATATTTTTTTTTGGGGGGGGGGAATGAATGAATTCCTATGCCCCACAAATAAGCCAGAGATTTCTGAGTGTCCATGCCTAGGATGGCCGCCTAATGATTTTACCTGAGAGTAAAAATAGCCCCATAGAACTCAGTGAGACTTAGGTACTTCTACATAGACCCACAAAAGGTGGCACCATTAAGTATTTGTTTGCAATGAATCAATGGGATCTGGTGGTGAGCTACTTGTGAGCTGGACTGAGCCCCAGGTTTCAGACAGGGAAAACACTTTCCTCCTCCCCATATTTTGTCCTTAAGTGTGTGTGTTTTGCGGAGGGGGAGCATTGTGTTAACTATTCCTCGTGGTGGAGCGAAAATTGCAACAAGTGTTGTTACTTTCTCAGTCTTCCTCTCCTTTCAACAAACCTCCACACTTTGCACATGTGTGCCAGTAACACACGGGTGTGAAACCGACACACACACACATCTCCCCAACAAGTCCGCCAGGCCAAACATTTCCTTGGGACTGTGAATTTCTTCACCCACCACCTCAAAAAAGAAGAAGCTGTTTCCTACAAAGTATGTGCCTGTCTATCACTCACTCTCTCTGAAGATGTGTTTCTCTCTGATCTTCCTGGGCTCTTAAAATGGATCTCCAGTAGTTCCAATTCACTGGTCCTCTTCCCAAAAGGGATGTAAGAAAGGAAAAGACCCATAGACACCTAGGGGTGCTCCTCCTAGCAGTTTGCAGCTAAGTGTGGATTGCAAACCATCTTAGCAGACCATGTTCTGATCTGATCTTCTCAGACCCTCCAGTTTCTTCAGCACACAAACACAGAGAATGAAAAGGAATTGGCTCCATTTCACCAGTATTTGAATAACATTGTGCAATCGGTTTTTATATTTTGTACACCACTTAGAAGCCTTATTTTTTATGTCTGCTTGTTGTTTTAAATTGTTTATAACATTGCTATAACCTGCCCTGAGACCTTGGGGTGTGTGTGTGTGTGTGTGTGTGTGTGTGTGTGTGTGAAGGGCAGGCAATCAATAATGTGATTATAATATACTATAAAAATAAAACTATTGGTTGTCTCCATTCCTAGTCCTGCTCAGAGAAGACCCGTTGAAAAACAAAACAAAAACATGGCTAACTTGGGTCCGTTGACTTAAATTTGATTTCAGATTTGCATTCCGCTTTTCCAGCGACAGTAGTATCCATAGCATTAACCATCAGCAAAACATTGCAATCACTCTAAGCACGTCAAAACCAAGATATATAACAAGGCAAAGAGAGAGAGAATGAAACCAATTCATCAAACCATCCATACAATTCAATACAAACTCATAATGATTCAAAAATATCTGAAATGGGTCTTCTCTGAATAAGACTTGGGTTGGGTACAATCCAATGCTATTTTAAAAATACTCCAAATATTGGCCTGTGATTCCGTAATTCCCCCCCTGGGGGTGGATACTTTGATTTCCATCTCCAATCAAGTTTATAATCTTCTCTCAGCCCCCTTCGCCAAATGACAGAACAGTCACCTTCTGATTTTCTGTAGCTGTGAAAACTTTGAATGCATCAGAAAGAAAGAAAAAAGGGGGGAGCAAATTAATTGCTCCTATCAATTAATTAAAATACATCAAATGAGCCCTGCTGGTTGTAAGCCAACACCCTTCTTCCAAACCCATGCCTCCATAAAAAAAACCCCATAGGCTGGCATGAAGGCCAAGTTACAGGGAACCAGGCAGAGGGCCTTCTTGGTAGTGGCGCCCTCCCTGTGGAACGCCCTCCCACCAGATGTCAAAGAGAACAACAACTACCAGACTTTTAGAAGACATCTGAAGGCATCTCTGTTTAGGGAAGCTTTTAATGTTTGATGTATTACGGTATTTTAATATTTTGTTGGAAGCTGCCCAGAGTGGCTGGGGAAGCCCAGCCAGATGGGCGGGATATAAATAAGAAATTATTATTATTATTATTATTAGCCCACCATTATGAATATTAGTGGCAGATATTCTGAGGAAGAGGTGGTCAATGTGGTGATCTCCAGGTGTTGCTGGACGCCAGCTCCCATTGTCCTTGCGCATTAGGCATGCTGATCGGGGCTACCTTGAGTTACACTATATCGGAATCCAGAAGCTCTGTTTTGTTAACATCATAGGAAATTTTCCTGATGCAGAGTCAGACCACTGGTCCATCTTGCTCAGGACCAGCAGTGGCTCTCCAGACTTTCATCCGGGAGACATTCCCAGTTCTGGAGATGCCAGGAATTGAACCGGGTACCTTGTGCATGCAAAGCGGATGCTCTAAGCACAGAGCTACTTCCCTTCCCCAGTTATCATGGCTGATAGGTGTTGATAGGCCACTCCCCCTTGGTGGAGTGATCCAATTCCGTTTTAAAGTATTATAGAGTTCACGAGAGCGAAGGTACAGATTCTAATGTTGCAAGCTTAATCCCATTTACCTGGGTGCATAGGCCTAGGGGCTGAGGTCCATTCGTGCCAATAAAATATTTGAGGAGCCCCCCCCCCAAGTTGATGAGCATTACTATTCAAATGGTGAGTATGTGTCAGGGTTTACCTGCTCTCTCTCCCCACCTCCCATATTTTATTAAATTGGCACCCCTGCCTGAGAGTATATCCCATTGAATTTAATGGGCCTTCCTCACAGAATCACAGAACTCCAGAGTTGGAAGGGGCCATGAGCAAGGCTGCCGTATTTCAAAAAGTCAAAATCCGGACACAAAAGAGTTGTTTCGATCAAAGTTGCTGAGCTTTCCTTGCGAAATCTTTTTTAAAAAGCCAACACGGAGTTTCTAAGCCAGGGGTCAGCAAACTTTTTCAGTATGAGAGTTATTTAATCCAGCCCCCTGCAATGCAGGGATCCAACGTGGCACTCGAACCCACAACCCTGAGATGAACAGTCTCCTGCTCTACAGACTGAGTGGTTCCAGCAGAATAGGTAAAGGTAAAGGGACCCCTGACCATTAGGTCCAGTCGTGACCGACTCTGGGGTTGCGGCACTCATCTCACTTTATTGGCCGAGGGAGCCGGCGTACAGCTTCCAGGTCATGTGGCCAGCATGACTAAGCCACTTCTGGCGAACCAGAGCAGCGCATGGAAACGCCGTTTACCTTCCCGCTGGTGCGGTACCTATTTATCTACTTGCATTTTGACCTGCTTTCGGACTGCTAGGTGGGCAGGAGCTGGGACCGAGCAACGGGAGCTCATCCCATCACAGGGATTCGAACCGCCGACCTTCTGATTGGCAAGTCCTAGGCTCTGTGGTTTAACCCACAGCGCCACCCGCATCCCTTCCAGCAGAATAGCTCCTCAGTAATGGCTAGGAATGGCTAAGGCCTTCCTGTGAGATTTACAGACATCACATGGCTCCCCACCCCACCAGATCCTAGGAACTACGGTAGTTTAACCCTCTGCAAAGCTGCAATTCCGAGCATCCTTAACAAACCACAAATCCCAGGATTCTTTGGGGGAAGTCACGTGATGTAACTGGTTGTATACAGCCCTGACAACCAGGCATCTCAATGGTCTGAACAGTTGCATTTGGATTGCCCCACCCCAGCAGAAGTTCAGCACCGCTCCTCACCTGAGTGCAAGCTGTTCTCTTTGGCAGTGCTGCTGTTGCTCAGGTAATCTTCTTTGCAGACAAACTTGTTCTCATCGATGATATAAAGCTCCTCGCCGGTGGAGAGCTGTTTGTTACACATCATGCAGGTGAAACAGCTCAGGTGAAAGACTTTGCTCCTGGCCCTCCTGACCAGGTCGCTGGGAGAGATGCCCTGGGAGCAGCCAGCACACTTGGTCCCAAAACACCTGGATCAAAGCAAGGGAGGGAGAGAGAGAAGGAGGGAAACAGGCCAGAGGTAATGAAATGGATCAGAAAAGAAACCAGAACAAGGCTGAAACCAGAATAGGGAAGCTGGATGAGGGGAAAAATCGGGACCGGCTCTACCAAGAGGCAGAATGGCAGGCAGCAGAAAACAGATACTGAGGGCTGACCATGCCGCCCTCCCAGAAAGGGCCTTCTAGTGCAGTGGTGGCCAAACTTGGCCCTCCTGCTGTTTTGGGACTACAATTCCCATCATCCTTGGTCCTGTTAGCTAGGGATGATGGGAGTTGTAGTCCCAAAACAGCTGGAGGGCCAAGTTTGGCCACCACTGTTCTAGTGCAAGGACCATTGGTAGAGGGGGCCCTTCTGGACAGGCAAAGCCAGGATTTAGTTTGGGGCAGGACACCCACCTGTCGTCATCCTGTGTCTCTGTCTAGCAGATTTGGAATGAAATATCTCAACAACTTTTGTTTTAAATTACTTTCTTTTGAACCCAAATGCTCAGAAAAAATGTCAAAATTTTCCACAATTTCTACTTTCAGTTAAGTATTTTTATTTATTTGCTGCTCCCCCCCCCCCCCGCTTGCCTGGCTGACTTCTGGAGACAAAGCATCTTCTCTTTGCAAAAGAAAGATTCCCTTTCATTGATTTGCATTGGGTAAAGGAGCATAAATTCACAGGAAAAACAAGCACAGCTTTTCCCCACTCCCTCTAAATCATGGGGACTGGAATGCCCAGGGAAGAAAACCCACTGTGACGAAAACCCACCCCTGTCCGTCAAAATGAAAGACCCCCGCTCCCAGTTCTCAGGGCATTTCCCGAGTCAGCTTGGTTTTGCTTTTTTAAAAAAAGAATAACGACAGAGCAGAAAGTAAAAACGAAATAATTCGTTCCCACAAGAGATAGTGATAGCTGCCATCTTGGATGGTTTCAAAAGAGGACAGGGGGAATTCATCAATGGCACACCCTCCAACATTTCTCTGATGAAAATGGGGACGTCCCATTCCACAATGACGATTTTACAATTTATACCCCACACATCTTACTGGGTTGCCCCAGCAACTTTGGCAGCTTCCAACAGATATAAAAACATAATAAAACATTCAAGGTTTTTAAAACTTTCGTATACAGGGTTGCCTTCAGACGGGTCATGGGGCGGATAACTCCAACATTTCTCCAATGAAAATAGAAACATCCTAAAGTTGGGCTGCCATACATCTAGATTTTCCCGGACATTACCAGGATTTCAATTGACATCCTGGGGGAATTTCTGAAAGGCAGCATTTTGTCCTGAATCTTAGGCAAATAAATTGAAAAATCACATGGCTCAACAACTTTCAGGGTGTCCTCGTTTTTACTTTTTGAAATATGGCAACCCTATCCTACGGAAAAGGGGGACATTCTGGGATATAATAATAATAATAATAATAATAATAATAATAGTAATTTATTTATGCCCAGCCCACTCTGGGCAGCTTCCAACAAAAGATTAAAAATACATTGAAACATCAAACATTAAAACCTTCCCTAAACAGGGCTGCCTTCAGATGTCTTCTAAATGTCATATAGTTGTTTATTTCCTTATATCTGATGGGAGGGCGTTCCAGAGGGCAGGTGCCACTACCGAGAAGGCCCTCTGCCTGGTTCCCTGTAACTTCACTTCTCGCAGTGAGGGAACCACCAGAAGGCCCTCGGCATTGGACCTCAGCGTCTGGGCTGAACGGGATGGCTTTTCTAAATCAGGGACGTCCCTGGAAAATAGGGACACTTGGAGGGTCTGCAATGGGGCCTAGCCACAATGGTGGCATTCCCCCCCCCCCCACTTTCAAAGACAGGAAATACCTCTGAACGCCAGTTCCTGGGGGCTTCAAGTGGGGAGAGCTGTTGTTGAACTTAGGTCCTGCATTTGGTCGTCCACTGAGGGATGCTGGACCAGATGGGCCATTGGCCAAATCCTTATGATCTTAAAGCTGGCTAGAACCCTGAACAGGAATACTCTATACTGCAGCACTTTGTTGCAGGCCCCACATCTAAGCTATATTTCCGAACAACTGTACACTCCTTAAAAAGGATGGAGGTATTTTGAAGTTTTTTTGAGAGTTATTTCAAGACTGTTTTGGTGGGAATGGAACAACGGTCTCCGGTGGAGAAAGAGGACATTGTAGTGGCTAATATAACCAGCTGCTCCCGCTCCCCAGCTCCTATGTACTTAATAGCTACTCAACAGACAAAAATTCAACAGGAGATGCTTTTCCCCTGACCCCATCATTGCCTCTCCTTGCAGGGATATGTTTTCCCAGCTAAGCTGCTATCCGTCCTGAAGCACTGCATTAGAAAGAAAAGGCAACTGAAATTATGAAAAATAACTGAAGAAAAGAGGTTCAGATAGGCTGGACAGTCCACCTTCTAAGGCTCTGTGGTAACCTGGATGAATAACAAGATGAATGACAAAGCAAATTGCTCCTTTGGGTCCCAGGACTGGTGTGGCCTAGGCCCTAATCCTAGTTTATCAAGGCTTTGCGACAGCTAGACTGGTGACTGGGAGCATAGCTGTCAACTTTTCCCTTTTCTTGCGAGGAATCCTATTCGGAATAAGGGAACTTCCCTTTAAAAAAGGGAAACGTTGACAGCTATGACTGGGAGTCGCTGCCAAGACCACATAACATGGGTCTTGAAAGACCTACAGTGGCTCCCAGTACGTTTCCGAGCACAATTCAAAGTGTTGGTGCTGACCTTGAAAGCCCTAAACGGCCTTGGCCCAGTATACCTGAAGGAGTGTCTCCATCCTCATCGTTCTGCCCGGACACTGAGGTCCAGTGCCGGTGGCCTTCTGGTGATTCCCTCACTGCGAGAAGCAAAGCTACAGGGAACCAGGCAGAGGGCCTTCTCGGTAGTGGCGCCCGCCCTGTGGAACACCCTCCTACCAGATGTCAAAGAAATAAACAACTACCTGACGTTCAGAAGACATCTGAAGGCAGCCTTGTTCAGGGAAGTTTTTAATGTCTGACATTTTAATGTATTTTAAATCTTTGTTGGAAGCTGCCCAGAGTGGCTGGGGAAAACCCAGCCAGATGGGTGGGGTACAAATAATAAATTATTATTATTATTATTATTATTATTATTATTATTAATAGCATGCAGAAGGTCCCAGGTTCAGTCTCTGGCATCTCCAGATCAGGGTAGGAGAGAGACCCTGCCTGAAACCATGGAGAGCTGCTGCCAGCCAGTGTTGACAGCACTGAGCTAAATGGCCCAATGATTTGACTTAGTAGAAGGCTCTTTTTAAGGTTCCTGCTTTATTGGCTTTTCAACAGACCCCGGGCACATTATTATTATTATTATTATTATTATTCAAATTGCTTTTTAACCCGAGGTTCCAAATATCTTTAACTGCTGCTGTTCTCATGTCAGAATGTTGTAACTCTTTCAGTGTGGTCCTGTTTCGATCAAGTGCTTTAGGGTTTCGATGTAAATTTTTGAAATAAACGTTTGAAACAAACAGACCCATGTTGTGCACAAAGTGTGTATCGTGGGAGCTGCAAATACTTCTACCACTAATGACAATTAATTTATATATAATTAATGTATATACCGCTTATAGGACAACAGGGCTTCCAAGCACTTTACAACTGTAAAACCAACACACCATTAAAATATGCAATGGCAGTTCAAATGGGGCATTTAAGCACCCTCAGTTAAAATACTACACTAAGACAAGCCATTCGAAAGCATAGCAATTAAAAGCAATTAAAAACGATAAAGCTCAGTTCAGGGGGATGCTTATCTATTGATGCCAAAAGAGGCTGCTGAGCTTTTACTGAATACTGAAAATTCCTCATCCCATTCTGCATCTTGTCATCCTAGGTTAAAATAAGGACACTTTGTGCTTCCCAAATTTTGAAAAAGCACAGATATTTTACAGAGGGGACCTAGGCGGAGTCTGTGTGCCTGTCCTCTTATTTGCATCTCTGCTCAGAAGTGCTGAAAAGCTTCCCATTCAGCCCCGTAGCAAAGTGTCCCTGGCTCAGAGCCCAAACGCCACCTATTAGGCTTCCCAGCGAACCAGGGGGAAAACAAAAACAGAAAACCCTCGCCTGCTTTGCTCCTGCGCCAAGCAGCACAACATGATCTGCAGGAAAACCAGCTGATGAATTTTGTTCCTGGCCTAAAGATAATAAGCAACACCTGTTAATATCTGCTGTGCAGGTTGCTGCTGGAAAGCACAAGAGCAAAGCAGATTATTATTATTATTATTTTAAATTTGGCAAACCCAGATTTCTTACTCTAGCCTTTCCTTTCCTTCTCATTTCCCTGCAAGGTTGAAATCTGGACTGCAGGTTCCTACGGGCTGAAGCCTGGTCCTTTTTTGTTTTACGTCCCACCCCAAAGTGTGACATGGACAGACATATTTAATAAGGAACATTCCCTCTATTCCTGATGCGCAGCTGGCGCAGAGCATGCCTTTATGATGCCAAAAGGGCGCCATCCGTGCACGAGAAAGGGAGGCATCAGCAACCTTGAAGCGCAACCCTGAGGTTTGCGTTAAGAACAAAAACCCATGGAAGGAACTCTTTCTAAAAATCCAGCCAAGAGACTATGGGTTTAGTGGTGTGGTTTTTTGGGGTGGGTGGGATTGGAAAACTGGGCAGGAGGTGGGATGGAATGGAGGATGCTGAAGCTGGGTTCAGTAGAACCTCGGGTTACATACGCTTCAGGTTACAGACGCTTCAGGTTAAAGACTCCGCTAACCCAGAAATAGTACCTTGGGTTAAGAACTTTGCTTCAGAATGAGAACAGAAATCGCGGTGTCAGCGGGAGGCATCATTAGCTAAAGTGGTACCTCAGGTTAAGAACAGTTTCAGGTTAAGAACGGACCTCCAGAACGAATTCGGTTCTTAACCCGAGGTACCACTGTATTCTACTCTAACATTTTGTTTCTATTCGCTTTATTTATTTATTTATTTATTTGGGGTAGTGTGGAATGAAGTACGCTGAAGTGGAACATTTCCCTCTCAAGCGCTGAGATCAGTGGAGGATGCCCTGTCGCTTGTTCCATTGCCCTCAGAAGCTTGGGGTGGCAGTGGCAGCCCAGCACCTAAGTTGTGGAACGCCCCGCTGAGGCGTAAGGAGAGATTTCACCCCTTTACCTTGCCTTTGGGCCCCGGAGATGTATGTTTTAAGGACCCATCTTATTTTTTGTGATTGTAAGTTGTCTTTAAATATTGCATAGGATTGCATTTAAATATTATTTCTGTGTTTTAATTGCTGTAAACTGCCCTGGGAGCTTTGGGAGAAGGGCAGGTAAGACATAATAATAATAATAATAATAATAATAATAATAATAATAATACATATACTTAAAGCACACCCAACACATATTTAAAGCACGTAGTGTACCGCCCAGAAAAGAATAATGTGATCTGTAGTTTCCGCTCATGGAAATGCAATTTCTAGCACCCCTTAACAAACTACAGCTCCCAGGATCCTTTAAGGCAGGCTTCCGCAACCTCGGCCCTGCCAGATGTTTTGAGACTACAATTCCCATCATCCCTGACCACTGATCCTGCTAGATAGGGATCATGGGAGTTGTAGGCCAAAAACATCTGGAGGGCCAAGGTTGAGGAAGCCTGCTTCAAGGGAAGTCATGTGCATTTTGAATGTATGGTGTGGAACAGGCTCCACCACCATCTCCTTCCCGCATTAGCCAACCAGCATAAACTTGCCCTTCTTGGGAAAACGAAAGTACCAATACAATCCTGTTTACCTTCACCTCCCACCCAAGGGATTCCCTAGCTGGTTTGAGGCATTTCAGCCGCTGTTCTAAAAGTATTTCTATGGAAATAAGAGTGATCAACAGCTGGGGATATGTTGCCCTGGATCCTGTTTTGTGTAGTATGACTTGGCTGTAGAAGCAATGGAAATAATCTTCAGAGGCTGTGCTGAGCATCTCTTTCTGGCTAGAAGCAGCTGCTAATAAGGATAATAAGAGGAGCCTGGAGGGAGGAAGTCAGGTTCAAGCAGCAAGGAGCCTGCATACCCAGCAAATCTGAATTTGGGTTAATGAGATTCTGGGGTGCAGAGTGTAGCTTCCAGGCAAGGCTACAAGCCCAACACCTTATTCTCAAAGTTTAAGCACTGCCTACCTCACAGGGTTGCTGGGTGGACATTGCAGAAAAAACAGGGGCGGAAGCAAGAGGATTGTAAAGTTCTACATTGCTTCTCTTATTTATTATTTGGATTAATTTCTATGTGGTTCCAGTGGTCCCTTGGGAAAGGGTCTAGAATCTCAAGCTTCTTTGAACCCGGAGAGTCCTAGAGGCTCCCAGAGGAGCTCCTAGATGAACAAAAAGGGGCAAAAGGGGGGGGAGGGAGCAATCTCTGCATCCTGAGGTTTACAATCTGTAAAGTCACAACATAAAAGGAAAACTGATTGGGGAGGGAGGAGGAAAAAAGCAAACTCAGGTAGAAATTATTAGAAATATGAAGATGTTGTTGTTTTTAACTGTCATACAACTAGGACCTAATAATGCTGACGCACCAGACTAAGCTACAGAAATATTAATAAATGGCCGCATATACAGGATTACAAAGAAGAGCAATGAAAGAAACATAGGAACTACAAATTAATGAACTAAACATGGGAACACAAAAAGCTGCCTTGTGTCAATAAAGTCAGGCCATTACTCCCTCTAGCTCAGTATTATTTACCCCAAGTGGCAGCGGCTCTCCAGGGTTTCAGACGAGAGGTCTCTCCTGGCCTTACTTGGGAGATGTCGGAGATTGAATCTTGGACCTCCTGCATGAGAAGCAGGTTCTCTACCCATGACCCACAGCCCTTCCCCAAGCAAAGCCGCAAGGCTAATATTCTCGGCTTCTGGGATCTTTCAGACGCTCTTATGCTCTGCATTCCAACCCTTCGCTGCCACTCTTTCCACCCATCTCTCTAAGCTGCAAGAGAAGGGAACTGGAGAACGTAAACAAGAGTCCTGCCAAGGACCCATCTAGTCGAGGGTCCTGTTCTCCTAGTGGCTTAACCAGGTGCCCAAATGCAAAGGCCACAAGCAGGGCTTCTGAGCGCAACAGCACACTCTCATCCTGCGATTCTCAGCAACTGATATTCAGAAGCATTCCTGCCTCTAAAAGGAAGGCAGAACGCAGCCATCCTGGCCACTAACCACAGATAGCCATGCCTTCCACAGAGAGAGGGGAGAAGGAGAGGAAACAGGCAGGGGACACTCTTATAAGCTTTCTCCAATTGTCTGCTTGCCATCTCTGGCCTTGTGGCTCCTTCCACACCAAGAATAAGAGAATCGGCTGCATGTTCTCTTCCAGTTTTCATGACATCGGCTCCTTCTCCTGGGTAGGGTTAAAGGTAGCAAGGCTGCCGCCCTAACTGCCCTGTCTTACTCAGGAGTAAGTCCTGGTGAATTCAGCGGAGGGGGCGGCTTGCTCCCAGGTACACGAATGGCTAGGTCGGCCAGACTTTGTAGGCCAAAATGTATTAGCATGAATATAAATAAAAGGTTTGCTGCAGCTGTAATTGACCTGGAAAGAGGACAAGGGAGTTTGTGCAGGGAGATGGGAGAGAGGCAAGCCACAGAGTTTCCTCTCCAGAGGACTGACACTTTTGATTAACAACGCCCTAATAAGCATTAAAGCTGAATTTGGGAGATGTGCGATGCCTTTCGACATGGCTCCCTCCGTGCCAAAAAAGAAGCAGTAGATCTCCTTGGCCAAGTGGGATGGCGTGAGGCTCTAGGTGGGTGGAAAATAACACATCCAAAACCAAACCTCGCTTGGGATTAACCGAAAGGATGGCCTAGGTCTTTGCACGCAGAAAGGTCCCACAATTCAGCATCTTCTGCTTCAAAGGATCAGGGAACAGGTGATGGGGTAAGATTCTCTCTCTGCCAGAGACATCCATAGGGAAGCCCGGTCCATTATTCTGAGCTAGATGCATTTAATACAAGGCGGCTTCATCTATTACTGTAAGGTCGTTTGAATCACCAGTTCTTTGCTTGTCCTGAGTGCAAGGGGGACAAGCCCCCCCCCACAAACAATGAGCTCGTCCCCACTTGCCCCTCCCCATTGCTGGGCTCTGTCCCCTGTCATTAACATATATTTTCCCCACACCCAGAGATGGGAGAAACGCAATTCACCCGTCTAGAAATATAGTTCACCCTATTGTGCTCCCCACCCTATTTTGTTCTGGTACAACTATTATGGGTTGGGGGTGGTCCTATGGAAAACACAGCCTTGAACGGCTTGATCCGTGCAGGTGTACGGACAAGTAAGCTCCCAGGAGGTAGGTGTGTGTGTGTGTCTCGCACTCAGAAGCTAGGCAAGCTTATTCGCCTCGATATTGAATCTGTCCTCCAAAAGGCCTGCGCAGATCTGACTGCTCTTCTTGATCTGGTCACCCTGTATTAATGAATTAATTGATATTATGTCAATTTATTACTCGTCCTTCGCCACCAGGTCCCAGGTATCGGTTGCAACAATTTAAAATTCAGTATTAAAAATTACAATCACAACTGCGGTGAGGAGGGGGGGCGTTGTTCCTGAAAGCATCGATCTCAGGTATCAATGGCCCCAAGGGATCCATCGCTGGATCTCTCCATACACTGCTTGCTCAGGTGCAGTGCAATCTTCTACCAATGGGGACCAACTCAGGGGACTTTTGTTGACTGGATGGTCAGCTTACGTCCTACTCAAAAGTAACCCCCCACTGAATACTCCCAGATAAGTTTGTGCAGGTTTAATGAGTCTTTGTTTTGATTCATGCCTCTACCCTAAAGGATAGCTATGATGAAGAAGGGCTTTATTCCTAAATAAAAACCCTGGCAGGTCCAGACTGCAAATAGGCTCCTTCGGGAAAATGCAAATAGAAGTGTGAGAGAAACCTCAATTGTGGTCATTTCTTCACATGTTTTGCAGGGGGCAAATTACCATTAATAATAATAATGTCTACTACTAATTTAAAAATGTTATTATTTTGTATTTTGATTTGCACACACATATGTACACACACACACACAATTTTTCACCTGGATTTTTAACTGTCTCTCCAAAACACTTAAATAATTTCTCTCTCAGTTAAAGATTCCTTTATTCTCGATCCAGAATCTTCCTACTCGGCACACCTAACAGGTTCGACCCAATGAAAGATTCGTTGCCCTTGCTTTCCAGCTCCCCACACCGAAACCCCGATCTCATCTACTCGTTTACTCGGAAGTAAGGTCGTTCCCCTCCGCCCCTTCCCAAGTAGTCAGATAAGTGCGCCTAGGACTGCCATCTGAAAAATGCTTCTGGGTGGCTGCATCGCCTTCATCAGTTTAAAATACTCCGGGACACAAGCATCTACTTCTACGTCGATTTGGGGGAAAAACAAACTGTACGGGTTGTCAGCAGCGCTAGTCCTACTCAGAGTAGACCTACCTACTGAAATTATTGGAAATGGCTATCGCGAGTCCGTTAATTTCAATGGGTCTACTCTTGAGTAGGGATACGACACCCCGATGTCATTACCTTCCATGCTGCCGGCGCACCAGGAGTGCAGCTTTACGTTGGAAAAATTGCCATGCAATGCCATGCGGCTTACTTTCGAGGAGACACGAAGATCACCCACCACCACCACCTCAATTCTCCACAACTAGAGAGCTTCTATACACTGTTCATCCTACGCAGTGACATATAAGGCATCTAAACTATAGATGCAGTATATATTTGGTGTGCTGCGTACTGTATCTGTTTCTGTCTACAAATCTGCCCGATTTTTTTAAAGCGCCAAACGACACTCCAGACAAGTTTTCCTGAACCTGGAAGTATGCAGTTAATCCTAAATATCCACGAATACGTCTGCATGCGGATATACGTGTGCCTATAAGTTGCTGGTGGCAAATAACATCACGAAAATACATTTTTAGGCACTGTCCTATATACAATCGCCAGTCCAGTCACTTGTAAACATGTGGATTGTATCCAAGCTTAGTCCTACTCAAAGTAGACCCATTGCAACGCGGCTGACTTAGCTCCATCAACTGCGAGGGGTTTGCTCTCAGAATGGCCAAACGCTAGAGGCAACCCAACGCATCTCAGAGAGAGAAAGAAAACTGGGGTGGGGGAGAGAAATATTTCATTTATTTGTTGCATTGATTCATCTAAGAGGTTTCTTCTCCACGGCTTAAATATTCGCGTCTCGGAGCCGTGTAAAAACAACCCATAGAGAAACCCACGGGGCTATACAAAGTCCGCTGGACCGAGATAGTCTTAGCCACAAGCCTGAAGTTCAGCGAGGAGGGGTTCGTAACGTCGCCCGTCTATTCCCCATCTTGTCCCCAAGTGCGCAGGCAGGCATCGCGATTCAGCCAAAGTCGAAACCTTTCTCCCGCCCCATTGCTCTGGACCGCACAGGCGAGGCACGCTTCACCGTCTCCAATTGAAACCAGCGGGTTCTTAAAACAACCACAACCAACATGCGCTTCCCTTGTGCTAGCATCGAGCGTGCACACGAGGTTTAAGATACGTGTCGGTGTTTGCCGACTGCTGCTTATTCTTGCGGAGGGAAACAGGAATCAAATGCGAATTGTTTCATTAAAGGGACGAAGGAAAGACAGAGACAGAGACAAGAATGCCTATTTAGCGACCTGGTTTACCTAGGAGTAAAGCCGCCTGGAAATCAAGGCGTCGAATGGGTTAGCGGGTTTAAGGTTTCCCATGTGCTTCGAGCCGTGGACACACATAGTGGGCATAAAATTGGAAGAGGGCCCATTTTTACCTACTGGTTTGGATCATGGCATCTTACCAAGCGTTTGAGTGTTGTTGGTTTTTGCATTATTATTATTATTATTTAAAAATCAGATTTCTTTATTTTTCTTCCACGGGAGAGGGTTGCTGGTGCAAAATAAAATAACATAAAATAATTAAGGAAAAAGCGACGGGGTTGGTGAAGCTGGGAATGATTGCATGCAGGAAGCCCTTTCGTCGTCCCGCTAGCCGAGGCCGCTGGCAGACGATTTATTGCCAACGCGGGACAAGAGGGACTAGAAACTTGATGGAAAAGCAAGGAGGCCCCAAAAGCAGAAAGAAGCTATGCTCTCTTAGACAAGCGCCCTCGTGTCTTTTGACACCGACAAGCCTACCCGTGCCTACTCGGAAGTAAGTCCCGAGAAACTGAAAACTCCGAAGCCTAAGCGGGCCTTAGGCACCCACTGATCCAGGAACAATCCTCTTTCCCCTCTCGAGGCTGACTTGCGAGTAGACCTGCACAGGATGGCATCTTTCCATGGGGAAGGGAGGAAGTCGCCTCTCGGGACCGGTGGGGGTGGTGTATTGAGGGGGGGGGGAAACAGACTAGTTTGTTTGTGGTTGTTTTATTTTGTGGGGAGGGTGCGCGATTGCTCGCAGTGAAAGAACCGAGATGCGAGGGGACAACACAGAGAGCAGGTGGATTTTAACAATGGGGGCAGGTCATCCTTTTAACGAGGAACTGTCCTTCCTGGCTCCTAACATTAGTTCATCCCGCCCCCGCAGCCTATTTCCCCTCCGCCAAGCTCGAAGAACAGCAAGCGTCGCCGACTAAATCAGGCGCCGGGTCCCGATCTGGCGCTCCGTATTGCCGACACGGGCTGGCAGCTTCTCTCCGCGGGTTTCAGCCGGGGGACCTTTCGTCTGCAAGGAGCCACGGCCCTTCCCTGGCCCTCTGGACACCACCTCTCCCTTCGCTCCTTTTATTCCCTTTTCGCGCTGAGATCTTTCCTCCCTCGCCTCGCTTCCTCCCGCAGCTCTTTTGTCTCCACCGCGCTTTTCATTCTGGGTGCCACGTTCTTTTTGGCCAGCCATATTTCCCCTCCCTTCTCTTAAACATTTCCTTTTTTATTATTTTTACAAGGCCGGTAGGAACCAGAGGAACTTACTCCCGAGTAAACATGCCTCGGACCGCGCTCTGATCCATCCACCCTCTCACTTATGCGCATCTGCTCTCCAGACCCGAAAGGGTTTCCAGAGCGCCAGCTAACTATTTAAAACCATATACATTTTTTGCTCAGTCAGCCCCCCCCCAATTCTTTTATTTCTACCCTCCAACCCTGTGCTCTGGATTCCCCTTTCTCTAGACTGCGCTGACTTCGGCGCAGCCTTTTGCAGAGCCGCTTCGGCAGAATCGAGGCGTCGGCCCGTTTCAAACCACAGGAAGGCGGCCGATGGACGGGGCCTCCCTCTTAGGAAGTTCTCAGCCGATGGACTGGACTTTTCCTCTCCTCCCGCCTTGGGAAGTTAAAAAAAAACCCGCTTCTTTCCCCTCAAATACTCTTCCCAGTCTTGGAAACTCAGGTTTGCCATCTCCACCCTAACTCTTGCGGGTAGATGGGTAAGGAGTGTGTGTCCGTCCAAGTGGCTTTACTCAGAGTAGACCCATTGGACTTAATGGACCTCAGTGTCCATTCATTTCAGCGGGTCCCCTGCGGGGAGGGATCAACACAGATCAAGGGGTTCCTGGGACCTAGACGTGTGAAAACAAGGATTCCAAGTCGCCCGCGCGGGTGCAAAGTGAATTCTTAGATCAGCTGCGGGTGGCGGAGAGAGGACGGGACCCTCGAGCGTGCCTGCCCGTGTGCACACGCAGGCACCAATCGCTTCCTCAGCCGGAAACGCATTTCCTTATTCAGATCTAGTTATCACCCGGCTTATTCTCAGCAAACACGCAGAGGGATTGTGCACAAGGCGCAAATCCTCGCATTAGGAACCCGCTTCCTTCGCTCGTCTGGAGTTTGGAATTTGCAAAGACAAGGAGATTTCCTAGATGAATTCTAACACCTCTCCCAATACACACAGCCTCCGTGTGTGCTCTAAGTCGGCAGGAGAAAATAACTTCTACAGAGTGGCTGGGGAAACCCAGCCAGGTTGGTGCGGTATAAACAATAAAATTATTATTATTAATAATTATTATTGTGTGCAGGTGTGTTTTTGTAAGCCGACCCCACGCCTAAGAGAACGCTACATAAGCAAAAGTCGGGTTTCTTCCGCCGCCCCCCAGTCCATTGCCGGTTTAATTTTTGCTAACCTCCGAAAGTAGCTCGCAAATAAAATAAACTGGGAATTAAGAGGAGAACATCTCGCTAGAATGCATTAAGTGGGGGAGGTTGCGTAAAGGCGCGAGCCAACCTAAATTCATCATTTGAAGGGGGGAAACCTCACGTACGTTTACTCAGGAGTAAGTGCCATTGCACAAGGCCTTGCTCCACTTGCCTGGGAATAAGTCGATTTGAACTCAACGGCACTTACTTCTGAGTAGAAGGAAAGACTCCGCTGTTCACCTCCCGGGTTTTTACTAAGTTTGTAACCACAAACGTGTTTGCTCAAAAGCCCGACTGAGTTCAATGGCGTTTACTCTCCAGTCGGTGAAATTAGGATCGCAGTATTTAGAAGTCCCTAGCTTTTGGAAGGGACACGTGTTAAGATCTTCTCCCCAGCCCTTCAGATAATCCTGTTTCTGTTGCCTGTCGGGTCAAAGTCCTTCCTTTGGATAAAATGCTCCCCGAAAGCTTAACGCGTAAAAAGGTATTATTTACTCGATCGTTTGCTTACAGAGGAGAACGAAGCTCGTTTCACTTAACGCACTTAAAAATATATATCTTATTATGTTAATTTATATACCGCTTCCATGCGCCAGAATGGCATATTATCACGATTATCATTTTATTGCATAAGAGCACATTTAAAAATTCTCCTGTCGCGTGCATCGTTTTTAATAACCTTCTGAGCCTCAACGGAATTCTTATAAAGCAAAAATAAACAGGAGACATATTTTCCTCTGGTGCTTTTTTGTTTTTAAAGTTGGTCTCCCTCCCACCTTCTTTAAATTGCCCAAAATGCTGTTTACTATCATTTTAATTACGATTAATAAGAAACAAAGAATGCCGCGAAAAGGAAGCTTTCTTTGGAAAGATAGCAAGACGAAATATTGGCCAGACGGGGAGCATCATTCAATTTCGCAGGACGTGTTTGATCGGGTTTGGGGTTTTTTTGCTCTTTTTAAACACCTAAAAGAAGGCCAGTTTTCAAAAGAAGCGCTTTATGGTATCAGGATGGGTTGTGACCGTGGCGTATTTTTCCACTGAGAAAGAAACCTGGGCAATTCAAGGTCAATCCATCCTTCCCCTCTCGGCACAAACCCTTTGTTTATATATTTACTCTCGGACCTTTTTCTTTGATCATAAAAAGAGTGGCTTTAGCAGTGATCTTCCTCTCGCGATTGAATCGATGGGCGCCGAAAGGAAACCGATGCCAACCCCGCCTCTTGCACGTTGTTACGAAATAGGAAAGGAAAACAGAAAATGATATGCAAAAGTCCTTTCCCCGCCTTTGAGGAAGGTGCTGCTAGGAGGTTTAATCTAATCTAATCTATTTATCTATCTATCCATTCATCCTGTTAGATTTACCTGTATCTGACCACACACACAAGCACACGTATATAAGCACATCATGGGTTGTATTCAGCCAAACTGTACTCTTAGTAGACCTACTGAAACGAACGAACCGAAGTTTGCCATGCTCGTTAAATTCAGTGGGTCTCCTCAGAGTAAGGCTTCCGCTCACTTATCGTGATAACGTCGACTGAGTTATTTTATATCTCCGGTATGAAAACCAGGCAGATTTGAAGAACTGGGTTCTGAACATTTTTTTTTGGGGGGGGGGGAAATACAGGAGTTTCCTTTCTTAAAAAAACTTTTTAAAATTCCAGTGATTCCGCTTTCTCCCTTCTGTCCTTTGTTTGATTTAGAAAAAAGGCCATATACGGTGATGAGATTTGGCGATTGGGGGCGGAGGGGGGGGGAGAGAGAAGGGAAGTGTGACTTGTTAAAGTGGGTCATATTAGAAACGCCCGCAGAGAGAGATTTCCCGAATTGAACTTTGCAGAAAGTCCAACCCCCCCACCCTTGTCCTGGGAGGCGGGAGGGAGAAGAGAGAGAGAGAGAAAATCATTTTCTTTTTTAAGGTCACCCTCCCTTTTCCCAGGCACTGATTGACAGCTGACACGGCCATCAGTCCTCGCTTGCTACTCTAGAACAAAGGCCCGCTGGAGAAAAACAGACGAGCCTCTCTACGCATAACGGATCCCGCATTTTCTTATAGTTGCAGTTAATTAATAATAATAATAATAATGTGCTGCACGAAACAGAAATATCCTTGCCCTGAGGACTGATCAGCCTGCCCTCCCCAAAATATTTTATTCAGGCGATAATTTTTTTAAAAATGGGTCTTAGAAAGTCTAAGTCCGCTTGCCTCTGGTTGTGGTGGTGGAAAAAGCACTTTTGTACATGTTCAGAGACCGGGTAGTTCCGTCAGGTATCCTGGGGGCAGATAGCCCTGGCAATTCAAAGAGGGCCCGGGGCAGATAGGAAAGCCCGAAAGGTATCGTTTTATTTTGGGGGGGGGGGCAAGCGAAACCTGGTACTGACTGCTCCTCTCCCTTACGCACATAAAGTGGTTTGTAATGTTGAGGGCGGGCGAGAAGCGGGAGAAAAGTTTCAGGCATGGTACCTTAACTTGGACGCGATGCTGCGGAGGTGGGTAAGTGGAATAACCCCTCCCTGCTACCCAAAGTTGATGAACAGGGCAATCTCCGGCGTGTTTAGGGGGACGTTGTCCCACTGTGTTTAACAGGGCTCAACCCCAGGAGGACGCACACGAGCTGCGACCCTACTCACGCCGGAGTAGGCGTGCAAGCTGCGATCCTAGATGCACCCACCCAGGAATAAGCATGCAAGCCGCGATCCTATGCACGCTTCCTTAGAAGTAAGCATGCGAGCTGCGACCCCCAGACACCCTTGCGCAGTCCTAAAACGCGCTTCCCTAGGGCCAAGCGCGCAAGGGCAGATTCCCCCGGGAGCAAACCTCACGGAACACAGCGGGCTTACTCCCTAGTAAACACATAGTAAACACAGAAAGTGAGACAAAAGAGACCACCCTTTCCCCCCTCCAAAAAACCCCCAAAAGTTTCGGACTCACCTAAAAAAGTCGTTTTTACAGTAAAGCTTCCCTTCCCTGGAGAAACACTTCTCGGTCAGGTTGCATTTACATTCACAGCACTGAACGCATTTGACGTGCCAAGCGCGGTCCAAAACGTTCAAGAGGAAGCGGTCTAGGATGGGTCTTTTGCAACCGGCACAGTGAACCATTGTCTTTGGTTAGGGGGGCGGGCGGGTGGTTGGGGGCTGTGGCGCTGGGTATGTCGTCGTGAGTTGTTTTGTGTGTGTGTGTGTTTTTCTGGAGGCGGAGTAGGATCAAAAGTTTTCAAGCAAGGCTGGAGGAGGCAGGCAGGCAGGCAGGAGACGCTTTTCCTTCCCAGATGTCCACAGCAGAGGCAGAAATCAATGCCCAAAACAAGCACCCCAAAACACACACCCGGGTGTGTGGGTGGGTGTAGGGAAGACCCTCCCCAGGCTCGGCGCTTTTGAAAAACCTTCACGTTGGAGCAAGCTGTCTGCAGAAGTTGATCTTCTCAACGAAGTCCCGGCGGGAACATCAAACTCAAAAGCCAACGATCATCACCATCATCAACAACATCAATAAATCTTCTCTTTGAAAAAATCTTCCAAAAATTAAAAACTCCAGCGTCCGGAGGAGGCCAGGCTGGTGGCTCAAGAACCAGAGACTGAAGCTAATCTTCTTCGTGGCCTTTTTCTGGTGGCTGAGGTTGTTGCCAGATAAAAAAGCCTTCTTCAAGAACCTGAATTATTATTATTATTATTAATAACGAATGAGAGCAATCGAGGAGGCCAAATCAGGTGCTGTCAGTATGCTGGAAGGTAAAGGAGCATGGGGGTGGGGGTGGAGGTGGAAACAAAGGAGTCCTCGCAGGTTTGAGGTAGAGCAGTCAGAGGTCAAAGTGCAAGTCACATCAGAGCCCCCTCCCCAACATTAAAAAAAAGAATCGTCCGGAATCATAGGCTGCAATGCCCGGGGCATCTCAAAACGAGGAGCCTGGGGGGGGGGGTCTCAAGAAAAGGGAGAGAGGAGATATTTTGAGGAGCCAGAGAGGAAGGGATGGCAAGGCGAGGAGAGAAATATGATGTCTGCTATATAAATAGAACGATGCTCATATTAGGAAATCGAGCGGGAGGGGGAAGCGCAAGCTCTCCCCCCTCTCTCGGGACAAAATGAAAACAAAAACAATTTCCCCCTAATTTTATTTTAAGAACACCCCCAGATCGGTGCTGATAATCGCCCTCCTCCCTTTTCTATAATATAAAATCCTTTGGGGGTGGGATGGGGGTGGGGGGTAAGGTAAGCAATCAACAGCGACCAGCAGCAGTTCCCTTACCCCTATGGGCTCGGAGTGAGTCCAGGAGTCAAAAACTCTTTGGCCCGGTCCATGGGGACGCGCTTGATGCGGGGCTGGCTTGGCGAGGACGTTCCCGGGCTGCTGAGGACATCCAGCAGGTCCCCCCACCTCTTAAAAAATAAGAATAATAAAAATCGAATTAAAGGAGCTCTTCCCCTGAGTCTCTTCCTGGCCGATGCTGGAGGCGAGGGGACGAGGCCTCTGGCAGGCGGAGCTGCCTGTGCTTTTGCCGCTGCTCCGGGCTCTCCAGTCCCGCGCGCGCCTCGCTCTGCCTCCTTTCCCGGGCTGCTGCTGCCGCTGCCGTCGCCGCCGCTGCTCCTTCCAGCCTCGCTATAGTCTGCATGTTGGCCGCCGCCTCCACGCCGGAGCCTTATGCAGGGACCCGCCACGTCACCGCCGCCGGCGCCCAATCCGAGGGCGCCCCTCTCGCCCCGCCCTCCCCTCGCCCATCATCAGAGGCTCCTCGGCGAGACCCCGCGCGCGGCAGGCGGAGGAGGAGGCCAGCCGGGGAGCCCGGCCCGGAGCCCGACGGCGCGGACGCCGCTCCCACCAGGTGCGCTGCTGCGCTCGGACGGGGCGGGGGGGGGGCGGCGGACAGAGCAGGGTTGGGGGCTGTTTAGGATGGGGAGAAGGAGGAGGATCCTGGGCGAGAGAGGACCAGGAGGAGGAGGAGGAGAGAAGGGGCTGCCTGCGTCCTCCTCTCTCCTCGCGCTCTTCTTCGCCGAAGTTGATGGAGATGGAGAGGGGGGAACTTTCGGGACAGTTTGAGCCCGAGGATCGGGAGGGGTCCCCCTCTGCACCCGCCGCCCCAGACGGTAGGTCCTTTCGGAGAAGAGCTGCAGGCGAGTCGTGTGGTTGTATTCATGTTGTTGTTGTTTAGTCGTTTAGTCGTGTCCGACTCTTTGTGACCCCATGGACCAGAGCGCGCCAGGCACTCCTGTCTTCCACTGCCTCCCGCAGTTTGGTCAAACTCATGCTGGTAGCTTCGAGAACACTGTCCAACCACCTCGTCCTCTGTCGTCCCCTTTTCCTTGTGCCCTCCATCTTTCCCAGCATCAGGGTCTTTTCCAGGGAGTCTTCTCTTCTGATGAGGTGGCCAAAGTATTGGAGCCTCAGCTTCAGGATCTGTCCTTCCAGTGAGCACTCAGGGCTGATTTCCTTAAGAATGATGAGGTTTGATCTTCTTGCAGTCCATGGGACTCTCAAGAGTCTCCTCCAGCACCATAATTCAAAAGCATCAATTCTTCGGCGATTAGCCTTCTTTATGGTCCAGCTCTCACTTCCATACATCACTACTGGGAAAACCATAGCTTTAAAGATAGGCATATGTGCGTGTGTGCGTGTGTGTGTGTGTGTGTGTGACATAAGCATAGATATGTGTGTGTGTGTGTGTGTGTGTGTGTATCTTTATTTTTCCTTTTTAAAAGGGGTTGCATCGAACTAGGAACGTAGGCAATCATGCCTTATACAGAGCCAGACCCATTTGGTCCACTTGAGGTCAATATTGTCCACACGGACTGGCAGCCGCCCTCCCCAGGGTTTCAAGCGAGGGAGACGCCTGGAATCGATGTTGGGACCAGCTCGGGGGCTGTGCTGTCTAGTGGACCCGTGGAAAGCGCTCGCGTGGGTTTCGAGGGGTCTGCTCTGAGCGCGGCTAAGGTTGGGGCGCAACTTCTCGACCTGCTCGGAGCAGACCCACTGAAGAAGACGGGGGACCTGCGGATTGAGGGCCATTGCTTTGAATGGCTCTACTCTCAGTAGTTAATAAATGAAGTAAGGTTTCTCTTAGCAGAAAGGGAAGGGGGCATAATCGCTCGCCCGACTTGAAAGGGAGGAAACTCAACTTCATTGTATACGATTTATCTCTCTCTTTGTGTGTTTTATAAAAAGTTTAGCATTGGCAAAAGAGGTGCGTGTGGGTGTTTTGCTGAGGGTCGGGGCAAGAATCTCCTCCTAGTCTGAAATGGAAATGGGGCCTTATTACGTTGCAGGTGGGAGGCGAGACAAAGATAAAGTCTGTGTGTGTTTTGCGAGATGTCAGGGCGAAAAGACTCCTGATGTCTAGAACCTCGATTGCTGACTGCAGTCTGCCTGGACTTCACAAATAGCACTCGATCCCCGAGGAGGAGATCCTGGGCGTTGCGGGGGGGGGGGGCGGCGCACTGGGAAGGAGATCACACAGCATGCAGGCAGCTCCTTCAAAAGCCAATGTGCTGGCAGATCAAAGGGGCAGCCTCGGAGCGGACCGAGGGAGAAAGACCTCGCCATCCGCGAGGGGGGGGGGGAAAGGTATTTTGGAAGGAAGAACTTTAGCCCGGGAGGACGCGGGTGCAGACGTCCGGATAAGATCGTCCTCACGTTCCCTAAATCTGCAGTACTTCTAGTTTTTTTAAAAAAAGGGAGTACAATGTGTATGTATGCGTATTGCGTGTATACGTGTGTCAAGTGTGCGTGCATGAGTTGTATTCAACTAATTTTTACTCACTGAAATATATCGATACAAGTCAGGCTCGTTATTTTCAATGGCTCTAAGTCTCCCTCTCTCTCTGTGTATAAATATATATTTATAAAACATACAGTACACAAACTCTCCATGCTTTGTGAAGGATGCTGTTTTATGTGACCATTTTTGGAGGGAGGAGGGAGGAGGGATTTCCGTGAAAGATGAACTCATGAGCTTTGGGTTAGGCCTCGAGGCTGGAGTGAAGTGGGGGAATATATTCATCCATATATGTATCTCCCCCTTTTCCCTCCCCGTTTGTCTTTGTACTTTTACTCATATATATATATATATATATATATATATATATATATATGGGGGCTGGCCAGCCTTTGGAAATGGATGACTCGAGGAGAAGACAAAAAGATGTCTGTGTGTCGTACAAATTGCTTAATCCAGGTAGCACTTGTTGATCTGGGGGAAGGGAGGCCGGAGGCACCCCCTCTTTCCAGCCCTCACCTGCCCCCTCCCCGAAAATAGAAGTTTTAAAAGTCGATTTCCATTAACTGCAGAAACGCGAATCGCTTAAAATCTCCCCTTCTGACAAATTCCCCACCTAAAATCTTGCCGCTTTCGGTCAAGAGGCTCAAACCTCTGAGAAAACAGCCGTGTTTGTTTGTTTTTTAACAGGAGAGAGCTACATTTAAATCCCCCTCCCAGTCAAAGCCCTTCTCAAATAGAAGGCTAACAAGTTCTCGCCTTTAGGTTTACACAACATGACTAGCAAGATGAGTGGAGCCGAAGAATTTCGCAGGCAGACGGTATTCCGACACTTCTCCGGTTCGGTTTGGCTCTCCGAGTGCCAAAACAAACAAACAAGAAAAACCATAAAAATAAGAAATAATGAATTTAGTTGTAATTGTTTTTCACCTCGAATGACTAGAAAAAGGGATAAAATAATAATGGAAACAGAAAGATTGCTGTTGCTATTAATTCTGCTAATAATAATAATATACAGTAATAATTTATGCCACCTTTAACGGTCTCATTTCTACTTATTTTAGGTTTGTTTATTTATCCTGGGAAAAAAATCGAACTCCTACATTTTCTCCTTTCTTATTATTTCGTTTTTCTAACGGAACAATATTCTTACAAACTAAGGTTTCTCCAAAACTGCCACACAAACGGAAGTTTCCTTTTTTCAAAAAGTGAAATCGGTTTGTTCCCTAAAGTTTCTCCCCTTAGTTGGAAGGGATGTGAAACGAAGAGTGTTTATTTCCCGTCTAAAATTTGCTTAGGACCCCGATGCCAGTTCTTTTAGAATGAATTATTTGCTTGGAGACCAAACATGTGGTGTTAAAACAACGGGGTGAAGGCGAAACTATGGTGTTTTAAAACCCCCTGTAAAACACGCTTTTTTGGAAATAAGATTTATTGAACGCAGTAGGACTTAACTTCTGATGAGAGGCGCATAGGATTGCGCTGCTGCTGTTTCTTTAAACGTAGTCGCTCCAGAAAGTATCCCATCCCCAAATCAATTCAAGAGATAACCTTCCTCCCCACCTCAGCTAATCTCTTGATTCTCCACCCCTGAAGTATTTCTGCTATCTTGCAAGTTTGCCATAAACTGATACATCCTGCCCCCCCCATAACATAGGGCGGAGTGTGAGGTCAGCAACACCCCTGTTCTTCCCCCAATCACCCCTCTCAATCCGATTTACAACCTAGTGAATCCAGAGTGAAGCCTCTTTGCGCTCCCCAGTTTGAAACACGTTGCTTAGGGGAGCAGACCCAGCCCATGTTTTCCCCATGAAATCCGTTTCCAGATCAGGACCTGCGGGTCAATTCTAGAGAAACGATTAATACGGAATACTGCAGCCCGACCACCAGCAAACTAGTGAGATGCCTTTACCATTAGTTTAAGAGAATGAGATAGCTGCGATCCACAGCGAGCGTGGTTTAGGAAGAAACTCCGCGCATCCCGATAGGGACCTGCTTCCAAAGAAATCTCCTTACATAAGAAGATCTGCAGGCGTTGGAAGGATCTTAGACTGCCCAAGGATTTAGCCGGGCAGCCAAGGCGCGCGGTGGGTCGGATCATCGAGCTGCTCAGACCGCGATCCTGAGCTCCCCAACAGCTCGATCCTATGCATGTTTACTCAGAAGCAAGTCGCCCTTGAGCTTTGCTCAAGAGGCGTGCCTAGGCTTCGCTGGTCGCGTCGGAGGTTTCCTAGGAGAGTAGTCTCGCGATTTACCCTCTCCGAGGGCGCTCCCCTTTTACTGAAGCCAAGACAGTTTGCATTTATGAGCAAGAGGGGTTCAAACAAACGCTGGAAAAAGAAAAAGCTTTGCATGGACAGATTCCTCGTCTAAGACGTGCCTGGAACGGATTCCGACGTCACTGTGCAGATTCCGTGTCTAAATCGTCTCTGGGACGCATTCCGACGTAACTTTGCAGATTCCATATCTAAAGCCAGACCTAACTTTACGGGTTCCGCGTCTAAGGCGTCTTTGGGTTTTGCCATTGCTTGTCTGCTTCTTGACTTTTTGCCTATGTGGGTGTAGAAAAAAGGGAGGGTTCCGGGGGGGGGGAAGGTATGGGGGTTCATAATGATTCTCACTGATTCCCCTCCCCCCCATGTAGAGAAAGAAGAGAAAGTGAGAGGGGCAGGGAAAGAGGGAGAGGGAAAACACAGGGGAAAGATAAAGAGAACGGGAGAAATAAAGGGGAAGACACGTCTCTTCCCCCGCTCCAAATAGGACTCTTTGAGAGCTTCAAAACACCGATTTAATGAGCTATAATTCGAATTTGATTGTGGGAGGTTACCTCCAGCGTTACTTCCCAGTGCCTCTTTCCGTCACTTTCCTTTTCTCAAAAAAGAGAGAGCAGAAAGACTTAAGTTTTGGGCGCAAGCCGGTTTGTTGTGCAAGAGTCCCTGCTCCCCAGCAGCTATAATTGCGCGACCTGAATTTTTTGGTGGGAGGGGATCAAACCTCCTTTTGAAAAAAAGCGACAGTGTGGAAGCCCCCTTTGAGATAAGGGGGGGGGGTGTGAAAATGCACGGGGGAAGCGCGCTGAGTCACTTGTTTTGAGACAACTGTCGTCTAACATACCCACAAGGCGCGTGAAAGAGCCGACATCGTCTAATCTCCCTGCACAGAAACAAGGAAGGATGCTCAGTGAGCTGATTGACTGGGAGAGCCCTGAATGGGAGAGAGGAAGGGAAAGAAAGAAAGAAAGAGAGAGAGAGAGAGAGAGAGAATGAATGAGAGATAGTACAAAGGAGAAGAGGGAAAGGCGAGAGCCCCGAGTCCCTGGCCCCATATCTCCAGAGGGTCCACTTGGCGGCCAGCGCTGGGCTCCTCCTCCTCCTCCTCCTCCTCCTCCATCCTCCGTCCTCCTGCCAAGCTGCACGGCCCGCCGGCTCCCTCCATCCCCTCCCAGGCGACAGATGCACCAGCGGTGCCAAGGGACCCATTCGCCTTTGACTCCAGCCCCCCAAGTGAAAAGCGCTGATGCGGGATGAATAAGGCGCAGGAGATGAGCATCGCAGGCCCCTCAACGGTTTGCGGAGATGAGGGGTTTGTGTGTGTGAATTGGGCGGGGGAAGAAACCCAGCTGCGGATTTCGCTGAGCAAGAAGAGACTTTGTTATCAGCCTGCTAGGGCTGGACTTTCAGGAAGGAGCAGGCTAGGAGGAGAATACCAGATATCTCTATCTATCTATCTATCTATCTATATCTATCTATCTATCTATCTATCTATCTATCTATCTATCATCTATCCTTCCTTCCTTCCTTCCTTCCTTCCTTCCTTCCTTCCTTCCTTCCTTCCTTCTCCTCATCTCTCTATTTATCTCTCTATTTTATTCTTTCTTTCTTCATCTATCTTGTTCATTATTTCATTCTTTCTTTCATTTATTCACTGTCTTTAATTTATTCTCTGACTATATATATTTCCTTCCTTTCCCTCTATCTATATCTGTCTATGTAGTTCACTTTCTTTCTTTCATTTATTCTCTCTTCAATTTATTTCTCCCCCCTTTTCTCTCTCTCTCCCCCTCCCTCTCTCTCCTTTTTCACTTTCCCAAACAGTTGCAGACAGACTGGCTAAAGGCTCCAAGCTTTCCTCCCTTCTCCCATGCATCCAGTCAACAAAAGTATGAAGAGTGCAACCCTGTGCCCAGTTCCTCTGAAGCTCTGCTCTGCTCAATAGGCCTTCCTCCCCAATAACTGTGTTTGAGGCTGCAGCCGTATAGTACAATCCTAACCATTTTGACCCAGAAGCAGAATTCAATAGGGCTCCCTCCCAAATAAGCTGGGTTCAGATTGCAGTCTATAGTCCACTACGACTGTTGCTACTATTTCTGTACCATCCATCATCCAAAGATCAGAGGGCGGTATGCAATATAAAAACACAAAAATACATAGCATAATAACAAACAAAAACTATACCCCAAACAACAACAACAACAACATAACACCCATCAATTAATTGCACAGGCCTAATTTAATTGGCGTAGGGATGTTTTGTTTAAGATTATTGGTAGGCTGAAGGGCATTGTGAGATCTTTAAAAGACTCAAGGCACACATGGCTAAAAACTGGATAAAATTCACAAATGCTAATTTATGTGGCTGAATGCAAATTTTGGCTGACTTCCAGGGGGAAACGCTGCCCTGTAAACAAAGTAAAATATTGTTCTTGTTTGTTTCAATAACAATTGCTTCCCCCGAGACATCCCAAAGCAATAAGCAATATAGTACCATATATAAAATAGTTACACATATAAGAAACAATTAAAGTGATTGCATATATAAAAACCATTTAGAAATCATAAATATAAAAGCAGTTAAAGAAAATGACAACAGCATGTATTTAAGATCAATTCAGATCTGAAACAGATACTGACTGTTGGTTTTTCAATAGGGCCGGACATCGGAAACTTGTTACAAAAGAGGGGGCTTGTTTCTTCCTTGCCCCGGACCCTATGATAATATTATCCTTTTCTGCAGCACTTAATCTGGCGAAGTCACCATCTTTGGTCCAGCATCTCGATTCAAAATGGTGCTTGGCATCCAAAGACAATGAAGACCGCTGTCCCATCTCATGAATTCTCATGCTGAGTTTGGAGGTGGCACCTTAAGAAGTGGCCAAACCTATGCTTAAAAAGTGGGTGGCGGTGTAATTTGGCCCCACCTTCTTGATTCAAACATGGCACTTGGCATCCAAACTTGGTAAAGACTTGCAAACCCTTCTCCCAAGTTTGTTGACAATATCTTGAGAGGTGCCAAACCCCGGTGAAGTCATGCCAAAGTGATGCTGTGGTCCACCGACTTGTTTCGAATTGGTGGCTGCCATCTCAGCAGTTACAAAGACCACCACCGTCCCCACCTTAGGAACTCTCAGGCCAACTTCAGCGATGATCCAGCTGGATTTGGGTTCAGCTGGAGAACCCGGGTTTGGGAAACCCTGATCTAGTGTGTCGCTGGAGTATGGGATGAATGAACTTGGCTGGTCTTCCAAAGTAGATCCTAAATCAGAGTCACACCACTTCCAGCTCTCTGCATCCCTGACCTTTAGCTGTGATGGCTGGAGTTGATGCAGTTTGGCGAAATCTGGGGGGGCTGCGTATTAAGAACATAACTCAGCCCTGCTGGATCGTGCTAATGGACCTCCTGGTCCAGCAACCTGTTCTCACAGTGACCAGCCGGATGCCCCCAATGGAAAGCCTGCCAGCAGGGCCCTGAGTGCGAGAGCACTCTCCCCTCCTGTGGTTTTCAACAATGGGCATCCAGAAGCATCCTGCCTCTGACCATAGGATATAAAACCATATATACTAAAGACAGCACACTCACCACTGTTTCCAGGAAACTGAACCATGGTTAATCACTGCGACCTCTGGAGTCTTTCACCACTGAGAGACTGGGGTGGTACCCAACAATGCATTTCTTCCTGTTGGCAGGTAATAAGGTGTTTTTTCGCCAGCTCAGTCTGGAATGGGTTTCCTACAAGCAAAGAGTGAAGGAGAGCCTGAGAGCATCACCAATATAGTTGCATCATTCTACATCGCTGTTTTTTAAGACAGTCTCGTGAGCCAAGCCAAAATAACCATGGGCCTCTGCTCTCAAGAGGAATACAATATGACATTGACGAGAAGACCCTGCTGGGCTTTTCAAGAGTTACAAACAAACAAACAAACAAACAAACAAACAAGACTGTGGCGGTCATGTGGCAACAAGGCTGAAAACAGGGATGTGCAAAAGGTTAGGAAGTGATTAAATGTGTTCACATGTACTAGTGAACATAGACTATGTTTTGGGATGGGGGAAGATGAAGATTAAAGGCATGAAGGCAAAGGTTTTTTTTTTAAAAAAAGTGGGTTGTTTTGAAGGAGATACTTCAGCAGAGAGGAAAAGAGACATCATCATAACATTTCACATGGAAGTGAAACAAGTGAAGTGAAACAAACAAATAAAGGTTGTAGCCAATAGTTAAGAGGCAACAATGTTTCTGAATGCCAGCTGCTGGAGACCAAGGGGGGAGGGAGGATGTTCTTATGCTTGAATCCTGCACGCTTTTCCCATTGGGGCATCTGGTTGGCTCCTGAATTAGAAGGACCGTTGGCCTGATCCGGCAGGCTCTTCTTATATACTCATTAGACTGACTGAAATTAATGGAGCCAAGTTAAGTCATGAGCCCCTTATTTTAAATTAGCCTACTTTGTGCAGCTTTAGTATGGGGTACAACCCTAGATCTACCAATCCTGGGGGCAAGGATGATGATGGTGCGTTTTTTTATACCGTGGTACCTCGGGTTACAGATGCTTCAGGTTACAGACACTTCAGGTTATAGACTCCGCTAACCCAGAAATAGTACCTCGGGTTAAGAAGAGATGAGCACAGAAATCCTGCTCCGGCAGCAGCGGGAAGCCCCATTAGCTAAAGTGGTACCTCAGGTTAAGAACAGTTTCATGTTAAGAACAGACCTCCAGAATGAATTAAGTTCTTAACCCGAGGTACCACTGTAGTCTCATCTGCATGCATTGTGCTTGTTGAAGAGCAAGAGGACAGGCTCTTGCCTTGAGGAGCTTCCAATCTAAATCGATGGGAGAGAGACAGACAGAGAGAAGTGGGGAGGGAGAAAGACAACTTTTGCCATTTCCTCCCCAAAAGGACCAGGCAGCCATTAACCCTCCTTTCTTTCCAGTATGTTGGTGGGGATGTTTCCTCTGTGCAGTGGGCTATATCTGGGCTATAGGATATGAAAAGGCGAGCAGGAAGGTGTGTGTGGGGGAAATAAGGGAGGAGGTCAGGGCTGTAATTGCTTCCAAGGTCCCACAAAAGGAGATTATTATACAAACCTGTTTCTCCCCCTGCTTTCAAACATCCCCACCCCTCCCCTTAATGATTTTAGGAACCTGTAAGAGCACTGATCTGGAAAGCGTCAGACTTCCCTCGCAAAACCACTAAAGCAAACCTGCCTTTTGATCAGATGGGTTTTGAAAGGTTACATTGATTTATTGTCAGAGCTTCCTGGCAAAGCCTCCTTTGGTTTTTGGGCAAATCATTTGGGAAGGAGGTAAAGGCGCGAGGGGGGGGGGAGAGGAGAAGGAAGCCCAGGGAGTTGGAGAATGTTGTTTCCTGGGTTTATCCAGGCTGGTTCCTGCAGTGGGTCATTAACGTGACATGAGTTCCATCATGGGAACTGTGGGGTGTGCGTGTGTAGGAGGAAACCTGTCTTGTTCACCTTTGCAGAAAAGTATTTGTGTGCACTGAAAGTATTATAAATAATATAAGGCAGTCTTTGCCAACTAGCTGCCCTCTGGATATCTTGGACCACAATTCCCATCAGTCCCAGTTTTAGTCCAAAACTGGCAGGTACCTGGTTGGCAAATGCCGATATAAGGCGATAGCCAATGTTAATCATGCTCAGAGCAGATTGATTGAAATCGGTGCGTGTGCTGAAATGAGTCGTCGTTGTATTATAGGGTGAAAGCCAACGTTACTCATGCTTTAGACCTATGAAATCAATGCAAGGTTCATTGATTTCATTCGGTCTACTCTGAGTATGGTTTAGTTGGGTATCACTGCTAAGACCTCAACATTTCTCCTAAGTACTGTATAAGAACAGAGAGTGTCCTCTTTGGCTTAATGACAAATGGGAGAAAGAAAGGGGTTGGCAGAGAGGGAGGAAGCTAATTTGGGTGCCAGCTCTTACATAATAGTTACATAATGACCAGGTGGAATAGCCGCTGTGGGGGGTTCAGTTCTGGAGGATGTCAATGGCAGTCAGCCCTAGCCAGCTGAGCTAAATTTGAATATGTGTGAGATTTAAGCTGGGTACAGTCTGACTCCAGCAAGCTCCCACCTGCTGGCGATTGAAGCAGAGCACACAGGGGAGCAGGCCACGATCCATGCAGATCCTATTGTTTCCTGAGAAATGCTGCAGTTTGGTGTTTCCCTTCAAGCCAGCTTCTGTCCCAATGGGAAATGTTAAGCAGAGGTGTGTACACTTGAGACAATTCTTGCACATGTGCAGACGACAGCTTCATTGAATTTGAACAGGAGTTTGGCAAACAATTCAGGCAATGTGTGTTGGGTGAAGACTTCCCAGCCCTCTCCCAGCAACATTTTGGGCAATATTCCGGTGGAGGGTGGGCCCAGAGGCAAAAGTGGTTGGAACAATGCAGAAACTGACTTTATTTTTATTTTTTTTAGAGTAGGCTAGTTTAGTTTAAATCCGTATTTTCAAAAAAACAAAATCTAATAAAGAGATTGAAAAATAGAAAAGAACGTAGGTCACTTCTGGACAATCTGTATGTTGCGGTACACAAGGTGGCAACACGAGAACAGGGCCTTTTCTGTGGTGGCTCCGTGTTTGTGGAATGCTCTTCCCAGGGAGACTCACCTGGAGCCTTCATTATATATCTTTAGGCACCAGGCAATTCCCCCTTATGTTCCAAGGCACCACACGTTTAAGTGAAATCGTGAGTAATGGGAGCAGCAATGTAAAAGCCTGCAAACACCCTCTAAACCTCTGGAAACCCTTGGGGGGAAAAAACCATCAGCACTCCTGGGATTGCACTTGCAAAGGCTTGTGGGGTTGCACGATGGCCATCATCTCAGGTGGCTTTAGAAGATGACGGGACAAATTGATGGAGGGCAAGGCTACCAATGGCTACTGACGGAGACCTGCCACCTTCACTGTGGGAGGCAGGAATGCTTCTGAATGCCAGATTCTGGAAACCACAGGAGAGTGCACTTACGTTCGAATTCTGCAGCTGGTTGGCCACTGTGAGAAGAGATTGTTGGACTAGATGGACCTCTGGCTTGTCTTAGTTAATGCCAGAACTCTGATTATGGGGTTTGACATTGGAGTGGGGGCTCTGTAATTTGGACGTTACCCAATATAACCCCCAACTATTGCATAAGTCTGGTTAGTGCCTCCATTTTCCAGTCTTAAAACTGGTTTTCCTCATTTCCACATCAGTTTTCAATTAAAATAAAAACTCTTGAAAATCCTCTTGAAAATCCATCAGCATCCTAGTGTGAATTTGTCCTAATATCCACATTTTTTTTGTTTGCCATGACTTCCAATATACAGTGGTAGCTCAGGTTAAAAACTTAATTCATTCTGGAGGTCTGTTCTTAACCTGAAACTGTTCTTAACCTGAAGCACCACTTTAGCTAATGGGGCCTCCTGCTGCCACCATGCCGCTGCAGCACGATTTCTGTTCTCATCCTGAAGCAAAGTTCTTAACCCAAGGTAATATTTCTGGGTTAGCGGAGTCTGTAACCTGAAGCGTATGTAACCTGAAGCATATGTAACCCGAGGTACCACTGTAGATATTTTTGCGAATTGATCTCCTCCAGCATGAACCATTTTTGTGTATTGTTTTCACCAGTGTATTAATTTTTATGTCCCAGTATATGCATTTTTGTACGTGTCACTTGACTAGAGAACTGCGTTGCAAAATTTGGAGAAGTGCGAATTTCTCAGGATGGCAGTGTTTTGGTTACTGCTTTCTTCCAGAAAGTGCAGACTGGGTAGGCTGGCCTTTAAATGTGAACTGAACTGAATTACTCCCTTATCCCTGTGTCTGGGTTCTCTGGCTAGTTTCTGGGCCAATGTCACAGCCAGCCCTGGTTGCAATTTCCCATGCACTCTGCGGCAATTATGAATGGACCACACAACACATAAGGCTGCTTGAGTGGGACTCGAAAAGCTGAATGCTTGGGTTGGGAAGCCTCAGTTGCAGCAGAGGCTGCAAGGAGTGAGGCAGTGTGCAAGCCCACCATCCTCCAATTTCATTATGGGATGCAAAGCATTAATTCACCTTTGTCTGACTCTTCCATCCTTCTCTGCTTAGGACAAACACACAGAAACCACCACTACAGTTATTACACTTCCTAATAAATGGGGAAATATTAGCCAGGCCCCTTTGATCAGCTGAGTGAGAATTTTTTTAATATAAAAGGCATCTCAGGGCCAACTGAAAAAGAAAACAACAGCTAAGATTGACATTTAGATAACAGAAGTTGGATGCCTCTGTGGTGCTGCCATGGATGCAGTGGTCTTTGCCTCCATCTTCCAGTTCTGTAAAATGGGGATATTAAGGTATTTTGTGAACAAATGTTCCTTGCCTCAGCCCTCCAGTCCTGTAAATTGGGCGTATTAACACCTTGTATATCATGGATAAAACCCCAGTGCTTTTAATAACTGCTTGGGAGACACTCTCTCTCTCTCTCTCTCTCTCTCTCTCTCTCTCTCTCTCTCTCTCATTATTCAAAAGGTGTTCCCCAGCATCTCCCGTCTTCTCTTTCTCTGTACCTGTATGCCTTGACATCTTCCTTTTTGGGGCTTCATTTCCCCAGCCCTCAAAGCCCAGCGGCTTCTACTAAAACAGGCAGCCAGGCAAAATGACTTGAGCGTCACTCATTTCCCCCATTTAAGTCCCAAGGTTTTCGTTTTCGGGCCTTCATCGCTAAAGATGAAACACCCTGTCTTTGGAGGAGGAATCACCATCCTGTCTGCCAGCCGGTGGGCAGCATCAGATGCACATTAAATCTCTGAGTCTCTTCTCCTTGCTCATGATAGCTGGCATCTTGAATATTTGCAAAGGAATGTCTATTTCTTTTATGAAGTGGGCCATGCCGCTCAGTTACTTTCGGTGCCTTCCCTCTTCATTTATTCCCTTTTTCTTTTGGATTTTAGCTTCTAATTAAAAAAAAGATTCTGGTCTGCTTGATTCCCTGATGAATAATTTAAATAGGAATACAGAAAGCCGCCTTATACTGAGTCACAAAATTGTAGAGTTGGAAGGGACCTATGGGGTCATCTAGTCCAACCCCCTGCAATGCAGGAATTTCAACAAAAGAATACAGCTGGTCTTTCTGGGTCAGTACTGTCTACACTGACTGGCAGTGGCTCTCCAAGGTTTCAAGCAAGGGGCCTCACCCAGCCATACCTGGAGATGCCCGGGGATTGAACCTGGGACCTTCTGCATGCAGGGCACATGTCCTGCCAACTGAGCTGTGGCCCTTACAGTCATGATCTCTAGGTTGACAAACTCCCAGCAGCTCCCTTTTCTCCAAGCCTGAGCAGAAGACAATGCTTCGAAGTTCCCTCTGCTTTCATTTTTAAAATATTCACAAATACTTTTAATATTTCCATATGGCAAACACCGCAGGCAAACACATTTAGGATGTTAGGGAGAGAACTCCATAGCCCTCAATTATTCATATTATTTGCCCACCATCTTGTAATCTGAACAGCAGATTCAAAATTAATAGGGTTATATACATATATGTTTACTTTAAGTTTCTCCCTCTCCTCAAACTCCATTTTCTCTCTTGTACTCTTTGAGTAGGGGGTGGAAGATGAGTGGCTTTCTGACACCCCCTCCCCCCCCCCAAATGGTGAATTCATATGGAATGAATAAGGGAGCAGCCTTCTCTTGCGCACTCAAGGCATTGGATAGCATGAATCTAGCTTGGGACAGAGCTGGGGAAAAGAAAGGTACAATTAGAAAAGGAAAGTAAATTGACAAAGGGGGTTAAAATAGAAAAGATGGAAGCTTTTGAGACTTTAATTTTTTGCTAGTGTGGAAGCTGACCTGAAACCAAACTAAATCCATTGCATGCGAACATGCATTTAAAAATAAATAAATGCAAAAGGTACCTATGCTCTTTTTTTCAAAAGGGAAAAGTAGCCTCCATTTTTAGCCGAGAAGTGCAAAGGAGAGGCACCTAACCCTTCCCCTCCTCCCATTTTTATGCTGCAACTCCTTTCCCCTCCAACATTCTCCCTTGCAGGCTTCCAGGTGCTTGTTTGCCCTGAAAAATGTGTCTCTGCGATGATGGTGGGAAAGCAGTTTAGGAGAGGGAAGGTGCGGCAGTGGCAGAAGGGTGAAGCAGCCTGCATCACTTCTATACTGAAAAATCAGTTCTGCCTGAAGAAGCTTTTTTCTCAAAAGCTGCCATCGGTCTGTGTGTACAAAGGTCTGTGTGTAGATGTGTAGCTTAGGCTTGTCAGGTCTTGGCTGAGTTCCAAGGTGGCCCAGGGCTGGAGGGGAAGGGTTTGGTTCTGGAACAAGCAAATGAAGATTCAGAGGGCGAGAGGCAGACGATGTGGATGAAGATGTCAGACTGGTGGCGGTCAAGTTCCAGAGAAGGGAGATGGGGAGTCTGGTCTGTGTGTCTCGTAGGCAACTAGGGGTATGTGAGTAAGACGAACCATGATCCCCAGATTCCCATTCCCAGAAAGGGTAAAATTTGTAGAACCAGTGATATGAAGCATCATATCAGGAACTTTTCTCATTTGTCTTCTGGGCAGGAACTGTAGCCTAGAGAGCTTCCTTGATGGAGAAGACTTGAGGGCTACATTTGACTGCCCCGGGCCTAAGACTCCCTACCCCTGAACTGGATGAGGTACGAAGTAGGGATCCCTGCATTGCAGGGGGTGGACTAGATGACCCTTGGGGCAGTGGTGTAGTGGGGGGCACAGGGGTGGTTGCCCTGGGTGCAAAATTCTTAGGGGCATAAAATTTCAGCACCCAGTGCTGCCTCAGTACAGCTGCGCACTTCCGTCACTGGGCTCTGTTGAAAACGGCTTCTCCATGAGAACCAGGATGTGACCTCTCCAGACAACGCAACAACTCTTATTTTCTTATCTCTGTGGCTGTGATCTCCTGGGTGATGCGGATAACATTATGCAGCTGAATGCGCATGTGTACTCCATCCGCTTCCCTCCCACCAATTCTCCTCCATGTGGGCCCGGGCACTGGAACCCCACGCTATGCCACTGCCTTGGGGTCCCTTCCAACAATTCCATGATTCTATGGGAAACGATTTGAACGACTGAAAGCGCTATACAAATGTTGGCAAGGTATTATTACGTGACCAAGGAGTGCAGCCGGGAACAGAGGATTTGAAGAGGGAATTTAAAAACAAGAAGAGAAAGAAGAAAACTGACAAAGACGAAAGAAGAATAAAAGGAAGGAAAGGGTGAAGTAAAACCTGGAGAATCTGCGCCATCCATCTTCATTGTCTTCCTGTGTGGAAGAACAACCCCAGCATAAGGAAAAGCCACTATCAAAGTCTCGGCTTTATTTTATATCCTATAGATCAGGAGGGAGGCAAAGCTTTATTTTCGCCCAGAGACTGATATTTTATTTCTCTCTTACCGTTTTATGTGTGAGAGATGTCAGAAAGCTGAAATAGATGGCTAATGCATAAGCAAGAGGAAGCTGGCTTGCCATGCTCCGTGTCATGAGGTCTCCCGGGGAGAACAGGTTGGGGATTTAAGGCTTGAAGGGAGACTCTGGGGGATTTTCTGCTAAAACATCTCTCTTCATAAATTCAACAGCATGGCCGGCTCAATAGGGAGACGGGGAGCTTGCGAGGCGGGCTGGGGGTGGGGGGAAGGGGCTGGCAAGCAAAGTCTAAACACTGCGCTGCCGCCATCGCACAAAGGGATCAATTACTCGCCTTTCAATCTACATACCGCGTTTGTGACATTTCACTCAGAGGTTAAAGGATGGCTGAGTGGTGTGCATGAGCGTTGGATGACAAGCTTAGGGCCTGTTTAAATATGGATTGCGTAGCCAACACAAACACGCCAAAAAAGACCTTCCCCCCACCCTCGTCCCTTCATACTTGGACAAGCGTGGCATCAATTTTCTGGGTTCATAATTGGGGCTGCAGGTTACGCTGACCACTCCATTTGTATCTGGAACCTCCAGCGGCAAACCCTTGTCCTCGTATATATTGTGAAATAAACTAGGTACGCGAACCACAAGAGAAGAGCGATATTAGTTACCTATAGGTAGATCACCTTTGCTTAACCAGTTAAAAGAGGATTGGACTTGGAAGTGGTCACTGAAACCAGTCGCTGCAAGATCCATGGTCAGGAGCGGCTGACCACTGCCCCATGTGGCGAGCTGCATCACTGCGGCCTCTCAAGGAAGAAGCTTCCGGATCTGGCCAAGCTCCACCCACCCAGTATGGCCATTGGCTGCTCCTGGACAGGAAGGCACACCTCTTCCTGCTAGTGGTTGCTTGAGCCAACCTGAGCTATACCTTGCCTTGTGTTTCTGGCCTGACTTTTTGGTCCTGCCTTCTGAGCCTGATATTCTGATTGCCCTGCTGCCTCGACTCTTGGTTGCCCCTGGGTCCTGGCTCTCTCCAGTGGCTCAGCCTTGACGTCCAACAAGGACCAGAGGCTGAAAAGGGTGGCTGTACTGAAAGCAAAACAGCATTGACTCTAAGATCCTGGACTCTTTCCTGCTTGTTGGGTGCTATGCCCTCCTTTTCCTTCAGATCCCAGTTTGTTTTTTTAAAGCACCTTCTGGATTAACCCTGTAATCTTCATTCCCGAATCAAAGACAAGTGTCAGAGTTAGGCCTTGGTATATTTTTGGTAAGGCTTGGCAGGCTTAGTGCAGGAGATCAGGACCCTGGAGAGCTCCGTAAGGAGGAGGAAGTACCAGAGGCTGGATGCAAGGCAAATTCAGGAGAGCAAGTCCAAGATGTTGCTGCAGCAACGGTGGTGTGGGGCAGCTGGCCACTTAACGTTGTCCTGCAGCCAAGGGGTTGCCTCTAGCCACAACCTCTCTGCGGGAACCTACTGTGACATAAAGGGACTATGTCCTGTCCCTCTGGTATAGGCTCTGGGAAGACTGAGAGATGTATGTCTATCCCAGTTATAGGGTGGCAATGGATTCCCCACTTGCCTTGCAGAGGGCTTTGCGGAGCTGCCGTCCTCTGAGTCAGAGGGGGACAGACCTACTTCCCCAGGCAAAGCAATGGTTGGTATACATACAATCACAGAACTGTAGGGTTGGATGGGACCCAAACGGTAATCTAGTCCAACCCCCTGCGACGGTGGGTCCTCTCCCACTAGAAACCCCTGCAAGGTGTCTTCTCTCCAAATGTGGTTAATACCCCTAGTCTTCCCCATCTTCTGTGTCCTCAGGGTCAGGGTCTGTGAACCTTGGCAATAATTTAGCCTCCCACTGTCCCCAAGTATGTTTGCATACCTACTGCCATGTTGAAATCTGCCTGCGAAACAATTCCACAAGTCCATTCATAGGCTGACCATGTGTGTGAGAGATCTGGGGTATTTTCAAGAGCGGGGTCAGTTTTTAAAGGGCTAGGAGGTTGCAAACTGCAGGCAGGGATATATAAGGTTGTCCGGCGGTCCTCAAGGTATCCTAGAACCCAAGTCATCGAGGTGCCTTGTAGATTAGGACCTTGAACCGGTCCCAAGTACAGCACAGCAGCGCAATGAGTGTGTCATCTCACACAAAGAAATGCTAAAGAGTTGTTCGTCTGGTGCAACTCTTGGACGAGAGAGAAGGGGGGGGGGGGAAACCCTGGCAGTAGATTTGCAGGAACCTTTTGGAGAGTTAAAAATATGTCTCCCCGAGCTGCAACAATTTCCATACATTTTTAACCTGGGGGTTTACTTAGCACATTAAGTTGAAGGCTCGGAGGCCCAGCGCTATCACTTATTCCACTTGTCCCTCCCCAGACTTACCAACCACATATTTTATCATTCGACTTCCTGGTTTTAAACTCATGTTATGGCAAATAATAGATGGTAATGCTTTCTCCCCCCCACCCCACCCTCTTATTAATGGCTTTTTTCCCTGATAGAACTTCTGCAAGGGAGAATGATTTAAAAGACAGCCTCTGAGCTTCCTTCTCCCTGGCAGTCGGCAAGGAAGCGATATCCGAAGACTGAAAAATGCAAATGTGTAGATATTTCACAGACCCATATTCCCTCCCTTGCTTGACCCCCTGCCACCCCAGATGTTTTTGAAATACAAGATTTGAGGTGGTTTATTGTTAAGAATTGTCCACTTCCATAAACCCGCAGAGGGATTGCCTGCTATGAATCCTGCTTATCCTTTTGCTGTACAATTGGCCAAGGCAGATTAAGATTGGCTTGGAATCCAACTAGCTATGAAAGAAGTAAATTCTCACTGGCCAAATTCTTCTGGCCCCTCAGGAACTTTTCAAACACCGTTTCATTGCATTTTCATCCTGGCTCAAGGCGGCATGCTGGCTACCACACTATACCACATGATCTTATGCAATGTGGGGATAATAATATGGCCTACCTTGCAAAGCTGTTGTGAGGGCGACTTTCAGTGCCCCTGAAAAAGAGCAGCGTCCATGCAGATCTATTCAGAAGCACATATGAATTCACTCAACGGGACTCAACTTTGCTCTGGGGCTAATGACGTTTCCTAATGTTTGACCAGCAATTTGCATGCTACATGGCTGCGATAAAAGGTTTCTTCTTAGTTGTCTCGCTGTGGACTTATAACAATTGCAGTTTTGTCTCTCTTTTAGACCCTCCCATGGGATCCAGGCGCTCCGCAGAGTCCCAGCGTGAAAACACACAGAAAGAAGAAGCAACTACGGGATTGGTTTGGCAACTGCCCACGGCACTCAACAATGCACAGTGCACAGCAGGGGCTGGAGAGGCAGAGGATACAGGGTGAATGCACCGGCCATTGACAAATTTAGCATTTGAGTTACTAGTCCTCAGTGACACCCCATACTGGGAGCACCAAGCAACTAGCTTCATCCGCTAGGTGGCTACAATATTTGACTCGCGTCTGTAGCTTTGGGAAGCAGCCCAATCTGTTCTGAAGTTGCTCCATCCACTTCGACTCAAATTAGATCTTATCAGAAACAAAGCCCTATTTTCTCCCCATTCACTATAGTGGGGAATAAAAAATGGAGATATATATCCCCTTTTTGGAAAAGTAGGTGACATTTTCAGGCACAGAAGGTCCTCCAGATTGGAGCAAGCTTGCCAAATTGTAAGCAGATGATATATCTGGGGGGTTTGGGCAGTGTACCCCTTAAAGTTTGGGGTTTTTATTATTATTAAAAGAAACAAGTCTTGTTTTCTTCCAGACTTGGATGCAATCTGCAGGCATGCTCACCCTTCTGAGAGGATGAAACATGCTAAATTTCAGAATGACAGTTGCAGTGCTTCTCCTTCAAAGACAGACTTTACTGTTTTGGGGTGGGAATAATGGGAATTATAGGGGTGGAGGAGTAAAGATCATGGATCACCAGAGTGGGAGGAAATGCCACTCATGCTATTGCATGCCTTCCAAACATCCTAAGAGACATTGTATGTAAGCTGTGAAACATGAAATACCATCACATGCCTGCTGCCAGCCAATACCATTGCTTATCAGCTATCAATTACTCATAACATTGCATGTCAATTTTGGGGGAAAAAAGAGGTGACACCGCATGTCATTTATTAAAAAATGGTCAAAGAGTAAACACTGTCTCATGCCAAATATGACCACAGGATGTAACCAAACTGAATGAGCGTCTAAAACAAAACACAAGTCACCAAGATCGTAAGTGATTATTGTATGGCTCATATAAGTCATTCAAATGACTCAAATAAAAAAAAAATCATTTAAAAATGACCCCACCATATGCTTTTCTATGTAAAGGCATTCTAGACTTTCTGAAGCTCAGAAGTCATAGCTTTTCACTGTTCACAATAAGAAATTCAATTCCAGTAGGAAGTGGACAATTTTTGTTTTTCTCAATCTACCAAACACTGTCAGATATGAAATACTATTGCATGCCAGCAATCAAACCATCAAGTTAAAAAACAACAACAACTGATGGAAATAAAACACTGTGGCCAAGTACTAAAGTCAAGTATCATCAGATGTCACAATCTTTTTAAGATTCATGTCTGCACAATGAACCTTCAAAGTAGGTTAGACTGAGGCAACAGTGAATTTCCTGAAGTAAAACAGTGATGTGGAGAGATGAAAGGGATTCTCTGTGGGCTGCTCCAAGACATTATGGTGGTTGTTGGTAGGATTAGAACCAAAGATAGGAAATGTCAAGGAAGCAGTTTTTGGCTGGTGAAAGGTAAAGGTAAAGGGACCCCTGAACATTAGGTCCAGTTGTGGCCAACTCTGGGGTTGTGGCGCTCATCTCGCTTTACTGGCCGAGGGAGCCGGCGTACAGCTTCCGGGTCATGTGGCCAGCATGACTAAGCCGCTTCTGGAGAACCAGAGCAGCGCACGGAAATGCCGTTTACCTTCCCGCTGGCGCGGTACCTATTTATCTATTTGCACTTCAACATGCTTTCGAACTGCTAGGTTGGCAGGAGCTGGACCGAGCAACGGGAGCTCACCCCGTCACGGGGATTCGAACCGCTGACCTTCTGATTGGCAAGTCCTAGGCTCTGTGGTTTAACCCACAGCGCCACTCGCGTCCCTATTCCACCCGCATCCCTATTTTGGCTGGAGGAGCAACAAATATTAATTTTAACTTTATGCATTAGGCTTGCTTCTGTGCACAACCACTGCCCCTCCATCCTCCGTACGGACTAGCAAGAAGTGTGACCATTGCCCAATGACACTTTCCAACTTGGAAACAACAGAGTGTTTGAAGGGGTGTGTCCTGGGAAAAATAAAGGAGGTGCGTGTGGCCTGTGGGCATAGGTGCCAACTCCCTGGGGCCCTGGGTGCCCAAGCACCCACAAAATTCCACATGAAGGTGCTGGGCACCACCAAATTATGGTGCCATGGTCGTGCCTGCTGCATGGCACCTGTGGCTCCTTGCACCCACGGTTGCGGGACCAAGCCGGCACTCCTGCCTGGGGGGAAGTCCCAAGGGCCTGATGGAGAGGCCTTGAGGGCCACATTTGAGGGTTTCCTATTTAGAGATTCTTAACAGTAAGTCTTACAGCGTGGAACTAGGGGTGTGTATATACCACACATTTAAAGCAACCCCCCTCAAAAAATCATGGGAACTGTATAATTTGTTAAGGGTGCTGGCGACTGTAGTTCTGCAACTTGTGAACTACATTTCCCAGGATTCCTTGGAAGAAGACTTGTGTGCTGTGTGCCTTGGGAAGTGGCACCCTGGAGGTGCTTAAGTAGGAGGGCGGCCAGCCAAATTGTGAGGGATGAAGCAGTTGCATCCTGCCCTGAGCAGAGGGTTGGACTAGATGTCCTCTGGAGTCTCCCCCAGCTCTATGATTCTAGGTGGCCCAGATTCAGCCCTTGTGAGTGTGCAAAAATGGCAAGAAGAGCGCATTTTTGAGGACCTGTGGCCAGTTCTGAGCACCACAGTTTAAGGAGGATATTGACAAGTAGACTTCTCTGAGTTTGGATGGCCATGTGCCAGGAATTCCTTAGCTGTCATTCCTGCATTGCAGGGGGTTGGACTAGATGATCCCTGGAGTCCCCTCCTTGACTCTGCGATTCTGTGTTTCTGTGAAAGCTCCTTGGCCAGATCTGCCTCCATCCCCTTCTCTCCAGGCCTCAGGGACCATGGCTTCCGGGTCAGAGGAGCACAGACTCCAAGGGGACTGGAAGCCTCCAGATCATCTCTTAGCAGAAGTTAAACGCCGGGGCCCACCCGCTGCTCGATCGACTTTACCATCACCGACGCTAATCCCATTCATCCTCGTGACAACGAAGCACCTGCAGCATCGCTGACACTGTTGCGGCATTCCGATAGATATGGCCCCGTGCGCACTATGGGAACATAATGCCGGCTGGCTGCTCCAGGCCCCCGGCACGGGGCTTTACATAATACAAATCAATAGCATGCTAATTCAAAAATAAATCTTTTATGTACACCTGCCGGAAAGATTACGCCTGTGTCTGCAGATGGGGGAGCACATGGTTCGTGTCGGTTTTGCTTCCTCGCTGCCACCGCTTTTCCCCACACCAAGTAGCCGCATCCAAGTAAACAGAGCAAGGCCTGTCACTGGGAAGAGGGACCTGGTACTTGAAAGATGGTTAAGGGCACCACGTCATACCCTCCAACGTTTCTCTGATGGAAATAGGGATGTCGTATTCAATAATAATAATAATAATAATAATAATAATAATAATTTTATTATTTATACCACACTCATCTGACTGGGTTGCCCCAGCTGCTCTGGGCGGTTTCCAACATATCTAAAAACATAAAAATGTAAAAAAAAACCTTCCCTATACAGGGCTGCCTTCAGATGTTTTCTAAAGGTTGTATAGTTACAGTCATACCTCAGGTTCCAGACGCTTCAGGTTGCGTTTTTTCAGGTTACAGACCGCCGAAACCCGGAAGTACCGGAAGGGGTTACTTCTAGGTTTCAGCGGTCGCACATGTGCAGAAGCACCGAATTGCAAGCAGTGCGTGCACAGATGCGCAGCTGCAGGTTGCGAATGCTGCGGGTTGCAAATGTGCATCCCACACGGATCACGTTTGCAACCCAAGCGTCCACTGTACTTATCTCCTTGGTTCAGGGGGTCACATAACTCAATACCCTCCAACACTTCTCTGATGAAAATAGGGACGTCCTAAGGAAAAGCGGGACAGTCCGGGATCAAATTAGAAACCGGGATGGCTTCTGTAAATCTGGGACTGTTCCTGGAAAATAGGGACACCTGGAGGGCCTGCTATAGGTGTGTGTTATGGGAAGATTGTGTGTGTGTGTGTGTGTGTGTGTGTGTGTATAGAGGTACTTGAAATTATAAATGTATGTAGAGGAAGTGGATTAGGGGGAAGGTTTTTCTCCCTCCCTCCCTCCATCATAGTGCTAAAACTCCGGGGGTGAGCGGATCCAACGAAACTGGAGGCTGGAAGGTTCAGGACAGACCAAAAGAAAGGACTTGTTCACACAGCCCATAGCTAACCTAGGAAACTTGCTTCTGCAAGATGGAGTAATGGCTACCAATATGGAAGGCTTATCAAAGAAAATCAGAGCAATTCATGGAGGAGAAGGCAACCAATGGCTAGTAGCCACAATGGCTGTGTTCTTCCTTCACTGTTCAATGTGTTGTGTTGGGAGTCACAAGAGTTGCTGTTGCACTTGGGTGAGCTTCCCAGGCCTAATGAGCAGAGCAACTCATCTCTGGCAGGTCTTGCCTCCATGAAGCAGTTGCTGAGACTGAAGGTCCCCACCTCCCCACAGCTGCCTAAGTCTCCTCTTCTCCAGGGTTTTCCCCAAGCAATCAGAGACTGTGCCTCCATGAAGCTAACTTCTCCACCCTCTTCAATCAGCTTCTGCCCCTGATTCTGGACTCCTCTCTGCCACAGACTCTCCCTGCTCACTAAGTCCTGTCACCTCTTCAGCTTCTGACCCCTGCTCCTCCCAGTCTTCTCCCTCTGACCACTCATTGTAATCCCACCACTACTTCTTGGGCTCTGAGCCTTCTTTCCTTGGGGTCCCCCAGCTGGTTCCTCCCAACATTCCCCTGTGTCCAGCCAATCTGTTACATTCTGAAAGCCAGAGTCTAAAAACAGCAAACTGCACTGCTCAGGCAGTCTCTGCCCCTAACAGTGGCCTGGCAGAACACAGAATTTCAAACAGCTTAGAGACTTTAACCAACTAGATCCCACCATTTCTGCATTGTCCTCCTCTGGGGAAAGTGGCAAAGGGATAGGAGGCTGTCTTGAGGCTATCAAACTATTATTATTATTATTAAAATTTGTTTACCACCCTTCACCCATCAATCCCAGGGCGGTTCACAACATAGTTGCTGAATAGGGGTGGAATGGATGTAATAAATCAGGGCTAGCCTCTCTATCAGGATTCTCTTATCCACACCCTCCTGGAATGTCTTTGGCTGGCTTTTGTGTGTCCTTGAACTCTATTAATGTCTCTCCCTTGCCTGGCTGAAGGATGGAGAGGAGGGCTCATGTAGAAACCAACCTACTGTACAAAGGCAAAATTTTACAATGGTTGCCCCGCCCACTTTGTCCTTGGTACCGCCCACCACTGACATGTGCCCTCCCCCTCGGAGGTTGCCCAGGAGGGATTGCTGCCTTCGGTCAGAAAAATGACCCCTTGCCATTGCAAATATACCGTATTTTTTGCACCATAACACTCACTTTTTTCCTCCTAGAAAGTAAGGGGAAATGTCTGTGCGTGTTATGGAGGGAATGCCTACGGGTGGTATGCCTACGGATTTTCCTCCTCTAAAAACTACGTGTGTGTTATGGTTGGGTGCGTGTTATAGAGCGAAAAATACGGTATATAGTGTCACTTGAACACAAAAGAACACACGGGATTGTTAGCCTTGTCTCAAGGAGTTATTCGAAATCCTCTCTTCTCCACCCCCCCAGCACCCCTTCCCCAAATCTGCAAAATATAATTAACCCATTGAGAGCTTTAAAAAGAGGGGAAAGAATCCTCACTTAGCCCAAACCTCCTTCGCTGATAATATTGCAGCAATACCGAGGCTCTCTTTCCCATAAATGTTAAGCAGACCTCCGTAAAACTAATTGGAATTTACTGCACACGTGAACAACTGCATATCAATGAGGTTTTCTTGCTCCAGGCAGGTTTAAGGAAGAGTTAGCGGGGTGTTCTCCCACCAACACATCCCTCCAGAAGGGTGAAATGTTTGCCGTACCCCATTCGCTTAGAATCTAAAGGCCAACTTTGTACATTTCCCTCTCCCTTTGAGGGCTGTAGTTCCATTTGATCACAGCTACATAAGGAGGGACATCTGGGCCTCAATTCTCTGCAGTTTGTGGGTACTCCATTTCTATAGAATCATAGTGTTGGAAGGGACCCAGGGGTCATCTAGTCCAACCCCCTGCTATGCAGGAATCTAAACTAAAGCATCCATGACAGAAGGCCATCCAACCTCTACTTAAAAACCTCCAAGGATAGAGAGCCCACCATCTCTCGAAGGAGTCCGTTCCACTGCCTTAGCAGTGTCAGAAAGTTCTTCCTGATAAGAATATAAGTTTCAAGAAAGGAGATTCCGACTACACATTTGTTTCATTTATATCTCTGCGGAACTCAAGGTGGGGTACATGGTTCTCCTCCTCGCCTTCATTTAGGCAAAGCAACAGTGAAAGGCCCACAGTCACCCAGTGTGCTTCAGATCTGAGTGGGGATTCGAACTCGGGCCTCCCAGGTGCTAGTCCAACACACGAATCACTGGACCACACACTCACACTTATGTCTGCATGCATAAAAGGCTGTGTGAGTAGTGTACCATTTGCAAAGGAAAAATGGGGTTGTGTTTCTGCTCCGCTTGTATCATGGGCAGTGAACCTGGGGTCCTCCAGATGTTGTTGGACTACGCTGCCCATCATCCCTGACCACTGGCCATGCTGGCTGGGGCTGATGGGAGATGGAGTCCAACAACACCCAAAGGGCCACAGGCTCCTCAACTCTGCTCTCTACTGCTTAGAGCAATTTATTGGGGGCATTTAAGTGGACTTTTGCACTACAACCTAATACAGTGGTACCTCGGGTTACAAACACCTTGGGTTACAAACGCTTCAGGTTACAAACTCCCCTAACCCTGAAGTAGTACCTTGGGTTGCAAACTTTGCCCCAGGATGAGAATGGAAATTGCGCGCTGGCGGTGCGACAGCAGTGGGAGGCCCCATTAGCGAAAGCGCACCTCAGGTTAAGAACAGTTTCGGGTTAAGAACGGACCTCTGGAACGAATTAAGTTCGTAAGCCGAGGTACCACTGTATATGAAAGCTACAATGCCAGAATCATCTCCACCATTTTCAGGGCACTCTCTAGTCTTGATGTGGGGAGCCCCTGGCCTTCCACACGTTGTTGGCCTACAAGGAGCTCAAGGTGGCTCTCCCTCTCCCCATTTTATCCTCACAACAAACCTGTGAGGTAGGTTAGGCTGGAAGTCAGTGACTGGCCCAAGGTCACCCAGTGAGGCTCATGCAGCTGAACCCCGATCTCCTGGGTCTTATTCCAACACTCTAACCACTACACCACATTGCTTCCAAATGTAAGTTTTACCTTGATATAGTAGGCTGGCTTCTTCGCACACTTAAATGCACTTCTCTCTATCCTCTGTCTTGCGCACACCCCCTCAAATAGGGTGCAGACAAGGCCCGTAAGGGGGTGTAGCTCAGGATGGTGTGTGGCTTAGGGAGAATCCTGAGGGCCAGATGGAGAGGTTTGGAGGTCCACAGTTGTCCCTCAGCCTGTGGCTCCCCATTCCTGGTCTACATGGTCCTCTCCAACTCTATGATTCCCAGTGACTAAAAGAGGCCTTTGTAGGCCCGGGAGGAGCCTTCCTGGCGTTCCCTTGGCGACAACGCTCCCTGGGAATCAATGATGAGATTTACTGCCACTTCTTCCCCACACCATTCCTGCTCCCTCCACCCCAACCATTGCCAACACCTCTTATCTTAGTCACAAACATTGTTTGTTTTCAGGAGACCGCTCTCAAACCCTAGGCAAGGGCTATAAAATCATTAAGGAGCTCAGTAATTTCAAGCAGAGGCCTTTACATCACGCCCTCGGCCATTTCACGGATGGAAAAGTGTGACATGCTTGCCGCACCCCTACGTTGACACACCAGGGATGGCGACAGCAGTGATGGCTGCCCATCTGGGGGGCTTTAAAAGGGTTCAGAAGTTCATGGAAAAGAAGATGGTTGACGGCTACTAGTCGTGGTGGCCGTGTCTCTACATCCACTGTTGGAGGCAGTTTGCTTTTGGGTACAGAGGTACCTCAGGTTAAGTACTTAATTCGTTCCGGAGGTCTGTTCTTAACCTGAAACTGTTCTTAACCTGAAGCACCACTTTAGCTAATGGGGCTTCCTGCTGCTGCTGCACCGCTGGAGCCCGATTTCTGTTCTTACCCCGAAGGAAAGTACTTAACCTGAAGCACTATTTCTTTATTAGCGGAGTGTGTAACCTGAAGCATATGTAACCTGAAGTGTATGTAACCCGAGGTACCACTGTACCAGTTGCCGGGAATCACAAGTGGGGAGAATACCACATCTTACATGCTAGAAGATGCTGGTGCTCTCTTCCACAGCAGATGAGAGCAGTGTGGTATAAGGGTTAGAGCAGGGGTAGGCAACCTAAGGTCCGTGGGCCAGATGCGGCTCAATCACCTTCACAATCCAGCCAGCAGACGGTCTGGGAATCAGCATGTTTTTACATACCGGTAAGTGGAATGTGTCCTTTATTTAAAATGCATCTCTGGGTTATATGTGGGGCATAGGAATTCGTTCATTCCCTCCCCCCGCAAAATATATTCCAGCCCACCACAAGGTCTGAGGGACAGTGGACCGGCCCACGGCTGAAAAAGGTTGCTGACCCCTGGGTTAGTGTCTTGGACTAGGACTTGGGAGAGCAGGATTCGAATCCCCACTCAGCCATGAAGCTCGCTGGGTGACCTTGGGCCAGTCGCCATCTCTCAGCCTAACCTACCTCACAGGGGTGTTGTGAGGATGAAACGGGGAGGAGGAGAACCATGTACGCCACCTTGAGATCCTGGGAAGATAAAGGTGGCATATAAATGAAAGCAATCAATCAATCTGACTACTGGGCTGCTCTTGGGGCCAAACTATACTAATCTAATTCAAAACAAAAAAGGGTGAAGGTGGGGGATGGGGAGAATCTATATATAAACATAGACTAGTTAAAATTGTTCAGATATGTTCTAACCATTTCAACTAGTCTGCTTACTTTCCCCTCCGCACCGCCATCCTTTTTTTTAGATTAGAGCCGATTACAGCTATCTAAAGCACATGCACAATTAAAGATTGCTCCATCTGGGCTTCCCATCCACCTGGCACACCAAGGCACTTGTTTCTAGGCGAAGGGGGTGCCTGCTGCTTATCAGTTCTCAATTACACTCCCCCTCCCCTACAGCTGCAGCACACCCGTCCTCTTGGTACTCACTGTCGCTAGGCTCACCGCCATCTACAGGGAACAAGAGGACACTTGGATGGCCAGGAAGTTGCAGCAGAATACCTAACAGTGTGTCTTCCCCTTAGGCTTGGGATGTCTGGTCCTGAGTTTAGAAGAGAGAGAGAGAGAGAGAGAGAGAGAGAGAGAGACCGCACGTATTTCTTTGCCCAGTCCTAGTTAACCTATGGAACTCACTCCCACAGGAAGCAGTGATGGTCACCAACTTGGATGCCTTTAAAAGAGGATTAGACACATTCACAGAGGAGAAGGCTATCTGGCTACAAGCCATGATTCCTTTGCTCTGTCTTCAGAGTTGGAGGCAGCAATGCTTGTGAATACCGGCTGCTGGAAACCATAGGAAAGCCCTCTTGTGCTCAGATCCTGCTCACAGGCTTCACATTGGGGCATCTTGTTGGCCACTGTCAGAACAGGATGCTGGACTAGGTAGTGTTCTTCTTATGATCTTAAGGTCTGCATGTGGACTTCCTTGGTGGGCCGTCGTGGGAAATGGTTAGAAAATTTCAGACCCTCCAAGTGTCCCTCTTTTCCAGGGACAGCCCTGGATTTACAGAAGCCATCCCAGTTTCTGAGTTGATAATAATAATAATAATAATTTATTTATACCCAGCCTCTCTGGGCGGCTCCCAATTGAGTGTTAAAAACAATACAGCATAATAATAATAATTGATCCCTGAATGTCCTGCTTTTCCTTAGGATGTGCCTATTTTCTTCAGAGAAATGTTGGAGGGTATCTGACCCCCCAAGCCATCTGAAGGTAGCCCTGTATAGGGAAGTGGGGTTTTTTTATGTTTAATGTTTTATTATATTTTCGTTGGAAGCTGCCCAGAATGGCTGGGACAACCCAATCAGAGGTATACTGTAAATAGTAAAATTATCATCATTAGTATGGAACAGGAAGATGTCCCTATTTTCATTGGAGAAATGTTGGAGGGTATGAAATTTGCTCCGATGTGTGTGTGTGTGATGTGGCTGCTTATGTCCTTATGGAAGTTCAGACCATCAAAAATGGCCCGAGAACCCTAAACTTGAATTGGCCGGATAAACTCAGAAGAAGCATGCCACACTGAAGGTTGCTGGGTGGGTGGAGCAGGAGGGGTCTTCTGTTTTCACCTGGGTGGCAAAGCCTTCTCCTCTGTCCTCCACCTCTCCCAATCTCCTCTCCACAGCTCATTCTCGCTCACATCTTTTAACAGTGACATTAGAGCTGCTTTCACTGTCCTGTGCTTAAGTCCTCCAGAGTGATGCTTAATCAATACGACTCCCCTGACAACAGTGACAACGGAGACCCCTTAACAAAAGCCATGCTTTCACCTGGGGTGGTCTGGACAGATGGGAACTTAGGTGTCACGCTGAGGAGGTAGCGAAGCCCCTGGCATAATTGTCTTTTTTTAAAAAGCATGTCAGTGGAAACAAGCAGAACAAATCCAGTTTCCCATGATCCGAATGCTTAAAATGACTTTTTAAAAAACAATAATATCAAAGCTTCCTGGTTCACATTCTGAATGGCAGCAGCGCTACAGGTCTTGGGTAAACAAAGGTTATCCCCATCAGCTGGTACTTTTAACTGGAAACCAGTAGGCACTGGTGGGGGGGGGTGAGGGGAAGACCAGAGGTTGATAGCTCCAGAGCCAAAGACGGGAAGAACCACACTATGATTGGCTACATGTAGGACAGTGAGCAGGTGAGGGGCTGGAGGACAGCAAACTGAGGATGGTGGGGCAGTGCCCCACTTGCCCCAATGAACCAGCTTCCGCTGCTGGAGGTGCCAGGGACTGAACATGGCACCTTCTGAATGAAAAGGAGGCACAACCTTCTGAACTGCAGGTAAAGGTAAAGGTAAAGGGACCCCTGACCATTAGGTCCAGTCGTGACCGACTCTGGGGTTGTGGTGCTCATCTTGCTTTTCTGGCCGAGGGAGCCGGCGTACAGCTTCCCGGTCATGTGGCCAGCATGACTAAGCCGCTTCTGGTGAACCAGAGCAGCGCACGGAAACGCCGTTTACCTTCCCGCCGGAGCGGTACCTATTTATCTACTTGCACTTTGACGTGCTTTTGAACTGCTAGGTTGGCAGGAGCTGGGACTGAAGAATAGGAGCTCACCCCGTCGCGGGGATTCGAACTGCCGACCTTCTGATTGGCAAGTCCTAGGCTCTGTGGTTTAACTCACAGCGCCACCTGGTTTAGCTGCTGTTGGGAACTGGAATGCTGGACTAGATGGGCCCTTGGGCTGATCTGGCAGGGCAGTTCTTTGGTCACAGACTTGATACTCAGGAATGGAACCTCCAGGCTGAGGCTCAGTCTACCTCAAAGCACCAGGTGCCAGAATACAAGGAAAGTTCTTGCCTTGACACTCAGCTTGTGACCTCCCCCGACATGTTTGGCTGGCTGTTCTTAGGAACAGAGATGGCAGAATGCAAACTGAACTTGAGCCAGCAGTGTGATGCGGCAGCAAAAAAGGCACATGTGATTTTAGGCTGCAGTCATCTTTCATTGGTGCTACCGTTGCTTCCTGCACCGTTGATCCTTGCATTGTGCAGGGTGTTGGACCGGGTGACCTTTAACTTTTCCAGCCCTATATAATCCAGCATTCTTCTGACTTTTTGTTCATGTGCCGAGGTCCCGATTCAAATGCGACGCAGCAAGAATTCTCCAACCGCCTACAAATTCATAACCAGGAATGAAAAGAAGATGGTTTGATGGTCAGGAAAATAGCTGCCTGCTAGACTACCTTGGGTTGCTTTTGATTTACGGTGTGATAACACTGGTTTTTACTGAGCAGGACCCCTCCTGCCCCCAACAACAGCAAAGCCCCCGTGGTGTTGCCAGGATCTGCAGTAAATCTTTTGTTGCCCTCATATAATTTCCCCTTAGCTTTGCTTTTTGCAGTTAATTTGGATTGGGTGTCCAAAACCTCTGGATTTATAGCTGTTATCTGACATAGCTTAGACTGGGGCAGGAAAGCTTCTTTTTTAAAAATTTTAATCCAGCGGGCCACATTGTGTCCTGGGCAACTTTCTGCAGACCACGGGCCAGTGGCGGATGGGGTCAGAGGCAAGAGAGGGTGCAGAAAAGTCTATTAATATTACCTTTGTCCCCCGCCAACAATCCTCCACCTAGGTAGCAAAAAGGCGTTCTCAAAATTTGAAGACAATTTAGAGACAGGCCAAAACACTCAAGGGCATAGACGTCATCTGTGTGGGCCCCAGGCACCGACAACTTTTCAATGAAGGGGTCGGGCCCCTCCAGAGTTCTACACAAGTAAGTTCCCTCCTGGATAAGGCTGGTGGGAGTTGAATTCTAACAGTGTCAGGAGGGACACAGGTTGCCCACGCCTGGTCTGCACACT